ACAAACGTGATCGTCGACCTGCTTGGTGTGGCCAAGCTGCTTGGTGTGGTCACCGCATAGCGGGGCCGCCGAGTCCTGCCCGGGCGCTCGAGACGCGTCCGCGTGCTTGCAGGCTGCCATTGCATTGCAACTGAAGTGATGTAGAAGGGCACACAGAAGTGACCCTCTATTGCGAGCGCTAACGACAGTGGGCCTACAAAGCGCAGTCTTTAGAAAGCTGCAGCGCGCGATGCGTAGTCCTTGGCGTTGGTCCGAGTGCCGCGGAGGATTGCGATCGACTCGGCCACCCCTCTCCTCCGCACTCTTCATCTGGCCACCCCTTGTTGCCAGCGGGGCACATTATAAACTCGCCGGCTTTTTGTCATCGCGCCTTCACCACCGGTTCCCCACCACCACCACCACACCTCGTCTCGCTCTACTCGGCGGCGTCACGCAAAATCTGCTACGCATACCAAGGGGGGTCTCGAACTGTTACAGCCTCGCGTCACTATACACTACACTCTACACTACACTGTTACAGCCTCGCGTCACTATACACTACACTCTACACTACACTGTTACAGCCTCGCGTCACTATACACTACACTCTACACCACTACTATACACTACACTTACAGCCTCACGTCGGTTCTCTGCTGTCAGCCCCTCGGTGTGGAACTCTCTCCCTTTGCACAATCTGCAACGTCAAATGCCCTCTGACTTCTCAAGAAACATCTAAAGGCCTTTACTCTCTGCTTGGTCAGGTTTTCGAGAAGCCCTGAGCTTGGCTTCCACGCCTCTGAGTTGTTGACTTGTCTGCAAAATCTTGGCGCGGTATAAATGTCATTATTATTATTATTGAGTTTATTTTACCAGTTATTGGCCCATGTGGCACAATCCTGGTCCCTCCACTGGAAAAACAAGGGCGAGGAGTTCCATTGTAGGTCAGTGGAAAGAAGGACTTTACATTGAGCGAGGGAAGGGGACAATATTAGGAATGACGATTGTAAGAACCAGGATAGCAAATGCAATTAAAAAAGACTGAGATGGAGCCGAGTGTGACATGTAGCGAGTAAAGACATCCGATAAAAAGATGGGCAACATTGGCGATGGACTGGTGGCTGATGGAGGGAAGGAGAAGGGGAGGTGGTGGATCGGTAATGGACAGAATGAGGCGATTTGGGGGTGGCAGACATTGAGGGGCAGGCCTGTGCCCAACCGTGGCACCGTTGGCGGCTAAAAAAAAGGGGGTAAAGTGTCGGGTAAGGTCATGTGGATTTGTGGCGTTGTTAAATCGTCTCGTGAAAGAAAACGTATCGCTTTGTATAGTCACGCGGTTCTCCTCTGGCTCTAGAGGCCCCCCAATGGCTGTGCCGCTGATGGGGATTTCTCGGCCGTTTCCCGTGCAGCCCTGGCTGGTCGGTGCGACGGCCCGTTGGTATGGACCATGGTGCAGGCCATGGTGCAAGCAGAGATTCAGGGGTAGGGATCTCCCCCCCCCCTCTCTCCCATCGTCGTAGTGCGGCACCAGCACCATTCTGGGCCCGTGGCCCCTGGTGGAGTTGCACCGCCTGCACACCCAGTAGCCACGCAATTGTGTCCCACCACGCGTCTCCCACTGCCCAGAAAATAACGCGAGAGGCGGCGAAAAACGTTGAACGCGCTTCAGCCCAGAGGCGGGGCGACTATGATCGCGAGGCGCCGTGTGTCCCCAGGGTCTTTAGTGCGTCTCTGAAACGTTAATGTGGTTTTACGAGCTCCCTAGCTACAAAGGCACGCTCATCGTGCGTGCAGCTTTTCTGAGCGTGTGTGTGTGTTGGCGCAGTTATGTCTGAAGCTGTGCGTGTTTGTTGCAGCAGTGTGTGACTGTGCAGCTGTGTATGTGCGTGTGAGTCGTGTGTGTGTATGCGTACGAGTGAGTGCAGATAGAACTCGGCGACACGGGTTCGATTCCCGCTCACGGCTAACACCAGTGGCGATTATCTGAACTGGTCCTGCGCCTCCCCGAGGTCAGCTCTGCCTCAAATTAGTCCCTGGTGCGGTGTGTAAACATCGCCGCTGGGGAGACAAAGGCAGTCGGGTGTGGTGCTGGCAACCCACTCCCTCGTGTGCCGTGTGTGTGTGCGTGCGTGCGAGTGTGTGCAGCCGTGTGTGTCCACGGGACGGCAGAGGCATGTCGACTATCTGCTCGCTTTGTCCGCGTGAGTGGACATGAGGAAGCACCAACTTCAACGTTCTTTCGTAATATAAATATCCCCCTGTGTTTGTGTGTTTTTTAGTCTGCCATAGAGAAATGTTTTAAACTACATTTTTGTTCATTGACGTGATTCATAGCGATGTGATAATAAATAATTAAATATGCACGTCAATCGACTAACACTGCCTTCAAACACGTTACCCGGTGGTGCACAATTAACAATAACTCGGCACACTCATCGGTAAGAGAGATCAAAACAGACTTTCTCTTTTTAAGGGCCACGACGTTATTTTGAGAATCTCTTTTGTCAAAGAGGATCAACTCAAACCGCAAGGTTATGGTGCGCGTGGGTTGAGCGGTGTGGGGCGCAGTGGTTTGCACGCCGCAGAACGATGTCGACCACAGGTGTAATTCCTGGCCCTGCGGCTAACGTAGCTGGCGAATGATATCGGAACTGGTCTTGGGACCCCCCTCCTCCCCACACCGCCTCTCCCCGGCACAACAACAACGGCCATTTTCCACTAAGTGGCGGTGTCAGTCACCACGGCGGTTGTGCCAGGCCATGTGCACTTTTAAGGCCACGTGAAGTTTCGAACTGCCCGCTTGCAAGTCACGGGACAGACCCTGGTGCCATGAGTTGATTTTTGTATCTAGGATTTTATAAAGCGTTTTTGTCATAGCGCTTTACAAGAACTAGAAATTCTACATTAGTATTGGCTGATGGGGAAAAAAGATGGGCTTGAGTGATTGGGATGGGAAGGGGGATTACAAGGAAGGGTGACGATGGGGAAAGGGAGTGGGCTGAGGTTAGGAAGGAGAAGGGTGGTTTAGGTTTTAAGGAAATATAAAAAATGGGAGAGGAGAGAGGGTAATGAGAGAGGTGGAGAGAGCTGCATTCGGCTGTAAATGCGGCGCCATTTCCGCAGCCGCGACCGAATTGAAATGACTGGCCGATGCACCACCTGTGCCTCATACTGTATCAACTTGCTGTGTTTTAGCCACCCAGCGCTCTGCTCGCTGTTGTGAGCGTCACTCCTCTGCCCTCAGTTGTTGCTGGAGGGGGCGACTGCCGTCCAACTGCCCAGTAGCATCCTTCATGAGCCTCCTCCACGAGCCTCCACAGAGGCCGATCTTGACGCCACTGGTACAAGTCAACGGCAAATCCACTCAGCTCCACATCCTCTTGTATCATATCACTCGATCTATTCTATAGCACATTCCGCGCCAGTTTAGCCCTCTCTATCTGCCGGAATAAAAGCTGGTTTAGGCATGTGGTAGCTGGGCACGCGGGCTACATGACCCAGCAAATGCAGCCTTGCCTGCCGGAGGAGCTCACCGATGGGACTTTGTTTAAAACTTTTGAGGATTTGTGACCTCAAACAATCCAGCCTGTTTAAACCTAGGATGGATCGTAGGCAGGCCATCCTAATGTTTCTCACCGATGAAGAAAGGGGGGTTGGGTCCACATTTCGTAAGCATAGAGAAGGGAGACCGTGGCCATGACCAAGAAGACCCGAAGCTTCGTGTGGAGTGAGAGACCAGCTAGTTTCTATACAGCGTTACACAGCCGATGAAAAGGTAATGCCACTCGACAGATTCGGAGTGAGACTTCTGCTGTCAAACCGGAGGTGGTCATAAGCACACTGCCCAGGTATGGAAAACTTTCCACTCTCTCCACAACTCTCCTATCACCAATGGGGAGTTGAAGAGGTCTGAGTGTTTGGCACAACATACCCATGCTGGTGCTTAGTTTTGGAGGGGCTGATGGTAAGGTCCCATCTCTTAGTAGCACGCTCCAGATCTAAGCAGCAGCGCCTCCAACTCCTCCTTTGAGTGAGCAGCAATCATCAGATCATCAGCACACATAACATGGTTGACCAATAGGGAGCCATCCCTCCACCGCACCTGGGCATCAATCAGCCTCCCATCTATCTGTACCAGATGGAAAGTCCTCAGTTATAGCCAACGAAGGCTTTTCAAACTATGTCATCGAAAAATATGTTTAACAATGTGGGAGCCAGAGGACATTCCTGTTGCACCACAAGGCAAGCAAGGAATGGCTCCGACTCCCGGCCACGGCACTTTACCCGGGCCTGCCCACCATCATGACGGTCCTTATTGACAGTGGGCAGAAAGTCAGGGACTCTGAAAGCCACCCTCTCCACCCACACTTTCAACAATCCCCACTCGCCCGTGTCATGACGTACGGTCAAACAAACTCCACAACTGACACCGTGTGGGGAGACCAATCGGAAGTCGATTAGCAAATGGCTCTAAATTATCATAATTATTATAATTGTCTTGGTTCATGATCAGACACGCAGACCCAAGCTATACCAGACAGTGCAATTCCATCAGAACACTGCAGCTGACGTGAAAAGTTGTTTTTATTTGCATGAGAGCAGTGTTTTAGCTTCCAGATCGAGTCTCTCTGATTGCCCTCGGTCCTGTGCCCAATTATGGCCACCACACGGCACCTTCCACCAGGGACCAATCGGCTGAGCAGCCTGCACCAACGCAGGTAGGAGGGCCCTCGTGGCCGGTTTGTTCGGTCGGTCGCTTGGCTGGTTCCTGGGTGGGTGGGGGGCAGCAGGATGCGGTGGGGTCAATTTGGAGTGATCCGGAGTGTGTGCGTGAGTGCGTGCGTGTGCGTGCGTGTGTGCATGAGCCAGTCGCACGCACGGGGAAGCCAGGGGAGCAGCCAGAACCTGACATGTGGGCCTTATCATCGAGCCATCTCCTGAATGTGGGGTGTGGTGCGGCGGAGGAGGAGGCGGGCGAGCGGGTGGAGGAAGCGGCGAGGGCTGCGATAGGGGTGCCTTTGTGCCGCCGCCGCCAGTCAAGACCTGCGGCTTGCCCCGTCCGCACGGAGCTCTGCCTTGGCAGCGGAGGCGGGTGCTCCCGTGGTCACGACTGCTGCCGGGAGGAGGAAGGCTTATCGTGGCTTCTGACAGCAGAGGGTTGCTTTGCCGTGCTGCCTCGGCTACTGCCTCGGTTGCTGCCGCCTTCCTCACCAGTGACCGTTGCAGGTTGTTCCAAGCCGTGCTCCTGTTTGGAATTTGCTGGGATCGGTCCGAGAGGCAAGTTTTTTTTGCCGTAAAATTTTAATTCGGATATTTTTTGTTTGCAATAAGAAGTTGTTTATTCGGTTAATTTATTTCGGAATCGAAATAATAATCATGTACAGCCCTTTATCAAGCCGTCGCTGGATGCCGTGTTGGTCGTGGGGGTTTGCCTGAACCTGCTTTGTGATGTTGGTTGATGTGGCTCGGTGTAGGGGGGAGTGCTGACGGTCTGTTCAAATGTCACTCTCCGTGTCCAGCACGTGTGTCCAGGATCGTGGGTCTCTTTTGATGCCCACGTACGTCGCTGTGCATTGGCACAGCGCTTGCTTCGTGACGCAGCTGAACCTTTTCCGCTGTGTGGCTTTGAGGTTTTACGGCGCGTTTCTGCCGACTTGGCACGAGAGAGAGTTTATCGTGTGAATCTTTCCCGAGCGTTTTACTGCAGCGACTGCGTCAGGGAAGCTGCAACACAAATTTAAATAATAAATTTTTGCTTCGTGTGTAGTTCGCGCAGGGTTCCGCCTTGACCGCTTGAATCGTCCGTCCTTGTCAAGCATCACGGCTAAAGCCAAACTGCCGTGGTCATTGTTCATGGGCTCGGTAGCCTCGGGGCAGGCTCGAACAAACGGCAGCTAGAGAGGCCGCCAGTCGGGGAAGCCGGTGAGCGGAAGCATCCCGGTAAACACTCAAACAATCCACCGGGGCTCGGCAACTTGTCTAAACATGACACCAGTTGCATACCTGGCCAGTCCGCACACACATCGGTACGGGGGTTGCACCTGGGTTATAGTCGATGGGCGTACCTCGACCAAACAACAACTTCACCGGCGCTTCCAACAATACGGTTCCATCCGCTGCAGGAGCTGACACCGAATTTCGATCGGATCATTGGGGTTTATTAGTAATAAATCGGAATTTTAGCGACCCCCCCCCCCCCCCCCACTGCCACTGTGTAGCATATTAATGTGCCAGGGGACTCTATGAGATGATAGGACAATGAGTCCATAATTGGCAATAAGTAACGGCAAAGCAGTTATAAGTAACTCGCAGAATTGTGCGCAGTTGCTTATACAGTACGCGACTTCCCTGAAGGCATTCACCTTCAGCGAGCGCGATGCCGATCACACAACGCGGTTCGAATTCGACCCTCGATCGATGGCTGCGCCATCGCTGCACACGCGTCGAATAAAAAGCAAGGGAGAAGTCCTTACTCGCTAATAACTCCTCTATCATTTTTCATTGCTGGAGGGGTTGCCCCCCCCCTACCTGAAAATCCTGGCTCCGCCATTGCGTGTGTTGCTTTGGAGTGTCGGGGCAGTCTGGGTCGGCACGCATATCGCCCTTTGCCAACACAACCCACGGCTGGATGGGGGGGGGGGGTCCATGCATCCCACGTGAGCCGTGGGGGCTGTTTGACCGTACTGGGTGGCGCGGATTGGCGAAAGCGGAGAGCATAGAATTACAGTACAACCAATGCTGTTGTTGCGCTGCCCTCTGCTGCGCACGCCTATCTCTGTGTCGTGGTTGATCATCCACGCGCTATCCAGGCTCAAGCCTGTGTTTAGCTTCTGAGATCTAGTGAGATTGGGGTGCACTGCGGGTGATTTGGCCACAGGCTGTATCAGTTTACAGTGCGAATAGTTTGACGAGGCAAATTGTGAGAGGTAGGGTTTGTTTCTGTTGCATATATAAAATAAATGAAAGTCTCAGACTTCCTCTAAAGCGGGATCCTCGAGTCAAGACAACCCACACAGCCACCGCTGAGCACGAGACCGAGTCCAGTCTCAGCTTGGTCTTCTCTCAATGCATTCTTAGCCTCCCCTCCTCCGTTGGTCACGGTTGTAAAGGTAAAATATAAACCTTTAGTACAAAATCGTACAAACCCAAGTCTCGGTTGGTTGTTGTGTCGAACCACGGAGCTATCAAAATAATCTGAATCCAGGGCAAGGGTCAAGGTGACGAGTAAACGCGTAACTGGGGGTTTGCAAACAACAACGAAAGGGAATATGGCAAGGATTTCCAGCCGGACACACGGCAATGAGATAACGCAAATCACGTGAACAAGGTCACCGTTGACGGCAGAGGAAAGCGCTCGGTCAGGATCGACCCAAGTCCAACGCGGTTCCTAGATGGATCGTGCGGAACGTCCAGACTCCAAGTGCTTGGTCATGGAAGCAGAGGCTGGGGCCTCGGCTCGCAGGCCTCGGACACGGGCCCAAGCGGGCCCAAGCGGACCCGCAGAGGTCGCAAACCCGCAGGGCGCAGACGCGGGTCGAGCTGGGCGGCACACACATTTATTCTGGAGGAATCGAATGAGCTATAAAGTGCTTTCTCACAGACGTTCAATTTGTTAAACTCGCGCAATATTTACGCTCGTTGATTGGTGGAGAATTGGCAGCCCTGTTTACGTTATGTAAAGGCGGTGGTCTGCTCTCTAACTACGTAGCGCGTGCCTCGTCTCCGTAGCCGTGTTTCGAGCTGCGATGGCTTTGTGCTGCGGCAAGGACTGCAGTGAAAATTATTCTCTCGGTGGCAGTTTTGTCAGGGTGTGTGTGTGGGTGTTGACGGCTTTGTGTGTGCACGGGCGTGTGCCTGTGTGTGTGCGTGTCCGCTCACGGCCAACACCAGTAACGAGTATCTGAACTGCTCCTGAGCCTCTCCTAGGTTGACTCGGCCTCAAATGAGTACCTGGTGTGATGTATGAGCATCGCCACTAGGGAGACAAAGGCGGCCGGGCATGGTGTTGCCCACCCACCCCCTTGTGTGCCGTGCCAGCCTTCATAGGTGCTCGCTTACAGCACAAGTCCCAACAGTCTGTTAAGGCTACACGGGGGATCTTTGTATGCATGCCACAAAATGCTTCTGTTTTTCACTCATAAGGAAAACCTATTGAGCGTGCATTGTTTGTCGGCGTGCGTGGCGACATGTAGGTGTGTGTGTGTGCAAGAGCGCCCATATGTGTAGGTATCGGAATGTGCATGTGGGCTGCATGTGTGCGTGAAGGAGAGCGCTTGCATCTGCAGGTCGCGGAGGAGCGCTGATAGAGAAATGAAACTGCTCCGGTTCACTTCTGGCTTGGCACGCCATGCGAGGTAGAGGCTGGGGTTTTGTGGCAGTCGGGTCTGGCCGTTCAGCTCTTCTGGGAGCTCTTTCTTGGCCATCGGCTGCCAGGCGCCTCCTCAAACCCCAACGGATGTAAAATTGAGGGAAGGAGCTCAAAAACGTTGATTTTATTTCGTGAATTCTTCCATTGTTACGGCTCCTCGGTCTGTTGGGTTTCATGCGAGGAACCCACCGGTAAACACCATGTGGAGTTTGGGCATCGTGAGCGAGCGCGCTTTCCTGCACAATCAGATAACATCAACAAAAACACTAAAAGTAAATATTTTGGAAACGGTTAATCGGGCAGCGACATTCAGACCCAGACATTTTGTAAATAACTGCCTCCTCCCCAGTGCGATCTGGAAGCCCAACTACACTACTCGGAGCACAGTGCTGTGAGAATCGCCACCACATCCTAGAAGCCTGCACAGTGCTGGGCATGGTCAGAGCCCACATAGTTGTACTCAGCCTTCTGTTGCACTCCCGATAGGAACTGACCTGGAATGTTTCCGTGTGCAAGGATGCATTCTGCTGACAGCACAGGTCTTTTTTTCCAGCATCTGATTAGATCCGATGCGAGGATTAAGGCCAGGGCAAAAGTGCCCTCTCGCACGCACGCTTGATCTCTCTCTCTCTTTCTCCCGCCGGTAATTTTCCGCAATTGCCACATGCTGCTCCTTATTGTTTTGAAATAAATGCGTCCTTAAAACAACATGTACACGCACAAAACAATTGCGCAATGCTGTGTCCTTGATGCTTTGGGGTACCCATATCATCTCCACAGGGCTTAGTTTCTTTTGGGCTGGTGAGGGGCGAGCCTGGGACTGGTTCGGCTTTAACTCCCCACTGGTCTTAACTAAAGCCTGGGAATGGAACTCGGGCCCGCCAGGCTCACGGCGCAGCGCACGAACTGCTGCATCGTTAGCCCACCACTCTCATTTCGTAAATGAGAGTCAGAAAATTCCTCTCGGTGAGAAGATTGTGTTAAGGTGAAGCACTCGTGCGGCCGTGTCTCTGCTGAGGCTCGCCCCAAGGTTCGGTTGACGTGGAGGTCACTTGGGTCTATTGGGTGTGGTGTCACGGTTCGGACTGGTTGAGGCTGACCGAAGTGGTTTTTGGAGGTGAGCGCTGAGCTGGCACCATGCAGCTGCCCGTGAAATGAAGCATTCGTCGTCATCGATTTCAAAACTTTAACGCACAAACCTACACGAGAGGTGGGGTACGAGCCCTTCGTCTCGCGGGGGCCTGTAGCACAATTGGAAGTAATCCTTTTGTACATTTTTTTCAAAGCAGTGTGCTGCTGCTGTTCTTGTTGTCCGCAGACCGGGAGTTTGTCCGCGAATCTCCCGCCGTGCCTCGTGGACGCGGGGGGCGACCCCGGCGCGATGGCGACCCGGGGCCGGGGCGTGGGCGCCATGGAGCCGCCGGCGTTCGTGCTGCCCCCGCGGAACGTGCACTCCACGCTGTGGGGTCGCGCCCTCTTCAGCTGCACGGTGGGTGGCGTCGCTCGCACCGCTCCCGGCGCTCGTTGGGGTTTCTTCGCCAGGGGCTCGATTTCCTCCCCGGATATTTGATAGGACTCCGTTTTTTTACTCTATTGACTTATTCGTCTCATTCGTATCGCGAGGTACACTGGATGTGGAGTGCCAGGGTACGTAAATATTTATCAGGTCACCAACCCGAGAGCAATTTCCCCCTGTGTCTCATTGAAGTCAAATGCAAAGTCCCTTCATAAAACCCCAGGGTGTTTTAAAGGTTATGGTGATCAGAAGCGGTAGACGAGTGTTCATCAATTAAAGTTGATTATTACAGCCACGGTACGTTCATGAAATCGAGTGTTTTAAAAACTGACGATTCGTGAAGAGTGCAGATCCATAATTAATGTTGCCTTTCAGAAAATGATAAATTCACCAAAGAAACAAACGACAAGGAAACAAAACAAATGAGATGGTACAAATTTGACAAATAATCAATTGTTGAATTGGTTGGTGACCCCGACCATGGGGCGATCAGCTGTCTGTGTGTCTGTGTGTGTGTGATTTTAAGGTTTAACATGCCCACTAAGTGACAGGGACGATGGTAACTATTGCACCATCGCAACCAAACACGGGTGTGTGGTTGTAGCCGATGGTGGGAGCGGCAATCTGCGGTGGTCTGGTCACGCGACCGGGCGAGTCTGAGCAGGCCCGGACCGCCACTCTGCAACCACGCGGCTCGTGTTAAGGATGGCCTCTTTCTTTCACCAAGGCCAGAAAGATGCTGCGCTGAGCAGCCCACTCTGGTGGTGTTACCCTCAAGTGCCAAGCGATGCAGCTTGCTGAGACAAACCGGCAAGCTGAAAAAGTTGGGATTCCGATGCAGATCCGGTTTTTGTGGAGATTGGATCTGAAGTTTCTGCTTTAATGCGTGTGGGCGCACATGCAGGCTTGTGTTTGCGTGTTCACCAATGGCTCTTTTTGTCACCACCACTCACGGTTCCAATTAGAGACTTTGTCACCAACCGGTTTTTGTAAATTGTTCCCAGAAACACTTCGCCGCATTCTGCCATTGTCTAGTCGTGCCGTCGTCGTGCATGGCTGATGAAGGAAGCTTCTGCGTGCCAAACATTTTTTTCGTGCGCTAAATAGTTTCCAGACTGGACGATTATACGGGTTTGTTTACCAAAAGCAAAAAGATTGGTTTTGAGTGAAAGCCAAGTGCCCCTTGGCTGCGAGCCATAGTCCTACTTATAGCTGCTTGTAAACAACATTAATGGCGGTGATGTTATTCGATGGGGATGCGAGTTTGGCCCAAGAGATGGGACGGCAGCATCACTGCAAGTGATGCTGCCGTCACTCTTGCCTTCCAATCTAAGCTCAACCTCTTGCCTTCCAATCTAAGCTCAACGAGAGCATAAGGTCACCGACTTTCCCCGCATTGGGGTAAAAACAGCTGCAGTTGTCTGTGGTCTGTCATCTTAAGTTTCGTGCTGTAATCAGAGTGTGCGCTGGCAAGTCTATAGAATGTTGGGAGGAGGGGTGCGGTGGGTTTTGGGAGACACGGAGCTCCCTGGGTTTACGACGTCGCGAGAAGGAGGGGGGAACGGCACATCGGTCCTGTCTCAGCACTGGCCGCTATTTAGCCCAGAGGATCGGTCGACGTTCCACTGCCCCCCCACCCCCACCCCAGCGGCCACAAATCACGAACCCCGCAGGCACCGAGAAGACGATGACGACGGCAGTCGGCGCCCGTGGCCCCGTTCATCCTTGAGCCTTGCGGATCCGCCGTGTGGATCGCAGCCTTGATTCCATCGCTGGTGCCTCCTTTGGGCCAAGGCTTTCGGTTGCCCGTCTCGAGGATGTCCTGCGATCGTTTCTCCAGATTGTTCCGTTCTCCTGCACGATCGGGACCCCCCCACCCCTCCCACCACACCTCTGGCTCCAACCCAGCAATGCCCTCCTGCTGTGTCCGTTCTCAGAACTGCAGGCGGCACTGGCCCAGCCCCCAGCAGTCACAGTGATATGGGCATCACCAACGATCTGTGCTGTTAGATACAGGGCGTGGCATGCTTCCAATATACATCGTGTATTTCTATGTGTGGCGATGTATCTGATAGATATATACATACAGTGATGGAAAAAAGTATTTGATCCCCTGCTGATTTTGTACGTTTGCCCACTCACAAAGAAATGATCAGTCTAATTTTAATGGTCGGTTTATTTGAGCAGTGAGACAGAATAACAACAAAAAAATCCAGAAAAACGCATGTCAAAAATGTTATAAATTGATTTGCATTTTAATGAGGGAAATAAGTATTTGACCCCTCTGCAAAACATGACTTAGTACTTGGTGGCAAAACCCTTGCTGGCAATCACAGAGGTCAGACGTTTCTTGTAGTTGGCCACCAGGTTTGCACACATCTCAGGAGGGATTTTGTCTCACTCTTCTTTGCAGATCTTCTCCAAGTCATTAAGGTTTCGAGGCTGACGTTTGGCAACTCGAACCTTCAGCTCCCTCCACAGATTTTGTATGGGATTAAGGTCTGGAGACTGGCTAGGCCACTCCAGGACCTTAATGTGCTTCTTCTTGAGCCACTCTTTTGTTGCCTTGGCCGTGTGTTTTGGGTCATTATCATGCTGGAATACCCATCCACGACCCATTTTCAATGCTCTGGCTGAGGGAAGGAGGTTCTCACCCAAGATTTGACGGTACATGGCCCCGTCCATCGTCCCTTTGATGCGGTGAAGTTGTCCTGTCCCCTTAGCAGAAAAACACCTCCAAAGCATAATGTTTCCACCTCAATGTTTGACAGTGGCAATGGTGTTCTTGCGGTCATAGGCAGCATTCCTCCTCCTCCAAACACGGCGAGTTGAGTTGATGCCAAAGAGCTCCATTTTGGTCTCATCTGACCACAATACTTTCACCCCGTTGTCCTCTGAATCATTCAGATGTTCATTGGCAAACTTCATACGGGCATGTATATGTGCTTTCTTGAGCAGGGGGACCTTGCGGGCGCTGCAGGATTTCAGTCCTTCACGGCGTAGTGTGTTACCAACTGTTTTCTTGGTGACTATGGTCCCAGCTGCCTTGATCATTGACAAGATCCTCCCGTGTAGTTCTGGGCTGATTCCTCACCGTTCTCATGATCATTGCAACTACACGAGGTGAGATCTTGCATGGAGCCCCAGGCTGAGGGAGATTGACAGTTCTTTTGTGTTTTTTCCATTTGCGAATAATCGCACCAACTGTTGTCACCTTCTAACCAAGCTGCTTGGCGATAGTCTTGTAGCCCATTCCAGCCTTGTGTAGGTCTACAATCTTGTCCCTGACATCCTTGGAGAGCTCTTTGGTCTTGGCCATGGTGGAGAGTTTGGAATCTAATTGATTGATTGCTTCTGTGAACAGGTGTGTTTTATACATGTAACAAGCTGAGATTAGGAGCACTCCCTTTAAGAGTGTGCTCCTAATCTCAGCTCGTTACCTGTATAAAAGACATCTGGGAGCCAGAAATCTTTCTGATTGAGAGGGGGTCAAATACTTATTTCCCTCATTAAAATGCAAATCAATTTATAACATTTTTGACATGCGTTTTTCTGGATTTTGTTGTTGTTCTGTCTCTCACTGTTCAAATAAACCTACCATTAAAATTATAGACTAATCAATTTTTTGTCAGTGGACAAACGTACAAAATCAGCAGGGGATCAAATACTTTTTTCCCTCGCTGTACACCGTGTACGCATATGTGTATGTATCAGATAGATATGAACACATATGCCTACACTGTCTGTTTATTTATCTGAGAGATATGACACCTGCATATAATTTAAATTACATGTAGTCATCATGATGCCGTTCGTGTATCGCTCTTTCCAGTGTTGAATATAATTTGCATAAATGTATTCGGGACGGGTAGAAAATATTTGAGCTTGAGAAATTTGCCTATGAAATGATAGATTAGTCAATTACTTATCTAAGGAATGCTGCCTGAATAATATTTGGCAAATTCTATTAATGAGTTTTTTTTTACGTGGGAGAAACCCAACTTACCCAGAAAATACCTACAAGTATGAAAATGCAACATTCATGGGTTTCACACGGATGGATTCAAGAATGCACTCGTGTCTTGCCATCTTCTGTCCAGATCCGGAGCCGAAGCTTACACTTCCTGATGTTCCAAGGCGGTGATCTGCCATTCTAAGTACAAACTAGGCTTAAAACCTGCCGAACTTCTGAGCTCGTGCAGTCAATACTCACCCAGATGCAATGAGCTCCGGAGCGCTCAGAGCGATTTGGTCGTGGATAGCGGTAATGGAGGATCAAGTTTTATGAAAAATGTCTCTGCATTCACTTCTGCCTCTTTCCACCCCTCACCTTCCACATTGTTTTCTCCGGCCCCTCGGCGCTCAAAAACCAAAATGAAAACAAAAACGCTCAATTGCTTGTGCGCACTTTCTTAACAAAAAGTGAACCGTTAAAAATCACTGTCGTTTTCTCACCGCGCGTTTTTCACCCCCCTCTCCCTGCTCCCCGTCACTTTCTCGCCCCGCCGCCAGGTGAGCGGGAGTCCCGAGCCCACGGTCACCTGGTGGCACGACGGAGTGGCCCTGACGAGCGGCGGCCGCGGATGCGCCCAGCGCTCGCGCCCCGGGGCCTACAGCCTGGAGATCCGAGGCCTCGTGGCCGCCGACGCCGGCCGGTACGAGTGCGAGGCCTCCAACGACGCCGGCAGCTGCCGCCTCGCGGTGCAGCTCACCGTCGAGGGTGAGGTTTGCCTTGGGGCATTGCCGCCACCACTGGCTACTGCCTATGCCGCCACCCCCACCGCCACTGCAGCCACAAACCGCCTTCGGCGTATTCATGAGGGTCAAATTGAACGTGGATCGGCGGGTGTCAACTGCGAGGGAAACTTCCTCCTGGATTGGTGAGGAACGGAGCGAGGTTTGATTGAGGCGAATGTGCCCACGTTGCCATGAGTGGGCGTTAGTGATGCTCTACATTGGTGGCATAGTTTTCGAGTGTGCAGGCAGCGTAACTGCTCTCTGCACCAGAACCCGTGGCAACCGCGCTACCCAACTTCCCCAGAAATTGCACTCTTGTGTACGCACGTAGAAATGGACGAGCCCAATAGCCGATTGCACATGGACAGCATGCAATAGACAGCATCCTCTACAACTAGAGCAGCCAATTGATAATTATGGATCGGCTGAATGTGCCAGGCACACACGGGCAACGCTGCCAACAATCCATGACCTGCACCGTTTCAACCCAGCCCGTGGACCAAGCTTGACGTGGGGCTATGTTGGGCATCGATGGCTCTGCTGCAATAATTTCTGGCTATACTGGGAGAGGGTGGGCGGTGGTGGTCGAGCGGGGTGGGGGTTCAGCAGGCAGGGGGGTGGGGGCAGTGGGGGGGGAGGGGAAGTCGTGCCGCTTGTCAGCAGAGTTGGCAGTGAGTGTACTCCTGTCAGCGGAAAGGGCACGTTAGGGGCGGGAGGGAGTTTAGGGAGAGGAAGGCGGTGGTGTATTAAACGGGTCGCGTAACGAGGTTGTGGTGACGATGTGGTAGTGACGAGGTGCTGCTCCGTGTAACCCCGCAGATCCGAGGTCTCCGACATCACGGCAACAAGAAGCCAAGGAGCCCAGGTAATGAGACGGGATCCAGGCCGAGTTGGCGCGAGCGAGCGAGCAGGTCGCTGTGTGCGTGGAGTACGCGCGGTGTGACCCGCGTCCTCTCTTCGCACTCGCTCTCGGTGTCGGAATTGTGACCAACTCGTTGCTGTGCTCTAACATTCACAGACCAGTCGGCGTTTCACTGCTTTTCTGACTCGGTGTTTTAGTCTGCGCTTCGCTCCCACCCATTATCAAGTTCGTGTTCCGCTGTCTCGCTCATTATCAAGGCCATCGGTATTTCCTGTGTGGGTCATTCGGCCGCAGTATACCACGCATGTGGGCGTGAAAGACAAATGTGGCCGCCCCATTCACCCCACGGCCCCGGAGAGGACTGCTACATTGCCTGCCCATTCTACGCGGGGTCCAGGGCCAGATCCACTGTTTTACGGGGATATTTGACCAATGAAGCCCAGGATGACAATAGCGACCACAAGTAGGAGCGAGGGTCCCCCTCGTTCTCCTGTGGCCTCCTTTTGCGGAGCCGTTTCTACCCTGGCGTGACCGCTCGCAGTTGCCGCAGCACCAACCAGGGAGCGGCAGCGCGGCTTGCTGGCGTGCATGCGTGGGTAACTGGCGGGGATCGGAGGGGGTGGCCTGGAGCCGGCACTGATACCGTTTGCCACGGTGACGAGCGCTGACATGCGGGTGGGAGGGTTGCATAATGTTTACCTGCGACTGGTGACGCTACACGCGCACCGCGACGAACTTTGGAATGGAGCAAAAAAAACACTGCCGCACTTGAAATGGGAGTCGGTGTGTCGTGCTTGCGCAAGTGCTGTTTTTATCTTCCACCTTGCTCCTTCCCATGCCCCCCTGGGGAGTAAATCGACGCGTCCCGTGCACACGCAGCATGCGCGCGAACGAGCATAAAGCATAACGCAGTGGTGGAGTTAATAAATCTGTGTGCGACGCGCTCGAGAGGGTCTGCCTGAGCTGGGAGACGTGGAGACCGATTCTCTTCCACGTCATCCGATTTTTGGCAGAACTTTGCCGAAGCCTCCAAGGCACGACGCGTTTCGGCCACGTGACTCTGCCTCCTGCCCCCGTACTGTTTACTTCGGACCGTTGCGTTCGATCGCAGTAAGCAAAAGAAGATAAAGAAAAAACGAATATGGAAACGAAATTGTAGGGTGCTTTTAGGAAACCTCCCGTTGTTATGGATTCCGCCATAACGCACGGTGTAGTGCGCAGCAATCCGCGTGTCTGCACGGCATGAGTAGATGCAAACTGACGGTCTGCAAAAAAACATTTGTCGAGCAACTCTATAATGATTTTGCAAGTGCAACGCAGCTCCATTAAGGAAAGGGGGCGAGCAAATAAGTAAATATATAAATGATATATAATAAGTAATTATAACGAGCCGCGCTCCCTGAATAGGTCATGTGTTATCTCTCGGCGCGAGCTCTCCGCCGGCCCGCTTGCCACCCCACGCCCCCCGCCGTCACCTTCTGCCGCCGCTCCCCGCTCCCCTCTCCCCGCCGCCCAGGCCACTCGATGCCAAACATCACCGCGGCGGAGTCCTCCAGACGCCCTGGCAGGAATCTCCCCCTCGCTTCGCGCAGAAGCCGAGCTGCGCGCTTGTGAAGGAGGGCGGCACGGCGCGTTTCTCTTGCCGGCCCACGGGCAGGCCGAGCCCCACGGTCGCGTGGCACAGGGTGAGTTCGACTTCCGGTTAGAGACCCGCTAACAGAAGCTGAGTGGGGTCTGCTTATATACCCCCCCCCCCCCTCCTGCCCACCCTTTATCCACTGGCACGTTCGAGCTGTCACGGGGCTGCCGTGCAGAGCCCCCAGCCCCGTGCGGGTCAGCGAGTCGCAAGGTTGTTTCTCTGCTGCAGGGCACGAGCGATGATCTCACTTGGGTCAAGTGCGCCGTCTGATTGCGGTGTGCGGCTGAAATTCCGAGCCCCTGCCCTTGGTCCTGCTCGGTCTCAAGGCAGATTGATGCGAGGCCAGAGTGGCACGGTTTTGGTTCTGGCTCTGCTTGCCTCCTAATAGCTGGTGGAAAAACCACCCATACCGTGAGGGGCCCCCATGCTGGTTTGGCTCCGGTGCATCAGTGGAAATGAGGTATTAGAGACCCAGCCCCATGGGGCGAGTGGCAGGGGCTGAGCAATTTGGTGTGCGGGCGGTGCAACTTTTACCAGGGGGCCCCTGCCAAACACGCTGCAACAACGCTTGGAATTCCCTCCACTCGGGAAGTGAGTGCGATGATTCGTGAATCCTTAACAGTTCTGGGTCGTCATTAAAATGGATCAAGAGGAGACTCTCCACATAGTCGGGTCTCGCCTTGATGGCCCTTGCCTCCATTAAGTGTTGCAGCTGGTGAATGCTACCTGCTTTGAATAATTATTCCAAAATCGGGCCATTTTCCTGCGCATTATTATTTCTCACTTCAGTTGACTTCGTTCCATTTAAGTTATTTCGTATTTGTTTGATGCTCTGTGATCACGCTCCCCTGCCTCGGCCGCTGAAGGGGAAGGTACTGCGTGCAGTAAAAATTCATCCAGGGAAGGAAAACGTCTTTCTGGCTGCAAGCGTGACCCATTTTTTTTGTCCTTGTGCTCTGAATCTTTCAGAGGCTTGGGTGCCATCCAATTTTTGTTGCACGAACAAGTATTAAAAATAAATAAAATAAACAACTGTACGATTCTATGGGACAACAGATCGGACTCTTGATTTACAAGGACACAAACCTTATGCTTGCTTGAGCCAGCCCCTCCATGCTAGCCAAGCGGCGTGTGTTCGAACGCGATAGCCCACGCCTGACGTAACGACGCTCGAAACAAAAGCCCCCTTCAGCGAACCCCGCGTCACGTTCTCATTTAAATCCTAGATCGTCTTCACTTAAAATGATCACCCGGTCCCCAGGGACCGCTTGCCTGCACACGAGAGCTAAAACTAATGACGACAACGACAAAAAACAACAACGGCACCTTCTTCCTAAATTTCTGCTTCTGGGCTGCCCTGTGACCTCCAACTGGATAGCGAGGCACTGGAAACCACCCTCTCGGCGCCGGTTGTGATGCGTGCGCCGCGGATTTGTCTTGGTGCCGGCAGAGCGGAGTGGAGCTGACCCCCGGCGGACGGGTCGCGTTGGGAGAGGCGGACGGCGTGCACTGGCTGGCGGTGGCGGACGTCGGCGCCGGTGACGCCGGCAGCTACGCCTGCGTCCTCGCCAACGCTGCCGGCACAGTGAGCACCAGCACCGAGCTGCGCTTGCAAGGTACCCCACGGCCAGCGGTGCCGAGTGCCGCACCCGTCCGGGGTTTGGGGGGGGCGTGGGGTGGTGGGGATCATCTCGTGACTTTGCTTCATGTTGCGAAACCAGCGAGCGTGACCTACGTGCATCTGTGCTGCTCTCACGGGAGGGACATCAAAGGATTCGGGGGCTTGGGGCGTGAGGTTGGGACTGAATGAACACGCTTGATGATGGATTGGATGTACTGATTGCAAAGGTGCAGCGTGTGTGGTGACTGTTTTTACCGTGGCCGAGGCTAGGTGCAATCGGTCAATTGCCAGGTGAGTTTTGGGAGCTTTGGGGGTGTCCCGTGGCAGGTCAGTTTGAGGGCATTGGCGATCGAGGTGCGAGCGCCCAGGAGGAGATGCAGTGGTCCCGTGAGCTAGCCGACTTGCCGTGGTTTGATGGCCCAGACGGGTTCCGTTGGCGAGCGGGGGTGAGGAGGGAGCGGGAGCTGGTGATATGCTGAGAGACATCACCTGGGGCGATGTTGGCACAGACTCAGTTGCAACACTGCTGCTGCTGCCACCATAAAATCCGCACCAGTTGCTCTGGCGTGCCGAGGCCTTTCCCGCACTGTGGCGCGTGTCCATGTTTTTATATTTGTCGCCATCGCGAGTTTTTTTTTTAACGGCTCACCTCGTCCCCACACTCGCTGCTGTAAATCGGGCTATTGGTCGCCACGAGAACGAGAGCGCAGCAAACAAAAAACACGCAATTTTTCTTGTTCGGTCACGGCACGGGAAGAAATCTGGAGGAAGCGCCGGGTGATAAACGCACGCCGATTCAGCCGCAGCAGAAGATTCGTTGCCGAATGAAACCGTGGCTCTTGTTTGGCCGTGGGCGGCCACGTGCGGTGACGACCAAGCGTGCGACAGCTCTGTCTCCCAAACCCCCAACGCCACCCACCCCCTGCCGGAGATTGATGCCAGACACGGCTGTGGGGGGGCCCTCTGCTTCCCCTGGGGTCGGTGTCCTTGTTTACCGACCCACTGGAATTGACTGGAATGAATGTCTGCCCCCACCTCTTCCCCTCTCTGCCACCCCCCAACCTCTCGGGCACCCTTGCGCTCGGCTCGCTCGCGCGGGCTGCAGGGCAGCGACTCGGAGGGTTCTAATTTTGGGGACGTATTTGTTTCGTTCTTTATATAGGGCACAAAAGGGTGTTGTTTGAGAATCTCGCTTGCAGACTTTCATCTCCGTGGTGCTACTCCAAGCGTGCAGTCGCACACCGAGCCTGCCCGGCAGTGATAGACCGCACGCACGCACACGGGAACACACATGCACGTTGCTAGTGGGTACAAAGACAAAGATCCCCCGTATAGCCTTAACAAACTGTTGGGGCAAATGCCGGCTCGGCACACGAGGGGGTGGCTGACCAGCACCACGCTCGGCCGCCTTTGTCTCCCTAGTGGCAATGTTACACGCCACACCAGGTACTCATTTGAGGCTGAATTGGCCTAGGGGAGGCGCAGAACCGGTTCAGATAATTGTCACTGGTGTTGGCCGCGAACGTGAATGGAATCTGGGCCGCTGGGTATGTAGCACAGCGCACTAACCACGACTCAACTGCTCCCTTGCAAGCCGGTACAAAGATAAAGATTCTCCTTATAGCCTTAACAGACTGTTTGGGCAAGTGCTATTAGTGAGCAACTATGAAAGCTGGCATGGAAAACGAGGGGGTGGGTGGCCAACGCAACGCTCGGCCGCATTTGTCTCCCCAGTGGCGATGTTTTTACACCGCTACACTGCCGCTCCAGCTAACCGCTATACTATGTTCCACACGCATGTGCACCAATACCCGCCATTCACCACTAAGTGACGGTGACGTCTCCACGGCACCTGTGCCAGGCCAAGTGCACTTTTTGAGGCACTCTGAGGCCACGTGAATTGTATGTAAGCGTGTGTGCATGTACACAGACGCTTACATACACACACCTGCTTGTACACACATGCCCGGATATACACAGAGGCAAAAATGTAATGTGTAGCCTTTGCCAGGCGGTTGGGACAAGTGTTGTTAGCGAGCACCTAATAAGAGCTGCTTGTGGGGCACGAGAGGGTGGTGCTGCCAGCACCACACCCGGGCCCTATTATGCACACAAACACAATGCACGCACATGCGTATTCACACGCGCGCGCGCGCGCGCGCGCGCGCACACACAAAGCATAACGAGGGAAAGAATGGATGACAAAAGAGTCGCAGGTAAACATTTGCTCGACACAAACCAGGCGGTACCTGGAGGGCAGTGGAACCGGAGCCTCCGCGCCGGCGTCTGCAGCCCGGCTGATTTACACGTGTGCCCTCGTACTGGGCAGATTGAATTTACTCTTTCAGCTGGACTACTTTTTTTGGTAATAATATTTCGATTTTGAAAGCTTATTTTTGGGAGCCTTCCCCAGGCAGGCCGATGTGTGAATGTGTGTGTGTGCGCGTGTGTGTCTGGGGAGCCATAGTGCAGCGGTCGGAGGCTGTGCTATGAAACCAACGACCCAAGTTCGATTCCCGCTCACGGCCGCCACCACAACATTTTTGACGATTATCTGAACCGTATCTGGGTCTTGCGTAGGTCGACTCGGCCTTAAATGAATAACTGGTGCAGTGTGTAAATCGCCACTTGGGAGAGAAAGGTGGCCGGATTTTCTTAGGTGCTCTCAAACAGTACTTGCCCCAACAGTCTGCTAAGGCTATACGGGGGATCTTCGTCTTTGCTCGCCTGTGGGAAGGTGGCATCCGTGAGGGATGGCGGAGGGAGATGCCGTGCTGCGGCTTTTGTGATGAAGGCGCGAGCTGGCCCAGCGGAGCAGCGGCGACGATATCGTCGCCGCCGAGAGGGTGCACGTGCGGATGGATTACGCGGCAGGGCAGGTTACCCGTGCGGACGTCATTGTCGTGCGGTGTAATCCACACTCGACGCCGTCACCCCGCCGTGTGGAAGGTGCCGCATCATCAAGGGGCGATGATGTTACAGAGCTGGCGGCAGGAGGAGGCCCCCGCCGCGTGTTCCGTCAAATAAAAGACTCGCGTAGGCTCGGACGATCGGACGCACGCTGCGCCGTGACGGTTGGCGCGAAGTCGGCTTGGTCGCGCGGTAATGTATCGGCACCAAAGCCTCGCAAGACCGCCGTGTGACGGCCGCGCTAATGATGGGTAGCGGGTTCCCCCAGAGGTTCCCACCGCGTGTATTTTAAGATCGTTTACATCTGTCGCGTGTCGTGGTGGGCGAGCACGCTCGCACGCCGCCTCCTGTGTTGGCATTAGGACGTGACCGAGGCTCGGCTCCCCCATTGTCCTGCTCCCCTGCTGTTGACACAGCAAGGTTACCTCAATTACAGGTAACGTGACCTCTCTCTCCCCGGGCCGCCCTGTCTGCGAGCAGGTGGTGGTGGCAGTGGAGGTGGCGCCTCTGAGACGTCCCCGCCCCCCGCCGCCCCGTGGCGACTTGAAAGGACGAAGCGCCAACGGAACGGTGACACAGTCTCGCCCGCACCTCTCCGCGCCGAATTCGCCACACGCAGTGCGCGCGGGAAAACGGAGTTCTTGCCGGCGCGCCGCTCTGTCGCAAGTGACACGGGCATGGACGGAGGAACCGGCTCCTCTGCCGTAATTGGCGCCGGCAGCGTCGAGCGGTAAGAGCGCTCCGTGTCCTCACGGTGCTGGTGGTTTTTGTGTCGTCCCCGTGGTGGTCGTTGTCATCTTCCCGCGACACGTTTATCAGCCGCGAGTGTGCACAGGTGGGAAACGGGCGGCAACGGCTGTGGCTCTGTGAGCCTGTAGCTGCAGGGTTTGACTTCGGACCATGGAGTCACGACCGTGTTTGTGCACGCGCGTGGCTTTCGTGTTAATTGCTCAAAATACCAAAAATGCCCTCCCGTTTTTTTTTTCAATTAAGAGGCAAGCGTGTGCAGTCATAGAATAGATTAAAACAAGTCCTTATCTGCTTTCCATGTTTTGATTCCTGCTTTGCGGTCGCGGCACAGCACTCAAAAATGGAAGTGCCATTTAAATTTCCGCTTTTTCTCACAAGTGCAGACCAAACAGGAGACTAAACACGAGCTTTGTTTGTTCCCTCCCAAGGATGGAAGCGTCTTCCCATGAGCCTCAGCTGGAGGAGCGACGCGATTCTCAGAGCTCCAGCGTCCACAGTGAGCCCAGCCCGGAGCTCAACGATAAGGAGGAGGAAGAAGATGCAGGCGGCTCGGAGCACAGCAGGGTTGTGATGCCGGAGGAGGGCGAGCGGCCCCACGTGCCACTGACGAACGGCCACGTGCGGCCGACGGACTCGGAGGCGCCTGACTCCGCTCAAGTGCCGGCTCCGGGGCAAGAATGCGGCGCCCCCAGCCCGCAGCTCAAAGTCCACGGAGGGGTCACGCTCGGAGGTTTTGACGCAGAGGGGACGCCGGGCAGCGACCAGGAAGCGTCCCCGCAACAAAATCGTTCTCTGCAGGATGAGCTCTTGAGTGACGCCGCTCCCCAGCGCCCGGAAGCTGACGTGGCCGGACACGATGCTGAGGAGGAGGTGGAGGTGGAGGAGGCGCGGGACCAGGGTGGGGTGCACGGTGATCTGGTGGAGGATTGGGAGGGACTTGCCACCGCCACCCCACGAACCGATTCGGACGAGATGGACGACTCTGTCCCCTCCAGCTCCGCTCAGCTCGTTGAGACCTCCGACGCCACGGACACCGCCAGCCTCGGCGGCACCGTCGAGAACGCAGATGCCGGCGTGGCCGCTGCCGCCGCCAACATTGTCTGCGGCGCCCGCTCCAGCGAAGCCGTCGATGCCACCTGCGATGCCGGCACCGCAAACGCGGTCGAGACCTGCGACGTTGGCGACGTTGGCGACGTTGGAGACGTTGGCGACGTTGGCGACGTTGGCGACGTTGGCGACGTTGGCGACGTTGGCGACGTTGGCGACGTTGGCGACGTTGGCGACGTTGGCGACGTTGGCGACGTTGGCGACGTTGGCGACGTTGGCGACGTTGGCGACGTTGGCGACGTTGGCGACGTTGGCGACGTTGGCGACGTTGGCGACGTTGGCGACGTTGGCGACGTTGGCGACGTTGGCGACGTTGGCGACGTTGGCGATGTGGGCGCCGCCGTCCCCCCGTGCGTCTCCTGGGTGCCGCCGGCCACCGTGGTCATGGCCGTGGGTGACGGCAGCAGCCGGGAGAGCTCCGAGGAAGAGAAAGCTGCCGCCTTTTCAGACCCCGTGAACGTCGCCGCGCCGCTGGGGAATGGGGACGAGGTGGCGGCCCCGGGGGACGGCGAAGGCGACGGCGGGAGGAGAAGCGCACGGGAGGAGAACGAGGCGGTGCCTCGCGACGCAGGTGCCGATCCATCGCCGCTAATGACGTCTCCATACCTGTCAATTCCTTATCGGTGCCCTACCTTAGTACAGACCTATTCAGACCGTATTGGTCACCCCGTGCCCTGATAAATCTCAACGTTCATCCTACAGAGACCCCATTACAAGGGAAAAAGACAAACAAATAGACACTTTTGTTGCCCGTATTGAAACGGCTGTACACCGTGTGGCGCTAAACTCAACTTCCCTGTACATGAATACGGGGTAAACCGGATGGGTTGACAGTATGCGTCTTGTCTGCGTCTCCCCAGCCGCGTTGTTACGATGCTTGTGCCACAGACAAACGCTCTTCTCATCTATGAAAAAATAAAAATAGGTTTTCCCTTTCTGGCAATAAAACAGGTGGTAAGATGTTCGTAGACCAAATAGGATTTTTTTGCAAGGAATTCTCTCTGCATTAACCAGACACACTTGTGTTTTTTATTCGGTGTTGAGACCTGTTTTCGTTCCAGAAAGGGTACAACCTACTCTTATTTATTCATACTTTGATATTGGCAAAAAATTGTCCCATTTTGCTCTTCTCATCTCTCTCCCTCATTCAAGTGCGATCTTTTTTTCTCTTGCCAGGTAAGGCCACAATGAGCTCTATAGCTCTTTGTCAGAAGCAACCAGGCCACAAAGATAACTCAACGAAGTGGCATATCAGGTAGAAATGTATAGCAGCCAAACACTCTAAATGCATGTCGATTCTAAATGTGGAGGGGGAAAACTGGAGGACCCGCAGAAAAATTTACGTGACCACGGTGAAAACATGCAAATTCCAGATGTACAGGCATCATCATCCAGTGTCGGGATCGAACCCACGACCTGCTGTATACCAGGCGAGGCGGTAAACATCTCGCCACCGCAGTGCCCCAATGCAACGGCAGCAGTAAGCTGCGACGAGGATGTACACAATTGATGTGTGGCCGTGTCGCAAGGCACTTTCAAACAAGAGGAACAATGGCGTGCGCACACGGAGAGAATCGTTGAGATCGGTGCTTTGCGGTTTGATTTCAACCTGTTGAGTCTCAACTTGAACCATCGCCATGGATGGTCGCGCCGATTATCGAACCACGCCAATTTGCACGTGCGCGACTCTCCTGCCAAGTCCGTCGTGCTGAACACCTTAAAATAGAACTCCCCTTCACCAGCGCTCCAATCTAAACTTGCAACCATCGTCCGTAGCTGCCGGTTACTCGGTGCAAATATTTGGTGGGGAGTCGCATTTCCAAAACGCAGCCGTGGAAAAATCTTAGAGTGCTGGACGACCAAGCACCCCACAATAACAACATCAACAAACAACGGCCGTCAAGTCAACGTTCGGCGGTCAACTACATTCTGCCAGTATTCGCATCGGCCGCCGAGGAGGAGAGGGGGGTGGGGGGCGGCCTAAAGGAGGCGCGAGGTCATGACTCATCGCCTCTGTCGTTGCTTCTTCAGCCGTCGAGGATTGTGAATCGGTCTGTGGGACGAAGCCCGGGCCCGGTCTCCAAGTGTGTGCGCGGACGATGGTTTGTGATGCAAATGCGGATAACAGCCAGGCCGCAGGCCTTCATAGGTGCTCGCTAACAGCACTTGTCCCAACAGTCTGTTAAGGCTATACGAGGGATCTTTGTCTTCTTTGTGTGTGAGAAACTGTGAATCATTGCGTCCGTTTCATTCATGGACCTGTGTCGCTCCACTCGGTCACAGGAGGTGGGGAAGGAGGTGGTTAGGCGGTGCTTGGTCCAGCGTCGCATTACTGCGCTATTGATGTAATTGCCAAGAGAAGACACGTCCCTTCTCTAACGTCTCTCATTAATTTGCAAGCCCTCATCCTCTACTCCACTACAACATCCTCCATCCCCCTACAAGGGCAACGGGTGTCAAATGATCACTGCGCCTTGAAATTGGCCGCAGGATTTGGCGTCATAAAGATCGGCACCTGGCGATAATTCAGGGGAACGTGGTATTTATAATCGTGCCCGGATCACGTTCGGAATCGCGCGCATGCCGTGGTCACTCAAGCCGAGCGAATCCGGTGTTCACGAGCTCCGGCACAGCCCGCCCGGTGTGCCATGTGTCTGGTGTGTCTGGTGTGTCTGTGTGTGTCTGTGTGTTTGTGTGTCTGTGTGTCTGTGTGTGTCGGGCATGGTGCTGGCCACCCACCCCCTCGTTTACCGTTCTGGCCTTCATAGGTGCTCTCTAACAGCACTTGCCCCTACAGTCTGTTAAGGCTATACGGGGGTTCTTTGTCTATGTGTGCGCATGTGAGTTTGTATGCGTCTCACTCTGTGTGTGTGTAGTTCTGGTGTGGGAAGCAGAGGTGGAGCGGTTAGTGTGCTGCCCTACGAACCCGGCAACCCGAGTTCAATTCCTGCTCGCATCCAACACCAGTGATGGTTATCTGAAATCTGTCACGGGCCTCCCATTGGTCAACTTGGCTTAATGTGGTGTGTACACATCGCCACTGGGGAGACAAAGGCGGGCGGGTGCGGCTTTGGCCAACCCCCCCCTTCGTGTGCCGTGCCCATCGATAACAGCACTTGCCTCAACATTCTTTTGAAGGCTGCGGGAGATATTTGTCTTCGTCCATGTGTGTGTCACCCAACCATGAAAATTCGTCCATGTGCATCACTTTCTCCGTGCGATGGAGGCCGTGCCCAGCTGAGCCCATCCAGGTTTAAGAACCCCCCCCCCCCATCACCACCGGGGGGGATAGGCTGGTGCGACGAACTGGAAGAAGGGATCACTAACTGATGTCTCCATGGAGCTTGCAGCAAACGCACACGTTGCTCTAAAGACAATCTCCTGTACGGTTTATCATAGTTGTACAATACGGCCATTATAGAGATGGCTCTTGGTCCGTGCTGCGCGTGCATGGCCCCCACCCCGGTGTTGCACGCTGCGCCTGCCCCCCCCCCCCCCCCCACCCCACCCCGGTCGGATCAGGTTTGAGGCTCGCGGCTCGTGTCGTCAAATCAATTTTTTTTTAAATGAGCGAAAGCAAATCGTGAAGTGCTGTGCAAACGTTAAAAGGATCAGGATGGTAAGGCAGTGCTGCTCTGAGGCACTCTAAGTGCCCGGCGATGTGGTGGTAATAGCTTGTGGGTGGCGATGTGGCTGTGATGATGTGATGCGGATGAAGATGTTTAAGGCGATTTTTGTTGGTAAATTTTCGCCGCTTTTCGATTTAAAGCTTTCGTGACTGCAGGGATTCATCTTCTTGGTTCTTTCGGTAAAGTCACGTAGAAGGGAAGTAATAAAATAATAAAAATAAAACATAATAAAATAAAATAATTCTCACGACGTTTCGGCTTATAAGCTGCAGCTTATATATAAGCTCCTAGCTTGGCATTGTCTCATTCTTCACCTGAAGACGGCTGCTTGCGTTGTAGCCGAAACGTCGTGAGAATTATTTTATTTTATTATGTTTTATTTTTATTATTTTATTACTTCCCTTCTACGTGACTTTACCGAAAGAACCAAGAAGATTTCGCCGCTTGTTGTGTCGGCTTGTTTACGTCATGTGTTTTTGAGTGGTGGTGCGACGATGCGGTGGTGTGACCATGTGATGTTCTGGCATGTGCGGTGCGCCAGGCCCCCCGGAGCTCCAGGGCCCCCATCAGGTGACGGTGAGCGCCGGGGACTGCGTCACGGCGACGTTCTGCCTGAGCGGCCACGGCCCCTTCACCGTCCACTGGCTGAGGAGCAAGGCCACCGTGCGTCACCCTCGCCCCACCATCACCACGATCGCTCACCCCATGCCACGATCGCTCACCCCACGCTCGCCACACATTCCTCTCCAGTGGCGCAGTGTGGTTGACCCCGTGACCCCTGGTGCAGTTGCACTGCCTGCACACTCGATAGTTGCGCCACCACTCACCTTACACGATCCCTCACCTCCACACGTCTCATCTTACTGCCTCATCCCACGTGGCTCCTCCACATTTGATGTTGCTGACCTGATTTCATCACTCCATCTCCGCGGTAGACATGATGCCTCTGGTCATCAGTCTCAAACACGAGCGCTCTTATTTTTGTTATTACGGCCAATGCAATATGTAGGATTATTTATCTCAACAGTTTCTTTTGGGTACCGATTTCATCCATTTTAAATACATCACCACCATGGCAGAAAGCAAAACGGAAGCCACGTTACTGAGCGGGAAATCTGCTTTTTAAACCTTTTCACTGGGTGTTGCGTTTAAATATTCACGCGACTCGTTTGTATACAATGTCCCGACACGTGGACATAAAACACGAGCTCACAGTTGTGAACTGTTCACATTAGGTGGACTCTGTGTGAGTACACCACGTACCCTCTCAAAGTTGTTGTTCGCGATCATGGCCTTTGACCCACCCGACTGTCGCGATTTTTTTACGTATTAGCGGTGCACCGGTGGTGCGTGGTATAAAAACACAACACATTTTTCGCAATAATTAATTATTTTCCCGCGATTTGCAACTCCGGTCAAAAAATCTCGTGGACTAGTGGTGGTGGTGGTGGTGGTGCATCAAAATCAGTTCTCGTGATGTCGAAGCAGTCGGAAGACCAACGTTACAACGAGTGGTATGAACACGAAGAAGCTTCACCGTCTGTTGCCGTACGGCAGCACCCAGCCTGATGACGATTGGCTGCTCCGTGTTGCAAAGGCAGATTTGACTCCTCGTGCCCTAGACTTGGTCGCACGGTTCTTAGATTCAACAGACTCATATCCGCAGTCAATATTGACATTGTTTAGCATGTCTCAGTCGACTGAATAACATCTTCGAATCGCGTCAAACTTGGCGACAGGGTCGATTAAAGACTGATAAACATATTTGTTTATTAAACTTAGATTTCGGACTTTTGCTGCACCAGTGTACCACCAATACGTCCATTTACCCAAGACCTCTGCATCTGACACTCCCAGTTGCATCTGAGCGTTCACTTTGCTTGTGAAAAGTTTTTTTGTTACCTTATTTATTTCAACAAAACGGGAGCCCCGTTTTCAGCCCGTTGAGCAGCTCGCAAAGCCGTGAATCGAAGACCGCGGAGAACCGTTCCGACGCAACTGAGCCCTATATAGAGAAGGGCGGGGGCCCTGAGGAGGAGCGGGGCGAGGGCGCCATCTCAGTGAGAACACCACGTCCGGGAAGTGAAAATTTTAATGGGGGGGGGGGGGGGGGAGCAAGAGGGCAAAGAAAAACTCGTAAAATCAAATGTGGCACAAGTGGCGTATCGGCGTTTATGATGTCCCTCCACCTTTCCGGGTTCTGTTTGGAAGCACGGAGGGGATTCTTGATGAAACTTAATTCACCGTCTTCCCATCCGGCTTCTCGTGGTAGCTCGAATGTTCTCGGCCAAAAGATCTGCACATCTCGTCTCTTGTTTTCCCATTACACGTCCATAAAAAACCTAACTTTTCCTTTCCCCAATCATTATTATCAGCTTTTGTTTTTGTACATGCTAAGTAGATGTAAATATAACTGTGCGAATCCAGGCTGAGGGAATTATGCCACCGACGTATATTGCATGTTAGCCATGGGGGAGGAAAGACGACCCGTGGTTTTAATAAGGGGCCGTAAATCTTTATTTATCACCGTGCTGAAGATCCCTCCTTTTCGTTGTTTTTGGCAAAGACTTTTCCTCTTGCTTAATCCCCCAGGATTCAGACACAATGTTGAAAAACTGCTACTCATGGTTCGTCAACGATAGATGAAACCTTTTTAATTAGAAGCCCTGCGACACACGTGATAAGACGATTTTCCCTCCCTTCCAATCCGTTAAACCGAGAATCCGGTTGGATGTCTTGCAACGGCGGCCCGACCCTGCACATTAGATAACGGCTCGTGCAAGTGGACACCACAGAGCTACCTCCGAGATCCTTGTACCTGCCCTGCCGCTGAGGGTGACGTTTGTCGCACGACAGTCATGCCGGGCTGGACTTGGCGTGTCCACGGGCAGCTCCCCGGATGTTGAACCCAGGCTCCTTGGTGCCAGCTCGGTAATGGTGACCTCCAAGCCAACAAGGCCACCTCCTAAATTACACGCGTCACGTTTGTATTGTGATGAACCAGGTCGGGGTTAGGTGGGCGGTGGTCGACACTCTCGGCGGAGTGGCAGCCGACGGAGGGAAATGCGCCCGAGAGCACCTCCGCCATAAATCGGAGCGGCGAAATTATGTCGGTGGTGCAGATGGCTAGAAGGTATGGGGGGTAGGTCTTGATCTCGGCCATTGTTTATAGCGAATACGGTTGGTGTGTTCGCGTGTTCGCGCAGGTGGAGGAAGGTGCGAGGGTGAGGCTGGTGACGGACGAAGGGAGCGCCGCTCTCTCCATCGCGCCCGCGCGGCGCGAGGACTCGGGCTGCTACAGCCTCAGCGTCTCCAACGCCCACGGCAACACCACCGTGCCCTGCAACATCACCGTGCTGGGTGAGGAGGCCCTGGGGGGGCGACGGGCTAACCCGGGAGGTGGTGGCGGGAGGGGGGGCGGAGTGTTCATGGCATCACCGGGTGCACTGGCAGCCGGATAGATTTTCATTCCTTCTCCGTAAATCGCCGTGGGTGGATTCCGCTGTCAATATTTAGTAAACCTCTCCCATTAATAATGACTTTGGAGTCGGCAGGAGTGTTTTTAATAGACACTGTGTGTGACTCACGGGTTTGTAACGGGGCCTTTATGGGCCCTGGCTGGAGTTTCGTGCTGTATTATAAATGGATTAAGGCATTTGGTGCGTGCGCATTTCCACCGCGCAACGCACGAACCCAGCCGGCAGCTGCCCCGCTCTCCCTTCGCCGCAAACGCACCGCCGTTGACCGCGCATGCAGGCGAGATTGGACTTTTTTTAGGCAAACGCTTGGGGCGATTAATCTCACGGGAACTCTGCGAGCACAGCGGGGGATTGGGGAGCGGGGGGGGGGGGTGCCATCTCAAAAACGATTCACCGGCCGTGCGGCGGACGCTCGCCCGATGGTGCACGCAGATCGACCGGAGCCTCCGAGGGGCTGCCCCCAGGTGTCCCCGAGGAAAGACGGGTCGCTTGCGCTCTCCTGGTCGGGCCCGGCCGATGACGGAGGCAGTGCCGTGGAGGCGTACGTCGTCGAGGGCCAGCGGTGCGATGCCCAAGGCGGCGGTGGTGCGTGGACGGAGCTGAGCGGCTCCTGCGCCAGCACCTCCCTCACGCTGGACTCGCTCGAGTCCGGCAGCGGCTGGAGGTTCCGGGTTCGCGCTCGCAACGCGCACGGCCTCGGCGACGCGGGACCGGAGTCGCAGCTCGTCACGGTCGGGAACGCGGGTGAGGCGGCACCGCGCTCTTGCACGCGTTGCCACGCCGGCGTTAACACGCGCATGCCAAGTGCCTTGCGTGGTGATTTGTCGATTTAATGCGGCCCAAAGGTGTGCTTCGAGTTTTCATGTAAAATGTCAAAATGCAAATAGGAAATTTTAGGTCCAGCTTTTTGAGCTAAGTGCACTGGTCTACATAAGAGCCTGCTCGCTTATTTATGGATGCGATTTTTGGATGATCGGTACTTCTTGCCGGCGTGTTGTGTTTGTCTCGCATGCTCACGCTTTCGTGAACCTCGGCAGAAGGACCATTGAACGGTGAGCATCTTCGTTACAAAAACAAGAATAACACAATGCAATCTTTAACGGGCACAACATCACACAGACATCAATTACCGTGACTCTGAAATGCAGAGCCAAGTTTGGTGTCGCTCAAGCCAGGAGAGAGTTGTTGGGGGCCTTTAGGAATATGCCGGGCAGTGCCAGTCCTCTTTGTTGGTGTAGAGGAGGAGGCTGTGGGTCGCACTACTGTGGAGAGTTCCACTGTGAGCTGTAGTGCAAGGGGACAGGCGGGGAGAGAGATACAGTGGACGATTGAATGTAGAGGTTGCGGTGGCAAAGGCAGGCGATCTTTTAAGCATCGAGTCGAATCGCAACCCCAAGCACTGCCGCACGTGGCCTCGCGCTCACACACACACTGCCCTGAAAGTGATTTTGTTTTCCATTTGTGTGCAGATGAAGAGGAGAGCGAACCGGAGCACCACGATGTCGTGGTCAGAACCGACAAAAAGGTCATGGACCTGTTTGAGAGATTGGACAAACTTGGCACGTGAGTCCTCGCGCCATCGCGCAACATTGTGGACTCGTGGCGAGACTGAGCGTGGAGCGTGGAGCGTGGAGCAGGGGGTCTGCTCCAGGTTTCGCTATCATCGAAAGCGGAGCCCCACGAGCGATTCCGTGCAGTCATCTCCACTCCAAGCAACCTCACTTCCAGGGGCTCGAGAGAGGGACATTAAGCCTTGGGTGTAAAATAAAAAATATCTCGTGTATAACTATATATATTAATCTATATTTATAGATGCCCCTTTGGTGAAACCGTTTCAGTTACGAAATTACCACACACACACGTGCTTGGGGCGTTGTGTGTTCGTCCTTATTACAGAAACTCAATTCAACCATTTCAGTGCAACCATTATTGACGAGACTATTCGTACATTAATCACTTTATCTTCTCAAAATATTTCTAGGTTATAATCCATGTCCAGTAAGTGGCGTAAAATAGTATTATAAATATATCGTTCACAATGGTTGCATTCGCCCAGTTGATTTCTTTTTTCGTTGCTCCAAAAGGCTGCTTGGCATTAAAACCGCCGTGGCCTTTGCACGTGGGCTTGGTGGATAATCGGTAACCCTGGAGCCGAGCAGTGGAGGCACTTTCACGGAGGGGGTGTCACGGCGAGGAATCGAGCAGCACCCTTGACCGCATAAGCAGCCCCCCCCCCGCCCCCCCCCCCCCCCCATTAATTTATATTCGCAACCAGCCGTGAAATTGGCGCGCCGATTGTACGGTCGGAAAAATGCCGATGTCTCCGAGCCGCAGCCGCTTCTTCTCGAGAGCTCCGCGTGGTCGTCAACGGTTTGGTGGAGAGATCGTGGCAGGAGCAGTCCCGTGCACGAGACGTGTTTAAAATGCGCATCTTGTGTTTTCGGCCAGGTCTGTCCATGGGTCCGGTAACCCCTGAGAATGATTCCGCTCGTGGCATACCACGTCCAGCACACGCCTCGCTGTGGCTGTTGGTGCCAGCCGCGTGCCACCTCGCGGTCTCCCAGCGACGCAGAAAATATTTAGTCAAAATTAAGCCCTGGTTAGGCAGCTGTGCACTCTCCAATTAATTAATATTTGTTTTTCTCGAAAAAACGATTTTTACAAGAAATATATTTTTGGAATGAAATTATAATTATCATTTCAAAACGTTATCATTAATTGGCTTCAGATGCCACAACTTGTTTAAGCGGGGTTTAATTTCACACCGAGATATAGAAAAACATCACAAACCATGCTGTTGGTGAGCTGCCACTTTGTGACTGCTTCAACACGAGCACCTGCGCCTCCCTGTGCACACGTGCGTCTCTGTACGTCCTTGCCTTTGTAGGCGCTCACTAACTGCAAGTGCCCTAACAGTCCTCGAAAAGCTGATCTGTGTCCTTGTCCTCACCTGCCCACGTGTGCACGTGTTGTTGTGTGTGTGTGTGTTGTATGGTGTTTGTGTGTGTCGTGTCCTTGCGTGCTCTGCCCGTGAGCCCAGGGGCAAGTTTGGGCAGGTGTTCCGCCTACGGGAGAAGAGCAGTGGGCGGGAGTGGGCCGGCAAGTTCTCGCGCGCGCGCCGGCGCGAGGAGCGCGAGAACCTGCGGCGCGAGGTGGACATCATGAACAGCCTGCGCCACCCGCGCATTGTGCAGTGCCTTGCCGCCTTCGAGGCACCCACCGAGATCACCATCGTGCTCGAGTAGTGAGAGCTGCACGCACGCGCACGCAAGCGGTCTACGCTGACCAATCCGAGATGACTGGTTTTTATTTTGTCCAAATTTATTCAATTTTTGCTGTTGCCATGACATTATGAGATGGAGTGTCCACTCGCCGTTCTCACAGTGAGAAGTGCAGCGGTGAATCTGCCCGCTAGCGGCCTGTGCAAGATGCACGACCGAGATCTCCCGCACGTGACCTTTTACCCACACTAGGGGCACTGCAATTTTCCACGTGCCCTTTTGTACGTAACCATCATGCCACTTTTTTTATGACTTTGATCTGGATTTTAGCCACATCGAGGTTAAGAGCCTACATTCGGTCAGATGGTTTTTGTTGTGAAGTGGCTGCCTGGATTCGAACCCAGGATCTCAGAAAATGTTTTAATATATAGATGACAGGAATAACCCATGAGAGCAGAAACATGTATGTATGCTGGAAACAAATATATTTCCCAACACACACATGGGTGTGCAGCATTGCATGTAAACAGCTCTCAGCCTGGTTTCAGACCTCTGGCTCAAAAGACCTGACTGTGGCCTATTTGTCTTTGACACCACCAGCTCAAAGAGTTGAGGAAATGTAGCCATCCCAACAACGGGGAGCAGTGAAACCACTCATCGTTGCTTCACGAGACACTTCCAGATGGCGGTCCGCTTGAGAGGCCTTCATCCATCGAGAGCATAGGCCCTTGATGGATGATTACGAGAATGACGACGACGACGGAGGATTGCGAACGTCTCTCAGAGCCGTCGCCTTTGTGCGTTGTTCCGCAGCGTCTCGGGCGGGGAGCTGTTTGAGCGCGTGAGCGACGACGACTTTGAGCTGACGGAGCGCGAATGCGTCGAGTACATGCGGCAGATCCTGGATGGCGTGGGCTTCATTCACCGGCAGAATATCGTGCACCTCGACCTCAAGCCCGAGAACATCATGTGCGTGAACCGCACGGGCACGCGCATCAAGATCATCGACTTCGGCCTCGCACGCCGCATCGGTAAGTGGGCGCTCGCACTGCGCCGAGTGCATGGACACGACCGCGGGTCTCGCCCGCCGGCCAAAGGGACGGCGGTGGCGGCGGCGGCGGCGGCGGGCGCGTAACGGTTGAGCAGCCCGTCATTAGCTTGTGATACACCAATACGGAGTTTAGCACGGAATAGTGGCCTACCTCTATACTCGCGTGGCTCGCAGTTCGATTATATTTTTTAGTGATCTTTAAACTGGTCCTCGTCCGAGAACTTTAATGTTTTCTGGGCAAAACTCTTTCTAGTGGTACTTATTCAAATAATGCATCAAATCGTTTGTGGTAAGAACAGATTCTTAACCGTCATTTCAAAGGCGGTCAAAGCATCACGCACTTTCAGACGCACTTCTGCGGCCATCTGGAATGCTCTCCCTTCTTATATTAGGAAGCCACTAGAGCTATGCACTTTTAAATCTCGATTGAAAACTAATTGCTTTAGAACTGCTTTTTGTGCTTCGTTTCTCCGCACCTCTTATTAGCACGGTGGCTATGTACGGTGCTAAAGATGTTCTCCATACATACATACATTCTTGAACGACATTACTGTCTGGCCAGTGTATTGGACGAGACGGAACACGGGGAGGCAGGCAGTACGGGTTCTCCTCTGCAGCCCGCGCACAGCGCGTGGCTCAACGTGGTCACCACGGGGGAGCCCCTTCCGCGCGGGCGTCTATCCGGCCCAGCCGGGGGGGCCGCGTTTACGATTCTCTCTCTCGCATCCTTGCCGCGCCTGTCGATCGGGGAGGCCGGGGGGACCACAATACCGAACGCATGGTGACCACCACGACGCCGTCTCAGAGACGGCTCTGTGATGATGTTTTCCGTTCCTCGCTTTGTCCACTGGCAGAGCCGGGGGTTCCCCTGAAGGTCATGTTTGGAACCCCGGAGTTTGTGGCCCCAGAGGTCATCGCCTTTGAGCAGGTCACCTTCGTTACGGACATGTGGAGCATCGGCGTTATCTGCTACATTCTGTGAGTAAACGCCGCAGTTAATGTTCCAACCTAGTCCGGGCTGATCTCATCGCAGAGTCACGCGCTTGTGCCCGTGGGGGACATTCGCTTGTGCCTGGCTAACGCCGCCTTGTTGGGCACAACTGTGATGTCGTTCGTAATTGTTGTGCATTTTATGTCAGCTATCAATAGCCTTAAGTCTCGTAGTCATAGTCGTAGCAATGAAAAATGCAGTTTGTTATTTTAGACGTTGAATATGGACAAAAATGCCAGATGCATTTACTGGCTGAATGCATCTCAGTTGAACTGTTTGGTAAATGATTACTACAGGAGGAATCTCACATATCAAAGCACTCGTGACCGTATTGATATATAATGACAATCGAGTCATCCCACGCACAATCATTCATTGTTCACCGATGTATAGTGCCTGGTCACCCCATGCCCCCTTATCCCCCTTGTATGTACGCCCCTCTGTCTCCATGCCCTCATGTGTTTGTCTCCGTGTCTCTCTGTCTGTGCTCCCCGTATCATCCGTATCCCCATGTCTCTCCGTGACCGTGTTCCCCACTGGCAGGGTGAGTGGCATTTCCCCGTTGGCCGGCGACACCGACGTTGAGACAATGGCGAACGTGACGAGCTGCAACTGGGATTTTGACGACGATGGGTTCGCAGACATCTCGGAAGACTGCAAGGACCTCATCGGCAAGATGATCGAGAAGGATGTCAAGTGAGACCCCCCCTCTCCCCAGCTTGCATACCCCCACCCCCCATCTGAGCTCATTATCGTGATCCCTGTAAGACTGACAACCAAAAACTGAAGAACTTCATCATGTGAAACATCGGGCAATCGAGGAAATTAAGCAGTGTCAAGTTTTAAAGGAACTTGCGGATTTGCAAAAGTACAAATGAAAAGGAGGCATACGGTATGGTGCAAAGCAAATTTAAATGATTTTGTCCAAGCCGTTACCCTTTTCGTCCAGTTGCCCAATATGATGACCAACAGGGAAGCAGTAGTTATTATTAAAAAATAAACCTTCAATGTAACTGCGCATGGACCACACATCCCAAGGGTGACAGAATTCTTGCAAATGACCCAACTGGGATTACACACAGCAGCAACTTCGCCTTATCCCCCTTCCCGTACTAAAAAAACTTAGCAGGACCCTCCTAAAAGAAGTCTTGAGACTCAGTGAGGATTTCCTGGTTACACGAGTGGATTGTTAATGACGATGAAAAAAATAGAGATGCAATTATTGCTCCAGTGATGAAGGCAGCATCGTTGTCGATAAAATATTTGCCAAATCTGGCGAGATCCCTTCCCGGCCCGTAGGAGCGTTGTGATGTATTTTTGTTTTATGGCAAGGGGTTGGCGTTCCACGTGAACCAGATGTAATGAACTCGCGGTGGTAATTTAATCGAAATCTCAAACGCCGCTTGCAACGTGCGACGCCGCGCCCGCAGGAAGCGCTGGACCTGCGAGCAGTGCGTGCAGCACCCCTGGGTGCAGTCGAGTCCCGAGCGCTTGGAGCCCAAGCAGCTGAACAAGGAGCGCATGCGCAGCTACATCACGCGCAGGAAGTGGCAGGTAGGCCCCCACGCGCCCCGGCCCAGGAGGAGGACTCGTGCTGTGCGCTGCCACACGACATGTGGACACGCGTTGTTATATACTGCACAAAGTCTTATCGTATTGGAACCTCATTTGCCAGTAGCAAAATATGATAATAGTTTTTTTACTCGTTTATCTGGCAACAAAATTGACACCTCTTTTACAAGGAGTCATGTTTGCATTGACCACAATACCTGCAGTCGGAATGCAAACAAAAAACATAACTCTGATAATGTATGCATTACAACGCTAGGAAGAAGTTACTGGCAAATGAGGTTCCAATGGTGTAAATGCTTACCCCTAGCTCTCATACTCTGATGGTGCATTGTCCTTGAGTTGTGCCCCTTTTGGCGTCATATGGTCCAACACCATGTGAGACTAGGCTCTAAAGAAAGCGGTCTCGGGTGTAGACCAATCAATTTCAAGGACAGTGCATACATTATCAGAGTTATGTTTTTTGTTTGCATTCCGACTGCAGGTATTGTGGTCTATGCAAACATGACTCCTTGTAAAAAAGGTGTCAGTTTTGTTGCCAGATAAAACTGTATAAACAATTATCAAAGTCTTATCGTGTTTACCCTCCTGCGTGTTTCGTACATGAATCGCATTGAAACGTATGTAGCTCCCAAACTGCGTATGTATGGCTCGTACATAGCCTTTGTGCTAGAAGAATGGTTAATCGCTTATAACAGCATTTTTTCAAAAAGGGGCAACAAAAACTGCCGGCATTTCGTGAACCAACAAAAATTTTTTTTTATCCGATCGATAACAAATTAAAAATAATAGTAAGTCTTTCGACACTTTACGGTGGGGAACGATGAGCACGTGAACGTTCATCACACGAGGCGAGTGTAGATTTGTAAATGTGTTAATTGCTCGTTGTCGTCTTTATCGTTCTTTGCAGAAAACGGTGCACGCGGTGCGAGCGGTCGGGCGGCTGGCGGCCTTGAACGCGGCGCACATGGGCTCGACTAACGCCACGGCCACTCCGGCCTCTCCAGTCTCTCCGGTCTCGCCACAGTATAAATAGTGTCCAGGTGCCCCCCACGTCCTAGTAGCCCCCCCCCCTCTCCACGTCCTGGTTAGCCCTCCATACCCTGGTGGCTGTCGAGAGGGCTCCACCTGCCGTGCGTCGGACTCTTGGCACCCACAAATCACCGCCTGGGTAGTGCGCTGCAACGGAAGCCACCCTCGGTCAGCGGAAGAGATCTGACCTCGCTGCATGTTTTTAAAAGTTGTCATGTCCTGCTGTGGCCATGCGATGTCTCACAATCGACGATTGTCCGAATGTCACGAATACATCCTCTCTGCTGCTGACTATGCTGGACACTGGGCGTTATACGGGACAGGGGCAGTTGATATTCATCAGTGGCAAGCCATCCTCTGGGCTCCCTTAATGCTTTAACTATGCCCCCCCCCCCCCGGTTGCTCCACACGAGGCCCATGTTGAGTGGCCAAGGGGGCCCTCAACCTTTATCGTGGCTGCTTGACCCAACCTCTAAACTGTGCCCACGCATTTGCTGGACAATGTCGTGGGTAATCTTCACAGAGCCACCATCGGACCCTCGCGGTAGCCCTGATCTCGCCCCTGCTGCAGCCTTGAACGCCCTCCTTACCGCGGGGTCCACGAGCCCTGCCCCCGAGGGCTTGTGTGGCGTGCGAGCTGCTGTAGCCATGACTGTGGGAGATCGATCGCCTGCTACACTCGCCTTGACTCTTCGATCGACGAACACCGCCTCCCAGCTATGCCGGCTCCAGCCATGAAAATTCCGTCGTGCACTAATTTCTAAACCTCAACGCCCAACAGCTGCTGTGACTTGCCAACAATGATGCCAAATCGCATGAACACCTGTGTGTCCGTGTACATACGGGCACTGTACACACACAGTTGTGAAGCGGAATGTTAACTACGTAGGGAGTTTACGACCTCGCGTGGACAGGTTTTTGGGGAGGCGTGGGGAACATGTCAGATGAGGCTCCCCTCTGAGGTCGCCTTGTGGAACACTGTCTAAGGCCCCCCCAGATCTGAGACTGGGGTAAACTACCCCCCCCCCCCCCCACCATCCGTGTGCCCGCGGCGTGTAATTGTCGCACGAATTAAGTCGGTAAAAATGTCTCTATCGACTCGTTCTCAAAAATGCACTGCCGCATGTGTGCATGAAAACCTACCCACACACACAGCACGCGTGCTGTAGGACCCAGGGCATGTGTGATCACAATTGATGCCACCAAAATTGATGTCACCACAAGTTTTTCTCATTGTCTGTGTGCCCACGTTGTCTCACTGATATTTTTTTAAAATATTTTTTTTAATAATCCCCACGCTTGTACGTGCCTCTGGCCGCTAATATACCTATACATACCTGTAATTTGCATGTACATTATATAGTCTATCTCTCTTGTTCCCATATATGCCTATATTTTGAAAAATAAAGTTACATTATTTATCCAAGGGCATTCCATGTTCTACGGAGGTGGGGGGGAGGAAATCATCGATAGGTTTCTACGTGTGTTCTTTATTGGACTGAAACGGCTTTTGAATACTATACTGTATGTACTATATAGGTGTAGCGTAAGGTGATGTCTTGAGATATAATCCATCTCACTCGGGAAGAGGACAACTTTACTTTTCTGTAAGCGAATTTGGAAATAAAATTGACTGAATTCGTTGTGGGCATGACACAACGGGAAGTTTAATGGAATAATGGGTAGCAGTTGCCGTAATAATAACAATGTCCGGCGCTCAAGACGGATTGACAGTGGGAGCCAAAGGCGAAAACAGAGAGGCGGGACCGCCTTGGGAGACGGAGCGAGTTACTGCATTTGCGTGACCGTGAGAAATGGCGACGGCCTGGGGAGTCCTTCATCCCATCAGAAGCTATGACGGCTGTGCATGATAAGGAATCGCACTCCAGGTAGAGAGGGGTCTGTGCAGTGCTGGAAATGGGAATAGATCCGAGGAGGAACTTCACTCCACGTGGGTCTCTGTGCGTGCCTGGGTCTCTCTGTTAGTCTAGGTGGCTATCTGAAAGTCAAATAAATTTAACAAGAAAATATGAATCCTCGATTCCTTCCGTAACGCAGTCGGGGTTCAAATGTTCACTCCCACCACGGCGTTCCGTCCCATTCCCACCACCGCGTATGTGCAGAGAGAGGGTGGTGGGCGTGGGCTTTCATCTCGCCGCAACGAATGGACGTTCACATTATGTTCAAGTGGCGGGGAGGAAGGACAAGGGACGTGACTGTTTAACATTTGTACTTGGTGTTCGTAATAATAATAATTACTCCGCGTGTTGACTCGCCAAGTTTGAATCGCTGCCGTTTCTTTCCGCGAGCGAGCCGTGGCCGCTGCGAGACAGCAGAGAGCCCCTCCTGCCCGACTCGGAGCGAGGTGAACTCGAGCGGTGGGTGGTGCTGTCGCCATTCGCGTCCGCCCGCGGTGCTCGGTGTATGATGGACGCGAGGGGTGGGAGGGGGGTAGCGAATCTGATCCGAGTTGTGGTTAGCGCCAGTGGGGGGTGGGGTGGCATGTGCCCCCCCCCCCCCATGACCCGATCTAAATTAGGGATTTCGATCGGATCATTGTGGTTTATTAGTAATAAATCGGCATTTTGCGACCCCCCACTGCCACTGTGTAGCGTATTATTATGTGCCAGGGACTCTATGAGATGATAGGACAATAGTCCGAGTCCATAATTGTCAATAAGTAACGGCAAAGCAGTTATACGTGACTCAGAATTGTGCACAGTTACGTATACAGTACACGACTTCCCTGAAGGCAAACACCTTCAGCGAGCGCGATGCCGATCAACACACCCTCGATCGATGGCTGCGCCATCGCCGCACACGCGTCGAATAAAAAGCAAGGGACAAGTCCTTACTAACAACTCCTCTATCATTTTTCATTGCTGGAGGGGCTGCCCCCCCCCCCTACCTGAAAAATCCTGGCTCCGCCATTGGTTTAGCGCGACGTCCTCGAGCCGAGACCCAGCGAAAACGCGGAGCCACGGGCAACTGGCGCGTGACGGGCCTTGGCGCACGGCCACGCCGCGTCGGTACAAGTGGCTGATTGGCCACGTGGCTCTGGTTAGAAGAGAATAACAAGAGTGACTCGGTGATTCAGGTTAGGGGCCGTCCATTTAGTACATACGCATGGAGGGGTGGAGGGGGGTTAACCCAAACGTGTACGCTTGCGTATGGGCGAGGGGGGTTTACTGACAATGTACGTATAGGAAACGGGGTGGGGGGGGGGGGTGAAGCCTCGATAATAATTTGTCTCCATTGGCCTTCAAATGAGCCACAGTTCATCAGTGGCTTCAGCTGTCCGACAACAAGTACTGCCGTGAGAAGTGGGACTGTGGGAGGTGTCACTTCGTGTGCCACCGTGACCCCTGACTGCAGCTATCGCGCAGCTCGGCAAAATAAGTGGCCAAGGTACGCAAGTTAATTATTTAATGCAGGTGGACTATCTGTTTGCTTAAACACGTCAATGTTATTAATCCTTGATCGTTTCTGCGTGGATTAAATATCGGCCGTTCTATAGGATTCGGGGGGTGGGGGGGGGGTGCGCCAAGCTGTACGTACGCAGATGGGGAGGGGGGGGTGTAAATAGTCCGCGTGCGTACAGGGAGGGAGGGGGAGGGGTCAGGTTTTGACAGATTTCTGTACCTACTAGATGGATGGCCCCTTAGGCGCCAGTCCTAATGGTCGACTAATGTGTTTCAGGATCTGTATTTATACTGGAGGACTCCGATGGGCTATGAAGCGCTTGTTCACACATGTCCAGAGGCGGGTCAGCACGTGACAATACAAAAACACGATGGAAGTGCAAAGTATAGGCAAGGTGAACAAAACACTTTTAAAATATATATATACACAAATAAAACTCAACTATTTTGATATTACCAGGTAAGGGTAGGGCTCGTAGGTCAGCGATTTACTGCTCACGTGATCATTGAGGCGATGCTGCCCTCCTGTTGACAGCCCCGAGGCAGTGGTGGAAATTCCACATTCCAATGCAGGATGGCCAGTCGACCCACGGGGCAACCGCTGTTGACAGACCCCACACGGCGATGCCAACGACGGGAGGATTCGGCACGAACGCCAGAGCCTGGTGATGTTTCCTTGCTGGGAGTTCACGGCGCCTGACAGAGCGTAGCTCCTAAACCGCGTGTGTGGACACGAGCAGCAGCCCCAGCACCCCCACGCCCCCCGTAGGGGGGCCCGCAATAGAAGGGGGTCCCGAACCCCCTAAACCCATGCCTCGTGCTACTGGGTAAGCGGGAACTTGCGAGATCTCGATGCGCCCGGGAGCGATGCAGTGATGTGAAATGCTGACTGACCACCACGAGCCTGGAGGTGCCATACTAATCACGTGAGCTGGGAGAGGAGTCTTTCACTCCCGAGCGACCGCCCTGAGGACACGTCCAGGCTATTTGTCGATCCACTGCTGGATGAGTGCGGGGTTGTTTTGGAGGGTTGGGGGGGATATTTGACCATACTTCGCCACGCTGGTCAATGAAGGTTTGGTGAGTGCGAAGAGTATAATGGGGGGCATAGAAGTGCAGTGCAACACGCCTGTCCACTACGTGAAATGACTGCGCGTTGCACAGTTTTAGCGGCACACGCTCGTTCATATCCTTCCATATACTCCCATATCCTGCCCCATTAGTCGTTTCGTTGAATGCTAGTTTAATTGTTAAAACAACCAATATATAAAAGTATGAAGTATAAAACCCAAGTTGTGAGATAATACGTATAATGAATAAATATTTTATTTTTAAATAAACTTTTATTAAATCCTTTATATAAAGTTCACTTGCTTGCTTGCTTACGACCGTGCAAATCTTTCGGTCGTTTTTTAACCCACTTCCCGTGATCCAATCGAGCTGACATTTTGCACACAGACTCGTTGTGCGTGACAATTAATTTCGTGAAACATTTTTTCCAAAATTTTACACCTTTTAGGAATTTTTTTTATATTTAATTACCAATTGCTTAATGGTGGCGGACAATCATCTGACCCATAGGTAGCAGCCATCTCAAGCCAGAGGACGAGAGGACTCTAGCCGCCCGTTTCAAAGACCAATGTGGGCTGGGTTGTGGCCCATTGAACACGCATATAAAGAATTTATAGTGAAAAACTTTGTTTTTACGGGTTAATTTTTTTAAAAAATAAATTTGTTCCTGTCCACACATTTGCCCTGTGTGGCTGCTGGTATCTTGCGCCTGCCTATTGGTGCTGCATCTCTGTTGTAATTGTGGTTGTGTGGTGCAGATGGCTCCTGCACCAACAACAACAACCACAACATCAGCAGCAGCCCAGGAGTTGGCGGGCCACGTGATTACCCCGTCACCAATGTGCCTACCGTTTGTGCAATCCAATGGAAAGGGGTTCTCTTGTATACAAAGACAACGATCCCCCGTGTAGCCTTTAACAGACTGTAGGGGCAAGTGCTGTTAGCGAGTAGCACCTATGAAGGCCGGCACGGCACATGAGGCGGTGGGTGGCCAGAACCACGCCCGACCGCCTTTGTCTCCCCAGTGGCGATGTTTCCACACAAGGTACTTATTTGAGGCTGATTCGACCTAGGGGAGGCCCAGGACCGGTTCAGATAATTGTCACTGGTGTTGGCCTTGAGTGGGAATTGAACTCTGGACACGAGATTCGAAGCGCAGTGCGCTCACTGCAACACTACCGCTCCTCTTGTATACAGAGCTCTTAATAGCTTGCCGTGCCAATTACGTCGGAGTGTTTGGGCCCTTTTGAGCAATTGCCACAAAGAACGCAGATCGGAATGTTGATTACTAAAGGAGTTGACGTCCTCCCGTGGACAGCTTTTTGGGGAGGCGTGGGGCACATGTCAGATGAGGCTCCCCTCTGAGGCCCCCTTGGAACCCTGTCTTGCGTGGCTACGTCGCGGGTGTCGGAGCGGTGGTGTAGCGGTTAGCGCGCTGCACAATGAACCCGGCGACCCGAGTTCGATTCCCATCCACGGTCAACACCAGGGACGATTATTTTGAACCGGTCCTGGGCCACCGCCTAGGTCGGCTCGGTCTCAAATGAGCACCTGGTGTGACGTGTAACCCTCACGACTGGTGAAACAAAGGCGGGCTGGCGTGGTGTTACCGTGCCGACCTTCATAGGCGCTCACTAACAGCACTTGCCCTCCTAGTTTGTTAAAGGCGATATGGGGGATCTTTGTGAGTGGTGTTTCTCTCTTAACGAGTGAACTGTGTTCGCCCTTATACCTCTGATCGCCGATATTTCACAAGCTCGTCGTCATTGGTATACACTGCATGTCGCTGCATTGCCCTCTGCTGCCCGCCGCGGACCCACCTCACAGCAGCCTGCAATGCGTGCGTGGTGCCTGGCGCTCGCATATCGGCAGCAAGCAAGCAGGCTCTCAAACCTGCCAAGCCTGCTTAGCTTCTCAAACCCGGGGAGACCGGGCGTGATCTGATCATCAGAGGAATGCTCCGCGCTTAATTTCAGCCGGAACAGCAGGAATCTTGTTTCGGGAATTACTTTGGAACGTCACGTCCATCGCGCCTCATCCTTCTGTATGTTGAACTTCTTTCGCACCCTGTATGTAGGTAGCCAACAGCGCTAATGATATGAACATGTTCCTATGATTAAAGTATTGTACTATTAATATAGGATTATTGTGGATAGGCGTACCTGGTACTCTAGTGGAAGTGCATTATTGACACGTGTAGTTGTATATCGTGTTTGCGCAAATTGCGTCTCGTAATCGCCGAGGAATCCCAGACACGAGCTGGCGGGCAGCAGCAGTCGCCAGGCAGCGATGAGCCGGCGCTACCAACAATTGCCCAAGCTCCGCGGGCCTCTACGTATATTAAGCTGTTTTCATTCACTTGTCGGGGGGTTGCTGTGCGCGTGGGAGCACCCCTGGAGCCTTTCGCCGATAATCCTGACGACTCCCAAGCCGGTCTGGCAGCGTGAGCGAGAACGTGTTCCCTGGGTACGCGACGTATTAGTGAGAAATAATGATGCATTCGCTGTGATGTTGGGGCTTGAACAAAATAAGGAAGGGGGGGTGTGAGGTCGGGGTTGAGGGGGCAGAAGCAGCAATTGGACGACGGAACGGGGCCTCTCCGCCGCCTCTGACGATGCTGCGTAATGCAGCTGATTAATTCATGAGCGTTGATGCCCCGAGCCATCAAATCGCGTGGCCGCGTCGCCCCCCCCCCCCCCCCCCCCCAAACACAAATGGCAGCGTGTCTCAATCGAGCATGCATCACCTGCTTCGTCACCACCACTATCACCACCATCACCACCATCACCACCACCCGCACTTTACCAACGCTGAAGGGCCTCGTGGGGCCAGCCTCACTCCCATTACGTCATGGCAGCTCCCCTTCTCTCTCTCTCTCCCTCTCGCTCGCTCGCTCTCTACCTCAGACACGCTCACGATCGGCGCGACCGGGAAATCTGCGGGGTGCACGGCGCCCAGGGGCAGGGGGAGAGTGACGGAGGCAGAAAGGGAGAGAGAGCGAGAGCGGAGATAGACACACCCGCAGCCTCATTCACTTCATTCCCACGAAATAAAATAATATTAAGCGCCTCCCCGCGTCTCCCCCGCCTCCTGCTTACCCGGCTGCATCCCCACGCCTCCCCGCCCAACGCAGTCACGGCGCCCACGAGAACTGCTCCCTTCTGCCTTCTCTCCGCTCTTCCTTCTCTCCCTGCTCCCGCTCTCTGCCGCCCCGCGTCTTCTACGCCATGCGCCAGCTGCTGTAGGTAGGGGCGCGTCACCTCGGAAAGATGGGGCGCGCGCGCTGCGCTCTATCGCGCAGGCATGGCCCCGTCGGGGAAACGTGGAATGGGCGCGAATGCGACGAGAACCTGTAGCCCTGATATAAGAAGAGGAAGCAGGAGGAGGAGGTTTGGATGTCGCTCTGTGACACGGGATGCTGATCCCGCATTAGCGCCTCCTCTGTCGGGCGAGGTTCTCAGATCTCGCGCGGCTGCTCACTTGCGCTGTCCCGGGTGCTGCTCCCCTGGGAGCCGCTGGGCGCCGCTTGGAGCTCCTGACAGTCGCCGGGGAGCCGCTGTGCGGGGAGGCGCGCGGGAGGTGGTGCCGCCATGGGGAGCGCCAGCAGCGCCGAGGTGACCGCGAGCGGCAGCGGCAGCCCCGACACGCGCAGCCTGCACGGGACGCCGCCGCGACGCCTGCCCGTGCCCAGCCCCGAGGATCTGGAGGCGCGGTTCTCCGCGGTGCTGGTGAGGCCGTCGCGTGGCGGAGGAGCAACGATCGAGCAGGGAGTGGTGGGAGTGGTGGTGGTGGTGGGGGGTGGGGGTCAGCGTAGGCCCGCGTGTCGCGTGCGATGGTGGCGCAAGTGACACGGCAAAGTAGAAAGTCACAGAGTGCGACTGACTGCACGATGTTGTATTGGGATGTGCGCGTCTGCGTGTGGTATTTTCGATAGGTTGTTTGTCTTTGTGGGTGTCTGCCGGTGACGTATTTGCGTTTCGGGGTTTATGAGCTTGTGAGGGTGAATGTAGGCAAACGGCATTATCTTTTCATCAGCTGGGGAACGCTGTGTGTGGCAGCTACCTGGTCTATCGCTCCAACGAAGCTCCAGCTTCTTCTCGGCCACAGTTTGTGCCCTCCCTTGTTTGTATGCTTACGATATGTGGAGTCCTTTTCAAGGGACATCTACGCCAGTTTGAAACATTCAGACTGGCCTGCCTACGATCCGTACACATGCATTCATCCTAGTTTCAACCAGGTTGGATTGTGAGGATCTCACAGATCTTTGAAAGTTCAGGACACAGTCCTCTCAGTGAGCACCTCCGGCAGGCGGAGGCTGCGTTGTCTGAATCATGTAGCCCGCATGCCCAAGCGGATTCTGTTTGGCCGGATAGAGGGGGCTAAACAGGCGCGACACGGGCTAGAGTGCGGGGACCGGCTGATGCGGTACAGGAGGATCTGGAGCTGAGTGGACTTGCAGATGACCGGTGCCAGCGGTCTCAAGATTAGCCTCTGTGGAGGCGGTTTGTGAAAGACGTTGCTAGGCAGTTGGAGGAAGTCGCCCTCCAACAACAACGGAGGGTGGAGGAGCGGCGCTCACAACAACGAGCGGAGTGCCGGGCGCATAAGATACAGCAAGTTGGCAGAGTAGGAGCACAGGCGGTGTATCTGCCAGTCATCTCAGTCAGCCAACCCATGTCACCTGGGCCTGTCTCGTGACCTCCTGCCAGCAGAGAGCCATCAACACTTAACGTGGCCTCAAAGTGACCTCGCGGCTTCTTCGTGGCGAATGGCGGCTGTCGGTACGGGTTTAGGTGTGTTTGGGCTTCTCTGCTCGTTCTCCGATTAATTACAGTGTATGTGTGTGTGTGCGGAGCAGTGGCAATACGAATCCGACAATCGGAGTTCGATTCACGGCACGGCTAACATCAGTGGCGAGTGGTATAAGAACCGGCCCTTGCGTTCCCCTAGTTGGACTCGGCGTAGGTAACTCAAGCCGCCGTACAGATAGATGCAATAATGCGTTGGTGTACTGCCCTCTCTTCCGAGTGCGACTTTACAATAGCTGATATTCCCACGCAAGCAGTCTCCTCTATTCACGTCAGAACCGGGCTCTCCACCCACCCAGCCACCCCTGCTCGCGAAACTCGTACGCTGTCGAAATGTGACGACACGTGTATATTTGCAGAAGGTATTTGAGTACCTCGGGTCACGAGCAAACGAGGCTCATCCTGGTCTGTCGGGATCTCACCTGGTTGACAAAATAAACGTGACGGTGTGAGTGGGTGGGCGTCACTGAACACGTGTATGTGTGTGTGACTTTGCAGGTGTGTTTCTCTGTGGGTGTCTATGTGTGCACTGGATTGTCTCTCTCGGTGAGTGTGTGGCCGTGTATATGTTTTGGGGTAACGGGGCGGTGTGTGCGTTTCTTTACATTTACCGTGGATGCTTGTGTCTTTGTCTTTGTGGGGAGCGGTTGTGTAGCGGTCAGCGCTACACAACCGTTACGAACCCGGCGCCCGAGTTCGATTCCCGCTCACGGCCGACACCAGTGACGATTATATAAACCGGTCCTGGGCCTCAAAGGAGTATCTGGTGCGATGCGTAAATATCACCACGAGGGAGACAAAGGCGGCCGGGCGTGGTTATGGCCACCCACCCACCGCCTCGTGTGCTGTGCCGGCCTTCATGGCACACTGCATCAACAGTCTGTTAATGCTACACAGAGGATTTTCGTCTTTGTGTGCACGAATATGCGTGTGGGGAGCGGTGGCACTGTGATTAGCGCACTGCACTATGAACCCGGCGAACCCAATTCAAGTCCGACTCACAATGAATCAGGGCGACTCTGCCTTAACTGAGCACCTGGTGTGGTGTGTAGTACACATGATCACTGGAGTGACAAAGGCGGCCGGGCGTAGTGCTGGCCACCCACCCCACTCACCTGCCGGTGGCGGCCTTCATAGGTGCTGGCGAACAGCGAGTGCATTGTCTGTGGAGAGAGAAACGTATTCACGGCGCGAAGCTGCGAGCGAATGTGCTACCACATCTCGCTCTTCGCGTCCCAGTCTCGTCGTCGCTGTTGTCGTCGCTGTTGTTGTTGTTGCTGCTGTGTTCTCACAACCACAACGCGATGCCGCTGAAGGGGAAAGGCTTCGCTGGAGCACAGCGCTCACTCGGCGCGGCGCGGTTTGAAACCGCGAGGAGCGTGGCACGTGGCTGCGTCGCGTCGAGGTGTCGATACACAGTCAAAGGCCCCCCGCCCCGCGTACAGGCCGCTGCTGTGTTCACGCGCCACGGATCCCCCCCATTGTAAAGTCGCCGGGTAACTGGCAGAGCGGCATCATCCGTGCAACAAATCAAAATACTGTCAACTTAAAGACTTTAAGTTTGGCCGTTGAGCAAAGTGCTGTGAGCGAGTAAATATTAAGGATGACTCGGCCTGAAAGTAAATAAATATCAGCACCTGGCCAAACCACCGACTCGCGCACTGCTGATCCGACATTAATACGGACTCTCTTCCAAAACTTGCCCCAGCAGTCTATGAGGTTATAGGTGGTGTGTTTGTCTCATACGTGGGTATACACACGCGCACACACACGAGCCGATTAAAGAGACATTCCAGTGAATCGACGTATATTTTCAACGTCGTTGGCGTAGTAATCGCGTTCGAACGACAAATACATCTTTAGCAGGCTGACGTTTCGGGCGATGGACCTTCAGAGCACTGGAAAATGCCAACGTTGATGAGGTTTTGTTTATTTGCGCCTGTACACCGATGTCAACACAGTCTCGTATGGCTTATGTCACGGCTTGACAAGTCCAAGCCAAATTGTCCAGGACAAAAGCACGGCTGACTGTTATTATTTTGACTGCGCTGAGTCTAAGCGACGTGTGAGCGTTGGACGCACAGATACGACGTCTGTGGGCTACCAGGACAGTCAAGACACCAAGTGAGGCCTGGACGGAGAGGCATACAGAGAAACACAGGTATACAGAGAGACACACAGACAAACAAAAAACAAAGATCCCCCGTATAGCTTTAGCAGACTGTCGGGGCAAGTGCTGTTCGCGAGCACCTATGAAGGTCGGCACGGCACACGAGGGGGTGGGTGGCCAGCACCACGCCCGGTCGCCTTTGTCTCCCGAGTGGTGATGCTTACGCACCGCACCAGGTGCTCATTTGAGACTGAATCGACCTTTGGGAGGCCTCGGATTGGTTCAGATAATCGTCACCGGTGTTGGCTGTGAGCGGGAATCGAACTTGGGTTGATGAGTCTGTAGCGCAGCTTGCTAACCGCTACACTACCGCCCCCCACGCCACACAAAGCACACATTGACAGACTGAGAGACACAGAGAAACGTACAGAAATATAGAAACACGTAGAAAGACAGAACACACGTAGACAGAATGATACACGCAGAGAGAGAAACACAGCAACATAAAAAACAGGCCTAGACATACAGACACGCTGAGAGACAGGCACAGAGACACGGATAGAGAGAGAACCATGAAGATAGGCACGCATCAAGGTAGAGAGAGACACGGACACACGCAGGGACACTTGGGATGCCAGATCCCGTGCAGATCCCCTCGTGGCACACGCGTACAGATGCCACGTCCAAGCCCCTGTACGGAAGACGCTCCAATCGGGACCTGCCTTTTCCCGCCACCCCATGGCACCTCGTACCCCGAGATTTAACGCGGCGACACTGAATAAAGCGGCTCTGCCGACGGGGGTGAAGAATGGTGGAGCTCTAGCAAAGGGTTGGGGGAGGGGGGCTCCATCATGAGCGTGCGTGTCACAAGCTGCTCGCCCGCTCCTCCCGATCCATCACGAACCTCCACTCGCCATCCGTCCCGGGGCTGAGCGCGAGGCTGTGCTGAGCGCGCGGGCGCCGTCCCTGTTACCATGACGAAGTTTGTTCACGCATTGACATCGTCATTGAGTCTCATGCATTGATTGCAGGAGGGGGTCCTGCCAAGTTGTCGGGGTAGGCGGGCGATGATTGCTACGTATCGTACAATCCATTTGAGAAAATTGCGGGTGATGTTTTACATTTTTTGTCAATATTTGGTCAATGACGCCAGGATGTGCTACTCTTCCGAATAACGTCGCGGGATCGTTAACCTCCACTGTGGAGCAGGCGGCGCATTGTATTATATTTTTTACAGCTGACACACCCGCGGTATTAATCTGGGCTGCCGCTGTAAATTCGAACCGCAACAAGCGGCTAACGCGGTACCACTGGGCCACGTCCATTCGCACGGAAGGAGGGGAAAGTGGTCACAGGGCAACTCCACGGGGTATCGCCGACACGTGGGTCACGTGGGTCACGCGACCGCTGCACGCGCCGCTGCCAACGCGACTGCCGTTCGCGGTGTCCCCAGCGGGCGTGCTCTGCGGGGTGAGCATTGTCCGTGCGATGCGATTTTAGAGAATTGCGTGGGAATGCAAATATGCTGGGGGTGGCGGCGGGGGGGGGGGGGGGTGGCAGCTGTACACCTCCTCCTCCTGCCAGCCAACCAACTATTGGACAAACATGGAGGGAAAGCCACAGCCAACCTGCGGCACCTCCTCAAACAGCCTCCTTGGCTCGCATCCCATTCTGCCCTGGGCCTCTCTTTGCGAAGTCCCCAGTATAAGACCGCGTCTTCTCAGAGACCAATGTCTCAAGTCGCCCCCATGGTTTTTTGCCCCCCCCCCAACTCGTCTAATCACGGGCATGGGTTTTGCTGCGATGCTCTCTGCTGCTCACAACGTCGCCCCGCAGCAGCCTGCTGTGCAAAGAAACCAATCGATGTGCCATGAAGAAGGGCCATTCCCCGAAACGTCGCCTGTTATTTATCCGTTTTCTTTTAAGGCCACACACAGTGTCATTGGCGAATATGTTGAGTCTTTTATTGTTTAGCTACGCACGGTGGTGGTGGTCACCCGTTGAAGCACAGACGAGTGCAGACTCACACTGGCGTGGATTCCGAGATCCGACGACCGCGAGTTGATTCAGCCACGCGATTCAATCTCAACAGTGGAACGCAATAGAATGCAGTCATACAATGGTCATGTAAAACCATTCGAGCGCCTTCAAGCGAAGCACAACAATAGGGTTAAATACCACGCGTACATGGGGGGGGGGTGTAGTGATGCTGCACCACAATGTGGATGCATAAATGTCACCGCGTGGCAGGACAATTGAACGAGGATGGTCCTCGTTCCGCCACGTGGCTGTCAGCCTGCGACATCGGCTCGAGTCTGACCGAAGGGGAGGAGGCCCATAACCGGTTCAGATAGTCGTCACCGATGTTGGCCGTGAATGTGAATCGAACTTGGGTCTCCGGGTTCGTAGCGCAAAAACAAAGACGCAGGCATACAGACAAAACAAACATACACCGCGAGAGAGACGCGCACACACACAAGTGACAAAGATCCCCCGTATAGCCTTTACAGACTGTTGGGCCAAGTGCTGTTAGCGAACACCTATGAAGGCCGGCACGGCACACAAAGGGGTGGGTGGCCAGCACCACGCGCGGCCGCCTTTGTCTCTCTAGCGGCGATGTTTACACACCGCACCAGGTACTCATTTGAGGCTGAGTCGACCTAGGAGAGGCCCAGAAGCGGTTCAAATATTCGCCACCGATGTTGGCCGTGAATGGGAGTAAAACGTACGTCGCCGGGTTAGTAGCGCAAAGTGCGCTAACCACGACACTACCACTCCCACGCCCCCACCACACACACACGCGTACGCACACCTCGCGCACGATTCGCGCGGGTAGCCACGAGCGAACAGCTCTCGCCCATGCACTGGGGCAGCGGCGACTCGCGACGGGGTGGCAAGGGTTGAGCAAGCGTGTGGCCGGTTGCGAGGTGCGGTGCAGATCTGTACGGAGGGTGGTAGCCGGGCAGGATGCAAGTCGACAGTGGGGGCACGCGTGGGACGGCGCCAGAGAGTTCGAGAAGGGAGGCCGGGCCCAGGTGCGGGGCGCGACGCGGCCACGCGGTTGCGCCGGGGACGCGAGCCGACGCCGTCGCTCAGCTACCCGCCTCGACGCCCGAGGCAGTAGCCGAGGGAAGGCGCCGATCGCTGGCTCAGCCACAACGGAGTCCACTCCGCGGGTGCGATTCCGGCGAGGGAAAGCTGAGCTAGAGCGCACGTGCGAGTGTGCGCGTGTGCGCTCGTGTGCGCTCTGTGCGCATATGCGGTGGGTGCGTTGTACGCAATGCTCCGTTATCACGCTTCTGTTATCATAGACGAGTCTCGCGGCTCTTTTTTTCAGGAGAGTCCTGCCCGGTTATCACAGAATGGTAAGGGTGTACCGTTGATTCCAATTGAGACATTTGTGGGTAAACATTTATCTCTCAAATGTGGCACATTTGGACCATGGCGCCCGCACACAAAGCCCCATTCTCGCGAACGACGCCATTGAATCATGAACGTGCACTGTGGAGCAGACGACGCGTATTATTGTTTTGGTGAATACACGCTGCGGTATTAACCAGGGCGACCGTTGCAGTCGAACCGCGAACCTTCGCAAACGAGCAGTGGACACGCTATAGAGACACGTACATGCATACTCACGTTCCATAGAGACACTGTGCATGCATACTGACGCGTCATAGAGACACGTGAATATGTACTCGACGTGACACACACACCGATACAAAAACACAGACACGTACATGTACGTACGTGCATCACTATCTTCATGTTAACCGTAACGCCACCAATCCACCGAGTGATCCTGTTTACTCAATTAAATGAAACATCACGCGTTTGAGGGGAGACCGCTTAACGATTCGCGCACACTTGTGGAATATTCAGGCATTTGAGTTGGGGTCGGCGTGCTCCTGCGCCCTTTGCCGAACGTGCAGAACGTCGGTTGCCTCGCGTTCTGAGCTCTCAAACATCCCGAAGGCACCTCGGGCGAGTCGACCCTCAGGTGTTTATTCTGTATCAGTTTACCCCGCCCGCCGTGGCCACCACCACGACGACGCGGGCTCACGTGACCCACGGGCCATCTCTGGCGACACGCGCGTGCGTGCGAGCGCGCGCGTTGTGTGGAGCGGCGGGGTAGTGGTTGGAGCACTACGCTAAATAACCCAGCGACGCGAGCTCGATGACCATTCACGACCAGTAAATACTAGCGAATATTTGAATTGCTTCTGGGCGGTGTTGGCCACAACATTTCGCTAACAACGGCACTCGGCCAAACAAGCTGCAGATGTCCCATAGGGTTGAGTGGGGAGGTGGGGATCTTTGTCGTTCGTGTTTAGGGTCGGGGTGGGGAGAGAGCCGGGGGTCACGGAGTCTGCGAGGCGCAATGCGCACGGATCTGTCCTGGGATGCGCTAAGCGCGCCCCGTGACCTCCCTCCCCCCCGCCCCGCCCCTCCCCTTCACCCTCCCCCACCTTCTCGCCATGAGATGAAAGAGCAGCGGGCTGTGAAATAAACTTGGCGTGAAAAGGCGACGATGCTGCTGCTGCTGCAGCTGCTGCTGCTGCTGTTGTACGGGCGGGTCACCTTGATCCGAAACGAGTCTCTGGACCATTCCTCCCGGCTTGCTTTCTCTCTCCCTCTGCGAGACACCGATGGCTGCCGATAGATTTGAGACTTGGGCTGCATTTGTATAATTCGGAGCGTGCTTTTTCGGAATGTGCTTTTCTCGGATAAGATTGTGACATCCCCACGGCACAGGCCGGAGGTGATGAACGCCTCGGGAATCGATACCGAGGCTTGCGGTGTTGTGCATTGATTGACGGTGTCTCATGACAGATCTTCCCATGCACATCTTCCTCCAGGATAGGCTACCACGTCAGAGAAACGGTAGATTAGGAGATATATCCACGTCTTGGATGATTGACTGACCGTCGTAATTATTTTTCATTCTTCACAACCGAAACCCTAATGTCTAACTTCGCTGTCTCGTTACGGTTATCTTCAAAATAGTGGCAATGTTTTGATTATTATACATATCTCACCGGTTCTACGGTGGTAGTTTCTGTTCAATCCTCTGCCCAGGCAGATATTTTATTTGGGTAAGAGCTCTGTGATAGCAGAAGTATTGCTCGAGGGAGATATTGAGATTAAACAAAGAATGCAAACGTGTCACGCACACGCAGTTACCTGCATAGACAAATACAAAGACCCCCCCCCCATATAGCCTCATCAGACTGTTGGGGCAAGTGCTGTTAGCGAGTACCTATAAAGGCCGACACAGCACACGAGGGGGTGGGTGGCCAGCACCACGCCGTGCCTCCTTTCTCTCCCGAGTGGCGATGTTCACACATCGTAACCAGGTACTCATTTGAGGGCGAGGCGACCTAGGGGAGGCATAGACACAGTTACGCGCACACACACAGTCTGTGCGCCAGTGTCAGCCAAGCCGTCACCTTGATGTACTACACGCTGGCTACTCGCCGCGTCCATAATGGGTGTTGTCACACCGTGTTCCCGGCGGTTCGGGGAGAGCTTGGACTGATGGGGCACGCGAAGTGGCTGCGCGCCAGCGCGCCTCCACCGGCAGCGGCGTGGAGACTCGTGGTCGTGGTGGTGGTGGAGGGGGCTGAGGGTGGGGGGGGCGTGGACGAGGGTTCCGTGTGCCGTGATATGATCCCTCCAAGTCCTCGGGTTTAATGGAGTGTGCCCACGTGCGCCATTCGGCACATTTAAGTGGCCGTCGGCGGCGCCTGGCCCGGTAAATCAGGGCGCGGGAGCTGTTTGTCTCGGGCTGTGACGCGACTCCCGAGCCGAGAGCTTTACGATCGTGCGGGCATCCTGCGGGGAGCTGATAGCGGCCCACAGACACGCGGTGTGGCCCTCCCTACCTTCACCCACCAACCCACACAAGCTACCCCCCCTCTCCCGTATTTATTTTCAGCCTCTTCGCTCTAACCTCCTCCCCTCGTGTCCAGCATTTTGCACCGCTAACACGCAGCGGATGTGAATGCAGACCCGACTTCATGTCGCCAGACTTGATGCACGTGGTGTCTGCACGTGGTGTGTACGTGGTTGTTAGCCCTAGTGGGGGGCGGTCGTGTAGCTCACAGCGAACATCGGTGACGAATGTCTGCACCTATTATGGGCCTCCCCTAGGTCGCTAAAAGTACTTGCCCCAACGGTCTGTTAAAGACAGTATGGGGGATCTTTGTTGTTGGTGTGTGTGTGTGGATTGGTAGTATCCAATGTATCCATTCCAATTATCTGAATATCATAGGAGTCTGCATTAATGTTTGAATTGTTCCCGAACCGCCTGCATTTCGTGGTACGAAAAATCTGAATTTTCGGGGTGGAGTGATGGTGCAGCGGCCACCGCACTGCCCTACGAACCCAGCCACCTCGGGTTCCAATGCCATCCACGGCCACTATCAATGGCGTGTCATATCACACGCTATTCCTGTCCTCCCCATCGGTCGACTCAGCTGCAACTGAGTACGTGCAGCGATGGACAAACATCATCATTGAGGAGACAACGGCGGATGTCGTTCTGGCGTGGTGCTGCTGACCACCTTGTCGCCTCGCGCGCCGCTCAAACCCTCGCTCAGCACGCGCTGCTCGCGCCTGCATGGCCACACGTGCGCGTGTTGTTGTTGTTGTGTGTGAATGTAGAGCTCCATGAACCTGCCTCCCGACAAAGCCAAGGCTCTGCATCAGTACGAGGACGAGAAGAAGTGGGAGCTGGTCTGCGACCAGGTGCCCCCCCCTCCCCCACCACCACCGCCCCCCTCCGCGATTATCGAGTACAATGTGCACGTGCAGCCCGGTGCTCACCCCCCACACCGTGGGGTCGTAAGAGTTGTTGGATCGTACTTCATCACCACGCTGGTCCGTGCTGTTGAGCCTGGATAGTACTTGGATGCACGCAATGCGATGTTCAGTGGAATTAGTCTAGGCCAGGGGTGGAGTGGTGGCGCGGTGATTTGCACAATGCGTTCTGAACACAGCAAACTTGAGTTGAATTATCGGCTACGGCTAACGCCTGCGACGAGGATCTGAACATTCCATGCCCCCCCCCCCCCCGCCGCTTCCCCCACCTCTTCATCAACCCGCAGTGACCATCGTGGTGAAACATGGGTAACCCCCACGACCGATACGGTCTTCATCCAGCAGTGGAGTTACAAAGGGCCGAAATTGAAGGTGTCATGTCACCACGAATGTCTGAATGTAAATGTCTTGAGTGTCGACGCTTGCCCTTGTGCGCTCCCCTCCCTCTCCGCTCCCCTCCCCCTCCGCTTCCCTCTCCCTCCGCTCCCCTCCCCTCCCTCTCCTCTCCCCTCCCCTCCCTCTCCGCTCTCCCCCCTCTCCGTTCCTCTCCCCTCCCTCTGCGGTCCCCCCCTCTGCGGTCCCCCCCTCTCCCCTCCCTCCCTCTCCGCTCCCCTCCCTCTCCCCTCCCTCTCCTCTCCTCCCCCTCTGCGCTCCCCTCCCTCTGCGCTTCGTCCCTGTGTGCGCAGGAGCGATTCCAGGTGAAGTCCGCCCCCCACGCGTGCCTCGCGCAGCTCAAAGTGCACCTCAACGCGGGTCTCGCGCGCAAGGTGAGGACAATGGGGGGGGGGGGGTGGTCGTGGGGGGCCCTTCAGGAACGTACAGGGGCACGGCCTCCTTCCACAGAGCCATGGTCACGAGGGAGACTTTGTGTGGTCGTGAGGGAGTGGCGGACACAGGGGCGGGTTCCCCTTTAGCACAGCGGGGACACGGCGGCACAGTCCCCCCCATCCCCACCGATGAGGGGGGGGGGCTCTTGCTGCTTTGGGGATCCCCTCAGAGGATGCATACGGCCCCGGGTTTAATTGATGCCGCGTTGTCTTAAACCTCACTGGCGGTCGGAAGCCACGTGACACGCGGGGTTGTTCGAATGTGACAGCTCGCACGGATCCCAATAAAACGTGATATTTGTCTTTCATTTGCCGCCTTCCTTGAACGCGACGCGCGTGACTTCATCTCTGCGACAAGGCAGAGCTTCGTTTCTCTCTGAGTCTTTGCCGGGCAGCTGGCGGACTCGAGGCGGCAGCGTGGGATTAGGTCGCCATCGCCACGGCGAGAAGGGACATTCGATACCGTGTAGCGGGTGTGGACATGTTTTGTCGGTTCTCGCCTACCCCTATCGAACTCCGGATGGAACGAAGCCCCCCCCGCCCCCGCTCGTAGATGAACGCGCAGCAGATGAAAGTGGCCGAATTACTCTGCCCCCCCCACCCCTCCCAACCTCGATTTGACGGAAAACATCCGGAGCATTTCATCCCCCTAAGTGGAGGGAGATTCGTTACCTGAGCCCTGGGCGTGGGAGTTCGAGTCGGCGGCTCCTGCATGGAGTGCCGCTCCCACAGATTGGGTTCGATCTGGGCGTAAATCACCACTGGGGAGGGGGTGGGGGTCACTCCCCGGGGGGGGGGCTGCCCCCCTCCCCCAGGGTGGACGAACGGAGAGACGGAAGCATTTATTTAAAACAAGGTAAGTGCTTCATAGCGCGGTGGTGGTGCGATGATTCTCGCACTGTTCTACGAACCACCGCCACCTGATTTTGAATCCAATGCACGACGATCATCAGTGGCGAGCGTGGTAAATGAACCGGCCCTGCTGTGACCCCCCCCCCCCGCCCTAACAAACCAGCGTGGTCAAGTATGGTCAACCAACCCCTACGACCATCCCGGCCTCATCCACACAGGACTGCCGATGAAATTGTTATTGCCAATGATTATCCCTCCCAACCACACCACGTGCCTGGTAGGATCTCATGCCGGGGTCACTGGGGGGTCACTGTGTAAGACTCTATGGGGTGCCTGGGATGCCCGATGATGATCGTGATGAGTGATTCACTCTCTCTCTCTCTCTCCCCGGCAGTTCAAGAGGCGCGTGCAGGAGTCCACGCTGGTCTTGCGCGAGATCGAGATCTCCCTGCGGACCAACCACATCGGGTGTGACTCCGGTGTTGTGCCGCCTGCTACTGCTGTGGCCGCCATTGATGCAGCTGTGGTGGCTGCGTCTGCTTATCCTGCCGTTGCTGCTATTGCGTTTGTGGTCTCGGGAACTCATGCTGCCGCTGTGACTCTTAGTGCTGTCACCGCAGTTTCTTTTGTTCGTGTTGTTACTTTTAATGATGCCTCTGTTACTGCTGCTTCGCTTATACTGCAGCTGTGTTTGCTCATGCTGTTGCGAGTCTGGTTGATATCGCTGCTCTTCCTTCCGATATTAAGAAGCCAACAGGAGCGATGCACTTTGAAATCTTAATAGGAAACTCATTTCTTGAGAACTGCTTTTTGCGTTCGGTTTGCTGTCCTCCCCCCGCACCTCCAATTCGCACGGTCGGCTACGTACGGTGCAAACGAAGTGCAACACACATTCACGCACGCGGCGTTTGCTCGCTGACCCCTTCCCCGCCTTCTGCCAGTTGCCGAAGCAGTTGAACAATCGACTCCTCGCGATCCGCAACTTCCGCTCACTCAGTCTCCACAACGTGCTCCCATCTATGGAGTGTACCCCAAATTATTGTGAAGTCCTCGCATCAACACTGGGTGCCCCCCCCCACGCCCCCCGCACCCCCCAGGTGGCTGCACGAGTTCCTGAACGAAGAGAACCGGGGACTCGATGTGCTCGTGGACTACCTCCACTACGCGCAGTGCTCGGGCACGTGAGTCGCCCCCCCCCATCCCTGCGACCTCGAGCCCCCCCCCTCCACTCGTGCCCAACGTCGACGTTGCCACGAGCAATCACGAGATACCTCAACACTCGCACCCCTCCTCTCATCATCATCAACGTCACCTCCGTCGTCATCGGTCTACTGCTGGATGAGGATATCCCCCAAACCCGTCACCACCAATCGGGGTCTCGCGGTGTAACGATGCTTCTTGGCTCTTGCACACGACATGGATTCGTCGCTCCATCTCTGCGGTGGATGTATCCCCCAGGGGAGTGTTCATTCCTCCGTTGGTGATGCTAGTGACAAGGATGATGATACTGACAATGATGACGATGTCTGCAGCTATGACACGGAGGGTCCAGACACGTGGGATAGCGCCAGCTCCCTGGAGAGGCCGAGGGCTGGAGGCGGCTCCAGCGCGGAAGCGGAGAGTGGAGCGGCGAACGCGGCCAGGCAGCTCACGCTCAGGCACGCGTGCGCACAGACACAGCTCCCCCACGTCGCCTCTAACAGCCTGTTGGGACACGTGCTCTGTGCACCTGTGAACACCGACACGGCTTACAAAGGGGGTGGTGTGGCCAACACCCAAGCTTAGCCACCTTCGTCTCCGTAGTAGGCGATGGTTACTACACATTGCACCAGGTTCTCATTTGAGGCCGAGTCGACCTCGGGGAAGCCCAAGACTGGTGCAGATAATCGTCCCTGTTGTTGTTGTTGCTGTGCCGGCGGGTTCGTAGTGCGGTGCGTTAATCGCAAAGCTGCCACTGCCCCCGTGCGATCTCGCAACGAGACGCACGCACGGACGCTACGAGCGACTGCGTCGCAGTTAGCACGCACGACGATCGAGCCAGGCCGCAACGCCGCTGGCGGTGCGGGCAGCGTGCGCCGCTCCACTAAACCCTCTTAGTGACTCCGGCGAGAGCGAGCCGAGAGCGAGCCGAGAGCGAGCCGAGAGCGAGCCGAGAGCGAGCCGAGAGCGAGCCGAGAGCGAGCCGAGAGCGAGCCGAGAGCGAGCCGAGAGCGAGCCGAGAGCGAGCCGAGAGCGAGCCGAGAGCGAGCCGAGAGCGAGCCGAGCGCGAGCCGAGCGCGAGCCGAGAGCGAGCCGAGCGCGAGCCGAGCGCGAGCCGAGAGCGAGCCGAGCGCGAGCCGAGCGCGGCCGAGCGCGAGCCGAGCGCGAGCCGAGCGCGAGCCGAGCGCGAGCCGAGCGCGAGCCGAGCGCGAGCCGAGCGCGAGCCGAGCGCGAGCCGAGCGCGAGCCGAGCGCGAGCCGAGCGCGAGCCGAGCGCGAGCCGAGCGCGAGCCGAGCGCGAGCCGAGCGCGAGCCGAGCGCGAGCCGAGCGCGAGCCGAGCGCGAGCCGAGCGCGAGCCGAGCGCGAGCCGAGCGCGAGCCGAGCGCGAGCCGAGCGCGAGCCGAGCGCGAGCCGAGCGCGAGCCGAGCGCGAGCCGAGCGCGAGCCGAGCGCGAGCCGAGCGCGAGCCGAGCGCGAGCCGAGCGCGAGCCGAGCGCGAGCCGAGCGCGAGCCGAGCGCGAGCCGAGCGCGAGCCGAGCGCGAGCCGAGCGCGAGCCGAGCGCGAGCCGAGCGCGAGCCGAGCGCGAGCCGAGCCGGCGAGCCGAGCGCAGAGCCGAGGCGAGCCGAGCGCGAGCCGAGCGCGAGCCGAGCGCGAGCCGAGCGCGAGCCGAGCGCGAGCCGAGCGCGAGCCGAGCGCGAGCCGAGCGCGAGCCGAGCCGAGCGCGAGCCGAGCGCGAGCCGAGCGCGAGCCGAGCGCGAGCCGAGCGCGAGCCCGAGCGCGAGCCGAGCGCGAGCCGAGCGCGAGCCGAGCGCGAGCCGAGCGCGAGCCGAGCGCGAGCCGAGCGCGAGCCGAGCGCGAGCCGAGCGCGAGCCGAGCGCGAGCCGAGCGCGAGGCGAGCCGAGCCGAGCGCGAGGCCGAGCGCGAGCCGAGCGCGAGCCGAGCGCGAGCCGAGCGCGAGCCGAGCGCGAGCCGAGCGCGAGCCGAGCCGAGCGAGCCGAGCGCGAGCCGAGCGCGAGCCGAGCGCGAGCCCGAGCGCGAGCCGAGCGCGAGCCGAGCGCGAGCCGAGCGCGAGCCGAGCGCGAGCCGAGCGCGAGCCGAGCGCGAGCCGAGCGCGAGCCGAGCGCGAGCCGAGCGCGAGCCGAGCGCGAGCCGAGCGCGAGCCGAGCGCGAGCCGAGCGCGAGCCGAGCGCGGAGCCGACGCGAGCGAGCGCATCCGAGCGAGAGCCGAGCGCTGAGCCGAGCGCGAGCCGAGCGCGAGCCGAGCGCGAGCCGCAGCGCGAGCGAGCGCGAGCCGAGCGCGAGCCGAGCGCGAGCCGAGCGCGAGCCGAGCGCGAGCCGACGCGAGCCGAGAGCGAGCCGAGAGCGAGCCGAGAAGCGAGCCGAGAGCGAGCCGAGAGCGAGCCGAGAGCGAGCCGAGAGCGAGCCGAGAGCGAGCCGAGAGCGAGCCCGAGAGCGAGCCGAGAGCGAGCCGAGCGCGAGCCGAGCGCGAGCCGAGCGCGAGCCGAGCGCGAGCCGAGCGCGAGCCGAGCGCGAGCCGAGCGCGAGCCGAGCGCGAGCCGAGCGCGAGCCGAGCGCGAGCCGAGCGCGAGCCGAGCGCGAGCCGAGCGCGAGCCGAGCGCGAGCCGAGCGCGAGCCGAGCGCGAGCCGAGCGCGAGCCGAGCGCGAGCCGAGCGCGAGCCGAGCGCGAGCCGAGCGCGAGCCGAGCGCGAGCCGAGCGCGAGCCGAGCGCGAGCCGAGCGCGAGCCGAGCGCGAGCCGAGCGCGAGCCGAGCGCGAGCCGAGCGCGAGCCGAGCGCGAGCCGAGCGCGAGCCGAGCGCGAGCCGAGCGCGAGCCGAGCGCGAGCCGAGCGCGAGCCGAGCGCGAGCCGAGCGCGAGCCGAGCGCGAGCCGAGCGCGAGCCGAGCGCGAGCCGAGCGCGAGCCGAGCGCGAGCCGAGCGCGAGCCGAGGGCGAGCCGAGGGCGAGCCGAGGGCGAGCCGAGGGCGAGCCGAGGGCGAGCCGAGCGGCGAGCCGAGCGCGAGCCGAGCGCGAGCCGAGCGCGAGCCGAGCGCGAGCCGAGCGCGAGCCGAGCGCGAGCCGAGCGCGAGCCGAGCGCGAGCCGAGCGCGAGCCGAGCGCGAGCCGAGGGCGAGCCGAGGGCGAGCCGAGCGCGAGCCGAGGGCGAGCCGAGGGCGAGCCGAGGGCGAGCCGAGGGCGAGCCGAGGGCGAGCCGAGGGCGAGCCGAGGGCGAGCCGAGGGCGAGCCGAGGGCGAGCCGAGGGCGAGCCGAGGGCGAGCCGAGGGCGAGCCGAGCGCGAGCCGAGCGCGAGCCGAGCGCGAGCCGAGCGCGAGCCGAGCGCGAGCCGAGGGCGAGCCGAGGGCGAGCCGAGCGCATTAACGCCAAGTGAGGAATCTGTCGTCCCGTGGGCCGATCCCCCAATCCGCTTGTTGCAGGCACAGCTCCATGAGCAGGCGGAGAACATCGCGCGCAAGGGCGCTGACCCCCGTGAGCCAAGACGACGTCCACGTGTGCATCATGTGCCTGCGGGCCATTATGAACTACCAGGTGAGCGCCAGGGTGAACTACCAGGTTATAGACAGGATGGACTATCACGTGAGTGGCAGAGTGAACTACCAGGTGAGTGGCAGAGTGAACTACCAGGTGAGTGGCAAAGTGAACTACCAGGGGAGTGGCAGAGTGAACTACCAGGTGAGTGGCAAAGTGAACTACCAGGTGAGTGGCAAGGTGAACTACCAGGTTATAGACAGGATGGACTATCACGTAAGTGGCAGAGTGAACTACCAGGTGAGTGGCAGAGTGAACTACCAGGTGAGTGGCAAGGTGAACTACCAGGTTATAGACAGGATGGACTATCACGTAAGTGGCAGAGTGAACTACCAGGTGAGTGGCAAAGTGAACTACCAGGTGAGTGGCAAGGTGAACTACCAGGTTATAGACAGGATGGACTATCACGTGAGTGGCAGAGTGAACTACCAGGTGAGTGGCAGAGTGAACTACCAGGTGAGTGGCAAGGTGAACTACCAGGGGAGTGGCAGAGTGAACTACCAGGTGAGTGGCAAAGTGAACTACCAGGGGAGTGGCAGAGTGAACTACCAGGTGAGTGGCAGAGTGAACTACCAGGTGAGTGGCAAAGTGAACTACCAGGGGAGTGGCAGAGTGAACTACCAGGTGAGTGGCAAAGTGAACTACCAGGGGAGTGGCAGAGTGAACTACCAGGTGAGTGGCAAGGTGAACTACCAGGGGAGTGGCAGAGTGAACTACCACGTGAGTGGCAGTGTGAACTACCAGGTGAGTGGCAGAATGACCTACCAGGTGAGTGGCAGGGTGAACTACCAGATGAGCGGCAAGGTGAACTACCAGGTGAGTGGCAAGGTGAACTACCAGGTGAGTGGCAAGGTGAAGTACCAGGTGAGTGGCAAGGTGAACTACCAGGTGAGCACTTCTGCATTTACTAATCCTCGCATGTGGCCTGGTGCGTCTCTGGGGGGACTGCGTTCCGGGTGAGTGAGTAAGTGGTGGTTTGAAATATATATATACTGGTCCTGAACCTTTCCTAGGTCGACTCGGCCTCAAATGAGTACCTGGAGCGCTGTGTCTCCCACTAGGGAGACAAAGGCGGCCGTGCGTGGTGCTGGCGACTCACCCCGTTGCGATTGCCAATACGAGCGCACTTGCCCCACTAGTCTGTCGAGGCTATAGGGGGGTCTTTGTCTCCACTGATTTGTAACCGAGAGCGTTGGTTTTGTTCTCGCCCTGCCCCGACCATTTGTAGTCGCTCGCGCAGCCGTGCACTCCTTTCAGAGGCCACGGTGCATTTAACAGATTAGTGACTTCATGTTCGCGTCCTTAATCACCGTGCGAGCTCCGATTTTGCCGTCAAACCGGTCGGGGTTTATCTAGAAACCGGGCGCGAAATGCGTGCAATGCATGTCGTGGGAATGTTTTTGTCGTCGTTGTACGCAAAATACCGCGACTCGAACATTTGAACGGGCCCAACCGATTCCTCCGCATTTTTGTACTTGTGGCCGAGCGCCTCCCTCGGCGGTGAGCAACCAACTCGGACAGAGTTCGCGCTGCGAGTCACCCCCAGGCCGCTGGCGATGTCCGTCTGGGGCCGTTTCCCCACGACGCGCCCCGCGCGCTCCGCAGCGGCTCCCGCCCGCGCAATGCGGCCACGCGCTTTGGCCTTTGACCCGACTGCCAGTGCCGTTTTAGAGACGAGCAGCGCGGTGCGTAACGAACGCAGCGGCCCTGGGCCGGACGCCGAGAGGAGGGCAGAGAGACTACGCCGGGACAGCCAAAATGTTGTGGGAGGCCCGGAGCAAAATGCCAAATGAGATCCCTTCTGAGGTCCACTTTGTCCTTTCCTGAGGCCCGGGGCGAGCTGCCTCACCTGACCCTTCCGCCTCCCCCGTCGCTCTGTGGCCACGACAGAGAGAGAGACGAGTCTGTGTGTTGCCCGCAGTACGGATTCAACATGGTGATGGAGCACGCGAGCTGCGTGAACGAGGTGGCGCTGAGTCTCAACAACAGGAACCCCCGGTAGGAGACCCCCTGCCCCCCCCCCCCCCCCACCCGGTGCGCGCACAACGTGGTCGGTGGGGTAGCGTGGTCGCCACGGGCCCCGGTGCAAATAATTCAATGGGGCGGGGGGGGCGAAATAACCCCCCCCCTCCAATCCATCCCCGTCCCTCCGTAGCCCGCGGGGGGCCCCGCTGCAGGTGCCCGGCACTGCTCGCTCGCTCGTTCGCTGGGCCACGCAGGCCCGAGAGCGGCGGTGCGGGGCTTGTCGTGGTGGTCGTGGTGGTGGTCGTGGTGGTGGTCGTGGTGGTGGTGATGATGCTGTTCGGCAGGGCTTGCAACGATCCAGCGAGTCATGGAGTACATCCAAATATGTTTTTCGTGGGTTAGATCGCGTAAATATAATTGTGTCGGTACTCGAATTGTAAATGTCGTGGGTTTACTTTCCAACACGCCGGTGGGCTGAACGAGTAACGAATTGGCACGTCTTGTTTACGTGACAAACCTTACTCATTGGCTGTGTTGGGTGGTGGTGGCGTGTTTAACGACGCATGAATATTCACGCGATCTAACCCCGAGAGCTTCTATTATGGAAAAGACAACGAAGCAGTGTAGTGCAGACGGTGCGAGCATGGTAGGCAGTGGCACACAGTGCTCGTCAGGCAGACGATGCAAACGAGAACAGCAGCAGTCTCAAGTCGCTGCACTCGCCACGTGTGTGAGAGGTGCGCTTCTTGGGAGCTGGGTAAGAGAGTCGTGTTGTTCTAAGTCGTTTCCAAAGCGAGGGGGGGGGGGTAGTTGAGAGACCAGAGTAGGAATACGCGGGGCAGAGTGAATCATCACACTTTATAGAGAGAGAGGCACAGTGAAGGGGAAGGTGTTGCATATAAGGTCGCACTTTCCACACACAAAGTGCTTGCCACCAATCAACCCCAATAGCTCGCTGCTGATCTCGTAAAGGAGCATAAACCACCATCACGCAAACTCTGGTCATCATTGTTGTAGCAGCAGCGACTTTTGGCTCACCGTCGAACAAAGACGGTCAACTGGATCGCGCACCTTCAGTTGCGCTTCTGCGGCCGTCTGGAACGCTCTTCCTTCCGATATTAGGAAGCTACTGGAGCTATTCACTTTAAAATCATCTAGATTAAAAACTCATTTGTTTCGAAATGCTTTGTGTGTTTAGTTTGTTGTCCTTCCCACCGAACCTCCGATTAGCACGGTTGTTTTCCGACGGTGCGAACGAAGTTCAACATCCATCCATACGAGCCTGGACTTGAACAGGGAGGCAGAGAGTCGAAGGGAGTTCCATAACTCAAGGGCAGCAGCAGAGAAGGAGCGACCTCCCACTGCGTGGGGGGATTACCCGGAGGTTTTCCACGGAGTGACGCACTTTGCTGGTGCGGATGACATTTTCCAGCAAACGCAAGTGGTGTTGGTCTTGAACGATCTGAAGAGGATGTTAAAAGATCACGGTGGCATGCCTTGGCGCGCAGAGCGGAGTCATTAATGCAGTGAGGGGAGTGGGGGATCGAGTGGCGCGCGTCGATCTTTAATGGATGTGTCTGGGGGAGAGAGAGGGCAGCAGCCCTGGCCGAGTCCTCGCGTCCCCGCCTGCATAATTCAGCGTCCCCCTCCCCCACGCACCCCCCTCCCCCACGCACCCTCCCCCCACGCACCCCCTCCCCCACGCACCCCCCTCCCCCACGCACCCTCCTCCCCCCACGCACCCCCCTCCCCCACGCACCCCCTCCCCCACGCACCCCCCTCCCCCCACGCACCCCCTCCCCCATGCACCCCCCTCCCCCACGCACCCCCTCCCCCACGCACCCCCCTCCCCCACGCACCCCCTCCCCCACGCACCCCCCTCCCCCACGCACCCCCCTCCCCCACGCACCCTCCTCCCCCACGCACCCCCCTCCCCCACGCACCCTCCCCCACGCACCCCCCTCCCCCACGCACCCTCCCCCCACGCACCCCCTCCCCCACGCACCCCCTCCCTCACGCACCCCCCTCCCCCACGCACCCCCCTCCCCCACGCACCCCCCTCCTCCACGCACCCCCCTCCCCCACGCACCCTCCCCCCACGCACCCTCCCCCCACGCACCCCCCTCCTCCACGCAACCCCCCCACGCACCCCCCTCCCCCACGCACCCTCCCCCCACGCACCCCCCTCCCCCACGCACCCCCTCCCCCACGCACCCCCCTCCCCCACGCACCCCCCTCCTCCACGCACCCCCCTCCCCCACGCACCCTCCCCCCACGCACCCTCCCCCCACGCACCCGCCTCCCCCACGCACCCCCGCACGCACCCCCCTCCCCCACGCACCCCCCACGCACCCCCCCCCCCCACGCACCCCCCCCACGCACCCCCCTCCCCCACGCACCCTCCCCACGCACCCCCCACGCACCCCCCCCACGCACCCCCCACGCACCCCCCCCACGCACCCCCCCCACGCACCCCCCCCACGCACCCCCCCACGCCCCCCCCCCCACGCACCGCCCCCACGCACCCCCCTCTCCCACGCACCCCCCCCACGCACCGCCCATGGGGGGTGGGGGGCACTCGACTCCGGCACGAGGCGGAGACGTTCGCGCGTCGATTCAGCTGCGTGCTCTCGGCTCGGCTGCTCTTGGTCAATCCCCCGCTGTATGAAGGCCTCCTCCCCCATGTTCACTGGGATTGTTTGACCATACTTCACCACGCTGGTCACCGCAGGTTGGTGAAGGGGAGCGGGTTGGGGGCAGGGTCTGTTCTGATATCACTCGCCACTGATGGCAGCCGCGGGCGAGAGTCGAAATGAGTTCGCTGGGTTCATAGAGCTCCAAAAGTGGTCATCCTGGTAACAAAAAAAATAGATTTAAAAGCGCATGTCTCTCTCTGTACCTTAAGGGTAGCGATAAGGTCAGGAAGTATATACCCGCGTGCTGCTCCATCACCCCGCTGTTGCGCTAACACCGTCAGGGGGGGAGGGGGGTCACGGGGGGGAGGGGGGGTCACGGGGGGGAGGGGGGGTCACGGGGGGGAGGGGGGGGGTCGCTCGCTCGCTCAAGACAACAGCGGCAAGCCCCAGCGCCTTCAAGTCGCCTCCCGGAGCGGCTGAGCGCCGCCAGCGCCGCGGGGAGGGAGAGGGGCGAGCGCCCTCCGCGCCTTGCGTCGATGCGCTTTGAGGAGTCGCCGAGCCGAGTTGGTCACGGCGCCGGGAGCCGGGAGCCCGGTTCATCCGGCCGTGGGGATCCGCGCTGACAGATGCCGAGCTCATCACTGTCCCCGTGCGCGTGTCGTTGTTGGCCTTTCCCCGCACCTCCGATTAGCGCGGTTGGCTACGTACGGTGCGAAAGAAGTTCGACGTACATGCGCACGGGGGAGCACTTGCCCCAAACAGTCTGTTGAGTATATCCGGGGGTTCTTTGGCTTCGGGCGCGTAGTGGGCAACGCGCTGCGCTACGAACCCGGCGACCCGCGTTCGATTCCCATGCATGGCTAACGTTCGTGGCGAATATATGAACATGTCCTGGGCCTCCCCTAGGACGACTTAGGCTTAAACGAGTCTCTTGCACGGAGTGTAAACATCAGCACTGGAGAGACAAAGGCGGCCGGGCGTGGTGTTGGAAACCCACCCCCTCGCGCGCCGTGACGGCCTTCATAGGTGCTCCTTAACAGCACATGCCCCAAAAGTCTGTTAAGGCTATACGGGGGGTCTTTGTTTCTACATATATGTTGTGTGTGTGTGGAGAGAGAGAGTTTGGGAGCAATTGTGTCGTGGTTGGCGCACTGCGCTACAATCCCGGCGACCTAGATTCCATTTCATGCCGAAACAAAGGGGGCTGGGCGTGGCGCTGTGAATGCCTGAACAGGTGCTCGCTAACAGCGTCTGACAACCACCCATGGTCCCTCCAGTGAAGGGATGGTCGAGGTGTCTGTGTGTGAACACGTGTTTGTTCACAGCGGTGAGAGGCGCTGCGCCACGAACCCGGCAGACCCGGGTTCGATTCCCGCTCACAGCCACCAACGCCGGTGACGATTATCTGAACCGGTCCTGGGCCTCCCCTAGGTCGACTCAGCTTCAAATGAGCACCTGGTGGGGTGTGTAACCCACATCGCCACTGGGGATACAAAGGTGACCGAGCGTGGTGCTGGTGTATTGTGTCGGCCTTCATCGGTTCTCGCTAAAAGCACTTGGCCCAACAGTATGTTCAGGCTATACGGGGGATCTTTGTCTTTATGTATAAAGTGTGTACTCACATCTGTGTTGACGTGAGTGCGTATGCAAGGTGTGTATTGGTGTACGCGTTTGTGTTTGTGGTGTTTGGGGAGCGGTCGCGTAGTGATTAAGGGCACTGCGCTATGAACCCGGTGACCCACATTTGATTACCGCTCACGGCCATCAGCATCAGTGACGATTACCTGAACCGATGCTGGGCTTCCCCTAGGTCGACTCAGCCTCAACTAATTATAGGGTGTGATGTGTAAACATGAGAACAGGGGAGCCAAAGACGGCCGGTTGTGGTGTTGGCCACCCACCCCTTCGTATGCAGTGCCGACCTTTATAGGTGCTCGCGAGCAGCGCTTGCCCCAACAGTCTGTTCAGGCTATATGGGGGATCTTTGTCTTTGTTGTATAACATGTATGTGCCACAATGAGGAAGCGTCGTCACTGCCTTCCTCTCTCTCAATGTCTCTGTCCCACGAGCCGTCTCTGTGTCTGTGTGTCTCTGTGTGTCTCTATCCCACGAGCCGTCTCTGCGTGTCTCTGTGTGTCTCTGTGTGTCTCTGTGTGTCTCTGTCCCACGAGCCGTCTCTCTGTGTCTCTGTGTGTATCTGTCCCACAAACCTTTCTGTGTGTCTCTGTGTGTCTCTGTGTGTCTCTGTGTGTCTCTGCCCCACGAGCCGTCTCTGTGTGTCTCTGTGTGTCTCTGTGTGTCTCTGTTACACGAGCCGTCTCTGTGTGTCTCTGTCCAACGAGCCGTCTCTGTGTGTCTCTGTGTGTCTCTGTGTGTTTCTGTCCCACGAGCCGTCTCTGTGTGTCTCTGTGTGTCTCTGTGTGTCTCTGCCCCACGAGCTGTCTCTGTTGTCCGCTCCAACAGGACCAAGGCTCTGGTGCTGGAGCTGCTCGCCGCCGTCTGTCTGGTCATGGGGGGCCACGATAAGATCCTCGCTGCCTTTGACAACTTCAAAGAGGTGACAGGACCCTGCCTCGCTCGCTGCTCGTTCCCATGCCCACGATCGGTGTGAGAATTGTAATTCGCCATCACGCCAAGGCGCGCGCATCAGCTGAAATGCGCACCAACACTGCTTTAATTTCACTTTAATTTAAGCCTCTGGTTGGATATTCCACCAATGGACGAGCGAACAAATACGCGTGCGTCCGTACGATTACACTGGGAAATGTAGGTTAATCCGCTTTTGAGCGAGTCTGCTGGCGTGGGGCAGAAATCGACCTCCCAGCCGCTCTGCCAGAGGAGGCGATCAATGATTAATCTTGGCCCTGAGCAAGGGCAGTGCTGTCGGGGGTGAACAAGCGTTTCGCCCCGTCACCCCCCACCACCTTCCCGGGAGGAGGGGACGCGCGCTATCACGGACGGCACCCTCGTCTGGGAGCAGCGGGTGCAGGGGGCAGCGGGTGCAGGGGGCAGCGGGTGCAGGGGGCATCTGCTTCTTATGATCCCACCGCTGGACTCTAAAACTCAACTCAGCGTTTTATTTTTCTATGTCGCTCTTGTTCCTAAGCGACCTGGCCACACAAATGATAGCTCGACCTAGTGGGGCATCATGTGGGAAAAATGTTGGCAGCCAAATTCTCTAAAGCGCGTGCTCATGAATTTGGAGGGAAAATCAGGAGAACCTGGAGAAAAATCCACGCAACCACGGGGAAAACTCCAAATATGCACGTGTCAAGGTTGGAATCGAACTCAACGACCCCCTGCATACCAGGTGAGGTAGTTAACATCTCGCCACCGTGGTGCCCACAGAGGTCAAAGTCAATTCCGTCTATGCCACGTGACTCCACATCTCGTCATTCAATCGTTTTGTTCCTTTCTGTTCTTAAAGTCAATTTCGAGTACCCCCCCCACCTTAATGAAGCGTCGTTGAGAACTCCGTGCCGGACAGCACGGGAACGCAAGGCCTGTGTGCGAGTAGCTACGAGAGAATAGCCACTTGTGTTTTGTGGGTTCCAAATTCTCTTGAAATAAGCTCAGGAAGATGGGGAGTGAATTTCAGAGACCACTAGATGTCCCCCCCTTTGAAGCTGTTTTCCGCTATTGCACCTACGGAGTGTCCCTTGGTGTTACAACGGGGCTACCCAAAGCTTCCTGGGACCACGTGGGGCTACTCGAGGCTGTGACGAGGTGAGGGCAGTAGTGTGGGCAGGTAAAGGTGTGTGCCTTCCCGTGGTAAGCTGCCCTGCCCCACCCACCCCAACACCCCCTTGCATCCCACAGGTGTGCGCGGAGAGGTATCGATTTGAGAAGCTCATGGAGTACTTCAGGATCGACGACACCAAGGTGGACTTCATGGTGAGTGTACTCGGGATGGACTCGTGGTGAGTTTACCGCGGTGCGAGTGATTTGCTTCGGGCGGAGCGAGGAGCGATTGGACACGAAGAGGTGTGGAGGAGACGATGCAGCAGGGGGCTGCGTAGGTTTCGGATAAGCGGTGGTGTGACGGACAGGGCTAGGATCTGAGTAGCTCGGTGTCTCAAGGCTAAGGAAGGATAGAGTTATGACCGTGGTTTGGGTGTGATTGTCTCATGTGGTCAGGGCTGTGGTTAAGGTGTAAGTGGATAAGTCGGTTCGGGTTGTGGTTGGGGTCTGATTGACTCCCGTGCTACGCTGCCGAACTGTGTTCTCCTGTGCTCAGTGCCGGGTTCACAGCCCCCTCTGCCGGCCATTCTCAAGAGACGCGGCTCTTCTGTTTCTCGCACCCCGCCTCCACCTGTGCAGGTGGCGTGCATGCAGTTCATCAACATCGTGGTGCACTCCGTGGAGGACATGAACTTCCGCGTGCACCTGCAGTACGAGTTCACGCACCTGGGGCTGGACGGTTACCTGGAGGCACGCGCGCTCACCTCTCCCTCCCATCTCACCTCTCACTCCCGTCTCCCTCCCGTCTCACCTTCATTTAGACTGCAGGACAAATCCGATGAGCTATGAAACTCTTTTTCACAGATGTGCAGTATGGGCTGGTCAGCATTTATCCACGCCACCGTCGTTATGAGCCACTGATGTATAGTTTAACACGTAGGCTTTCGCTACCCATATTATTCATAGTAAACGTTTTGGGTTAGATCACGTTATTTATTATCTAAACATTTTCATCGCCACCACTGTGCTGCTCCTGTCCGACCGCCGCCAACGCGTGTAGAGGTTGAAGAACACGGAGAGCGAGCGGCTCCAGGTGCAGATCCAGGCGTACCTGGACAACGTGTTCGACGTGGGCTCCCTGCTGGAGGACGCCGACACCAAGACGGCCGCGCTGGAGCGCGTGGGCGAGCTGGAGGAGCAGCTGGCCATTGTGAGTCCCCAGAGGGGGGCAGGGACGCCCGACTGGTGCTCGTGGAGCCAGCGGTGTAACCGCGTCGCGTGGCGGCGGCGGCGGAGTGCCGCAGGACGAGTCGCTCGAGGAGGGCTCGCTGATGTGGTGGCGTCGTGAACGACTGCGCGTGCTGTGGTCTTGTACACGGTTGAAGAAAAAAAAAAGAATCAAAACTCGCCACGATCTCCATTGGAGCTGCATCGTGATGGAAATGAGACCTCGACTTGCTCCTCCCTTCCTGCACTCTGCCCTGTTTTTGATTTCGTCACGTTGGTGACCAGGTCACTCTTGCAAGATGAGACTCCTATCCCGGTTATTTTTAATTCTCGCCCGGATAAACAAAATAAACTTTATATTCCAACTTGAACCCTGGATGCGTCCGGGCATTGCAAAACTTGAAAGCTAAGCAGCCTACAGAGGCTGGTTAGTACTTGTGAGGCTGGAGCCACGCGTGGCTCCGCTCTCCGTGGTGATGCGTGGTCCGGCTCTCGCGTCCCCAGGCCCGCGGGAGACTGCGGGACACGGAGGACGAGGCCCTGGCGCGGATCGCGGATTTGGAGCAGCAGCTCTGCAGGGCCAACGAGCAGCTGGTGGCTGGCAAGGTAGGTGGCCGGCAAGGTAGGCGGCCGGCAAGGTAGGGCTCCGCGGTGGCCACGGGAGTGACCTCAGAGGGCAAATAGGAAGGTAGCAACGGGGAAGGACCCTAGAGATGTACTTAAGCACCATGGGTGTGACCCCAACTCCAACGGGCACTGGCCACTCCAAGGGGCCCCAGCAGCTCTGACTGAACCCTGACCCCCTCTACCCCGACTGACCCCTCCCCACCACCACCAATTATTTTCAGGAGCTGAACCGGGAGACGAGCTGCCGCGTCGTGCAGCTGGAGCAGCGGCTCAAAGAGAGCGAGGCGGCTCCTGGGCCCCCCGCTGTGGGGACGAAGGGGGCTCCCGACTGCGGGCCTGCATCTGCGGCCCAGGGCCCAAGGCCACCAGCGTCCACAGCGTCCACCGCGCCCCCACCCAAGGACGGTGCGGCCCTGGGATGCATCCACACGCGACGGGTTTGCCGAAACTCCTGGACGTCTGTGAAAAGGAGTTTCGCATCTCGTGGGATTCCTCCACTCCAAGTCAATATTCTGATTCCGATGTGTCCCGCTTCGTGAGACGGGAGCTGCTGTCTCGTGGCGCGCTCTCGGCCGCTGCGTTCACTCGAGCGTTGGCGCAGCACTCATCTTCGTTGGCACACACCTGCGTCAGTCATGGAAAATTACGCATTTAAAGTCAAAACTATTGTTTGTTTTACCAGGGAAGGCACACCGAGCTATACTGTATAGCTTTTGTAACAGAAAGCGATCTGGCCGCAAATGATAGCTGAGCGTAGTGGCTTATCACGTGGAAATATATAGTAGCCAAATACTCTAAACGCGTGGTTGTTTTGATTTTAAATGCCGAGGGAAAAACCGGAGGACCCGGTGAAAAATCCACGTGACCACGGAGAGAACACGCAAACCCCAAGTATACAGACATCGTCAGGGACTGGATCACACCCACCACCTCCTGTATACCAGGCGAGGTAGTTAACACCTCACCACCGTGGCACAATTCCTATGGCAGGACCACTCGCTCCGTAGAACCCCCGCCCTCTCCCCGTGGTGCTAAGGCGGCCTCCTCTCCCCAACTCCCAGAGCCCCGTGCAGGAGTCGCCGCCCCGGCAGACAGAGCCCGGACACCTCCGCCAGGGGGCGCCGCGGCTCCGCCTGAGCCGTCGGCTCTCGACTCGCGGGAGTCGCGGCCCCTTCCTGCCCACGAGCAGCCCGCGGGCGAGCCGCCGACGGAGCCCCCGGCAGGACCCCCACCGCCCCCGCCGCTACCGCCTCCTCCTCCTCCTCCTCCTCCGCCACCCGGAGCACCGCCACCGCCGGGGACGCCGACGGAAGCGAGAGGTGCGCTCGCAAACTGGGCCTCGTCGCTCCGCAGCGCTCCGCCGGCAGCATCGGTCCGCCGTCGACCCGTCAAGCCACAACCTCTGTCCGTCGGTCGATTCGCCCATCCATTCGCTCCGCCTAGTTCCATCCATCCACCCGTGCATTTTAAATCAATCCGTCAAACCATCCTTCCACCCACATGTGTCTCCATCAATCCGTCCACCGTACTAACCCACGGACGTGTATAGATGTGCAGTGACGCATGTGCACGATTCGTTTGTGATTATGAATTGAGGATGATGATGATGGTGGTGGTGGTGACGGTATGATTCAGCCAACACTGGATCATCACAAGGTCCACAGTGAATTTACACGAGCTTCCCTGCAGACGGACTTTTACAAATCCCGCGATTGCCGCGTGTGATTAAATCCTATCGCAATGCGTCTATCCCGTCTAATGCACTGCGCGTGCACGCGTGTGTGCGTGTGGGTGTGTGCACGTGCGTACGTGTTTGTGCGCATGATGCGGCCCCTCCCCCCTTGCCATCTGCGCTGCCCACGCTGCCCACGCTGCAGCGCTCCGCGTCAAGAAGGCCGTGGTGCCGCGCTTCCGCATGCCGGCCTTCAACTGGGCCGCGCTGCAGCCGGCGCAGATCCACGGCACAGTCTTCCACGAGCTGGATGATGAGCGGGTCCTGCAGGTGCGAGACGGCCACCCTCACCCCCCAACAAATAATCCCACCATGTGCAGCAAGTTTGGCGTGCACAGTGTGTGAGACGGATAGATGGGGGGGGGGGGGGGTACTCGTGCGTTAACTGGCGGGAGCTCACACATGCATCTGCTAAATTACTCGTCCAGTCACCCAACTCGTGCACCCACTCAACCAGACATGCACTCAGCCGCTGATCTTCTCACTCAAGCAGTTATCTATTAACCTTCCCAACCACTTACTCACTCATCCGTCTACCTGCTCACTCACGAATCCATTAACCTCAACACCTCACTCATTCAATCGCTTATTTACGTGATCACTCATTCACTGATATGCTCACCTACCCCCCCCCCCCCCCCGCAACCATCTCTTACCGATGCCATATACCCCGGCACGGACAGGAGCTGAACATGAGCGAGTTTGAGGATCTGTTCAAGACGCGTGCCCAGGGCGGCCCCACGCGGTCGCCGTGCCGCGCCGCCGCGCCGCGCTCCCCAAGCCGCCGTCTCGTCGTCATGGACTCGCACCGCGCCAAGAACCTCGCCATCACGCTGCGCCGCGCGGGCCTCCCCGACGGAGACATCGTCACCTGCATAGAGAAGTGCGGCCGCCCCGCCGTTGTGTCCCCTGGACAGCTCGTGCGCGGCTGGCGCGAGGCCGGACCTTTGTCTCGGTTTGTGTGTGGCTTAAACAGCAGCTGGGACCGTCTGGCTCGATGACCTCAAACCTGTTTTGTGTCCGATTTAACAAGGTTGGCTGCGTACGGGTGGGCAATGAGTTCAACATGCATGCACAATTGCATACCCATTGCGTACCCGGCGCACCATATCTAGTTCGCCTACCGCTCGCTGTGGCTTTGGCTACGAGACCCATGCCACCGCCAGTCTGCCACGTGTAGCCCCAACTCGCGCTCCTTCCCGTTGTGCGTTCGCGCTGCGATAACGGGTCCATTAAGCGGTGTCCAAATTCAGATTCTCCGCTCTGACCGCCAGTTGCCGTTCGGCGCGCGACGCGACACCGCGAGAGAGACACCGCGACCCCGACGCATCGCGTTTGTGACCCGCGACTCTCCATTCTGACCCCGACCGGCACCCTGACCCCGTGGCCGCAGACTGCACGTGGGTCGCCTGCCGCTGGACTTCGTGGAGAGCCTGACTCGCCTGGTGCCCACGGAGGTGGAGGGCCGCCGCCTGCGCCAGTACGAGCACGAGGGGCGGCCCCTCGGGGCGCTGCCGCCCGAAGAGCGCTTCATGCTGCGCCTGAGCGCCGTGGCGCGCCTCCCGCAGCGCCTCGCCGCGCTCGCCTTCATGGGCAACTTCTCCGACAGCGCATCGCGTCTTCTGCCGGTCTTTGTCTCTCTCCTTCCCCATGTCCATCGTGGGGGGGGGGGTCATCGGGGTTCTGGGGGGCTCAAGACGTTATGCGCATGCCGTGACCACTTCCCCCTCCACCAAACCAAAAACACGAAAACCTCCCTTGGCAGGAACACAAACTCGTCGGTTTTGTTTTTGTGCGATCGATGTGGTCCCGTAATGTATATCGACTGCGCTTTGAGAATTGTTATAATTGACGTTGATTCACCCAGGAAACCCGCGCTGTGTGCTTCGCGAGCGTGCCGCCAGGTTTCACGGTAGTGCGCATTGTTACCAATCGCGTGAGACCGTCTGCTGGTCCGGTGGCAGTCGTTGAGCAAAGCCCGACTGCTGATGAGACCCAGAAGGTTGAAGCTGGTTCAGCGTTTTGCTCGCTTAAAAGCCGATGGAACTAAAACATACTTGAATGCGGAGGCACGGGACGCCGAGCTCCCGCTCGTGGTTGCTCTTATTACGTGGACATTTATAGCAGCCAGATATTCTAGAAGCAGAGAGTGTTTGGGGGCTCACAAATTCCCTTGGTTGGCAACCCATTGACGCCGCTCCGCACGCCCCGCGTTGCTCAATCACAGCGCGGGCACGCAGGAGCACTCAGCTCCACCGCACTCATGCCACACCCCTGCACGTTCCGTTCTCTCGCGGACGCGGTGATGTTCACGGACCTCTCCAGTTCCCACTTAGTACGGCTAAAATGCTTACAGTGATGGGAAAAATAATGCCGTTTGTGGGCTGTTATGAATCATTCCAGATATGCCCCTGGAATCGTGCTGGCTGTCCAATACGAGTTTTGAGCTCTGCTATTGAGAACAAAAGACTTTAAAACCATGGCGAGGCACGCAAACGTGTGTTTGGAAGTCTCACACATCTCTATGCGTTTCACCGACCCTTGCCTGCCAATGCGCTGGAGCACAGGAATGGCACCGCGCACATTCACCTGGCGAGCATCTGGCGTCTCCTGCGTTCCTTTTGGTTGTGTTCCAGCACACGTCTTCCCTCTCTGACATCACTGGCCTGTGTCTGGCTCTGGTCCGTCACACGTGCTCTGTGTGTGCATCTGTGTCCGCCCGCATCTCCCGAATCCTCAGCAACTCAACGCAGTCATCGCGGCGTCGCTGTCCCTGAAGTCGTCGCAGAAGCTCAAGAAGATACTCGAGGTGTGTGTCTCTCTCTCTCTCTGTCACCGCAGCGCTCCTCACCCCCCGCTCATTCCCCGCTCACCCCACACCTCTAACCCACTCTCGGCCCACTCCCACGTCGGCCACAACCATTGCAGATCGTCCTGGCCTTTGGGAACTACATGAACGGCAGCCGGAGGGGAGCCGCATACGGATTCAAGCTCAACAGCCTCGACCTGGTGAGGGAGTCGAACGCGTAAGGTCGTGGCCACGTGGGGGACCTTGGATGGGGGTGACCTGGGGACTCGCCGGCCTTAATTGAACCCGGATCCCGACACGAACTCCGTGACTCGAGTTGGATCCCCAGCATCAGTAGCGAGTGATATCCGAAACGATCCTGGGCCTCACCCAGGACGACTCATCCTTAAATGACGACCTGGTGCATTGGGGACACGTTGGCGGTCGAGCGTGGTGCTGACCTTACCACCTCCGTACACCTTTGAAGCCTCAATAGGTGCTCGCTCACAGCACTTGCCCCAACCTTATCCATATGGCTCGACAAGGGATCAATGTCCGTGTGTGTGTGTCCATTGCTCATGTATCCATGTACTTCGTGTCCGTATGTGTGTACACGTGTTCATGTGTCCGTGTGTGTGTACGCATGTCCATGTGTAAATGCGTGTTCATGTACCGGTGTCCATGCGTGTTCACACGTGTCCGTGTGTGTACGTGTGTTCATGTACGCGTGTTCATGTACGTGTGTTCGCGTGTCCGTGTCCGCTGCTGAAGCTGCTGGACACCAAGTCCACGGACCGCTCCCGCACGCTGCTGCAGTACCTGACGCGCGTGGTGCGCGAGCGCTACCCTGAGCTCAGCGCCTTCCACGCAGAGCTCCAGTACCTGGACAAGGCGGCCTCAGGTGCGGCCGTGGGTGGGGGGCGCGGCGGGGTGATTGGGGGGTGGTGTGGCAAGGGGCAAGGGGAGCGGGGGGGGCGAGGTGTTGAGGGCGGGGTGAATTGGGGGATGGTGGGGGCCAGGGTCGGGTCAACATTCATATCGGCAGGCGCGTCACGCGTGCAGGAAGTGTGGGGTCGAGGTTAGGGTTAGGAGACGATGTTAGGAGATGAGGTTAAGGGTTCAAACAATGAGCGATGGACGCATGTCCCAGGGCTGTCCAGCACGAGCTGGAAGCTACCGAACAAAGACGTTTTGGGCGCCACTCCGGTGAGGTCTTAACGACCTCACCTGGTATATAGGAGAGCGTGGGTTCGATCCCGACCCTGACGATGCCTGTATATTTGGAGTTTTTGTGCCTCTCCCTGTGGTCGCGTGGATTTTTCTCTGAGTCTGCTGGTTTTCCCCTCCACATTTAGAATCAACATGCGTTTTCGAGTACTTGGCTTCAATAAATTGCTGCGTGATAAGCCACTTCATTGGGCTATCATTTGTGATCAGCTCACGTCTGAAAACGAGCTATATAGCTCGGTTGGCCTTACTTGCTAAAATTTAAAAAAAGTTTTGTTTTAGTTTAGTCTGAAGTGGCGGTCACATGCTCCGCCATAAGAGCTGCGGTGCATTCGTGCTCACGTCCAGGTGAGAAGTGCGCCGCACGTCGCCTCGACGTTGGGCGCCCGAACAGCGGTATTGACCGTTAGCGCTGGAGTGTTTTCTCACCGACGAAGCTTTAAACCACGTGCGGTACAACGCCCGGGACACGCAGCAGCCGTTGACAGGCGGTACAATACGAGAGCCGTTTGAGTCTCCGGGTTTGCGCCTTTGATTTCATGGGAGGCGTGATCGAGATGGTCAACCAAGACCTCCACAACGTTCCTCACTGCCGACTTAATTCCCGATCCCTCTTCTGGGACCACGTTGCTCTCGCCATCCTAGAATCTCACTCGGACACGGAGGAACGCCGCTGGCAGGCAGTAGAACAATGCGGGCGTCCGGAATAAACGCTCCGATCTAGACCAAACACCATCGCACCTCCTCCTGTCGTTGAAATTCCTCCTCGAAGACACCGGTGGTGTCACCATCGACCGCACGGGAACATCCAGCAGGCCGATGCGCACATCTCCTTCATTAACGTCAAATTAAAGATAAGCCACAGAAGTGCAATTGTGGCCAGGCATCCCAAACTATGGACTCCGTCGTAAACCCGCGGTAGTCTGTGCTCCTTCAGCGGAGGAGGTACATCACAACTACTCTCTGTCTCTGTGCTCCTTCACGGAGGAGGTACATCACAACTACTCTCTGTGTCTGTGCTCCTTCACGGAGGAGGCACATCACACCTACTCTCTGTGTCTGTGCTCCTTCAGCGGAGGAGGTACATCACAACTACTCTCTGTGGCTGTGCTCCTTCACGGAGGAGGTACATCACAACTACTCTCTGTGTGTCTGTGCTCCTTCACGGAGGAGGTACATCACAACTACTCTCTGTGTGTCTGTGCTCCTTCACGGAGGAGGTACATCACAACTACTCTCTGTGTGTCTGTGCTCCTTCACGGAGGAGGTACATCACAACTACTCTCTGTGTGTCTGTGCTCCTTCACGGAGGAGGTACATCACAACTACTCTGTGTGTCTGTGCTCCTTCACGGAGGAGGTACATCACAACTACTCTCTGTGTGTCTGTGCTCCTTCACGGAGGAGGTACATCACAACTACTCTCTGTGTCTGTGGTCCTTCACGGAGGAGGTACATCACAACTACTCTCTGTGTGTCTGTGCTCCTTCACGGAGGAGGTACATCACAACTACTCTCTGTGTCTGTGCTCCTTCACGGAGGAGGTACATCACAACTACTCTGTGTGTCTGTGCTCCTTCACGGAGGAGGTACATCACAACTACTCTCTGTGTGTCTGTGCTCCTTCACGGAGGAGGTACATCACAACTACTCTCTGTGTCTGTGCTCCTTCACGGAGGAGGTACATCACAACTGCACTCTGTGTCTGTGCTCTTTCACGGAGGAGGTACATCACAACTACTCTCTGTGTCTGTGCTCCTTCACGGAGGAGGTACATCACAACTACTCTCTGTGTCTGTGCTCCTTCACGGAGGAGGTACATCACAACTACTCTCTGTCTCTGTGCTCCTTCACGGAGGAGGTACATCACAACTACTCTCTGTGTCTGTGGTCCTTCACGGAGGAGGTACATCACAACTACTCTCTGTGTGTCTGTGCTCCTTCACGGAGGAGGTACATCACAACTAGTCTCTGTCTCTGTCTCTCCTGAAGCCTCTCGTCGTGGCATGCAGACTTCGACATTGACATTGAGCTCCTGAACTTCGTGTAGCTCCTGAACTTCGTGTAGCTCCTGAACTTCGTGTAGCTGCGATCGTGCGCAAGAAGAGAGTGGCTGCTTTGAGAAGGTGCAGAGCGTCGTCTTTACCGACGCTCTTTGCCATCGTCGTTGCACGAATGATGCCCGCAGCCATGCCGAGCGAGGGGGGTGAACGCAGCCGCAGGGAGCGCGTGCTGCCCTCGGGGCTGTGGAGGCGGCGTGCCGGCGTGCCAGCCTATCGGCGCCACTGGATGAGGTCGCGTCCACAGCGCGTGCCCGGACTGCGCGCGTCTTATTATCAGCGGCAACGTGGCTGGACACCCCGTGTTTTATCATTCGCATTGGCCCCAGACGCCGCCTGTATTGCTATGCTCGTGTCCGGTTATCCGCATTATCACTGCACAGTCAGTGTTCTATTATTTGTGCGTTCCTGGCCCGCGAGTATTATTCTATTCTATTTTGGATTTATATAGCGCACTTTCTAGGGCGCTTTAACATGCGAGCCGACAGCGTTCAGTGAGGGAGGCGATGGGATGGATGGAGGGACAGGGGCTGGGAATGGAGCTGATGTTGCTGGGGTAGGTAAAGCAGAATAAGGTGGAGTGTGATGGTGAGTGAGGTTGTCTGATGGGTGGTACGTGGATGAGAGGAAGTGGGGTATGGGGCGCGTGAGTGAAGTGTTAAAATGGGCATGGATGAGGGCAAGTGAAGAGTGGTAGGGGCAGAGGTCTGGTGGGCGGATAGTTGAGCTGATGGAGGAGCACAGCGTAGGGCTGGGGGAGAGATGTGGTTAGGTGCACATAGAAAGCGAGACGTCAGAGTATCTTATTAGCTGCATGTCTCTGGTATCTGCAGTGTCACTGGGCGTGGTTTGCTTTATTTTCTGCTTGTCTTCGTATCCGCACTATCACTGGACATAGCTAGTCCTGTCATCCACGCACCCTTCGTATCCGCAGTGTCGCTGGACAGCGTGCTGCTGGACGTGAAGGAGCTGGAGGACGGCATGGAGGCGACGCGCGGGGAGCAGGAGGCCGCGGGGGGACATGCGATCATCCGCGACTTCCTCGCGCAGAACTCGGAGACGCTGCGTCGGCTCCGGAGAGACGCGCACGCCGCACAGGTGGGGCCTGGCGTACACACACGCTGCCTCCAGCAGCACGATTGCAGACATCAGGCTGTGTTGTATCGGGGTACTGCAGCTGAGTGGAGCAGTCTACTAGTTCCACCAGAGTACACGTGGTTGTGTTGGGGTAGCTGAGTGGGGTAGTCTGCTAGTTCCACCAGAGTGCACGTGGTTGTATTGGGGTAGCTGAGTGGGGTAGTCTGCTAGTTCCACCAGAGTGCACGTGGCTGTATTGGGGTAGCTGAGTGGAGCAGTCTGCTAGTTCCACCAGAGTGCACGTGGTTGTATTCGGGTAGCTGAGTGGAGCAGTCTGCTAGCTCCACCAGAGTACACGTGGTTGCATTGGGGTAGCTGAGTGGGGTAGTCTGCTAGTTCCACCAGAGTACACGTGGTTGTATTGTGGTAGCTGAGTGGAGTAGTCTGCTAGTTCCACCAGAGTGCACGTGGTTGTATTGGGGTAGCTGAGTGGGGTAGTCTGCTAGTTCCACCAGAGTACACGTGGTTGTGTTGGGGTAGCTGAGTGGGGTAGTCTGCTAGTTCCACCAGAGTACACGTGGTTGTGTTGGGGTAGCTGAGTGGAGCAGTCTGCTAGTTCCACCAGAGTACACGTGGTTGTGTTGGGGTAGCTGAGTGGGGTAGTCTGCTAGTTCCACCAGAGTGCACGTGGTTGTATTGGAGTAGCTGAGTGGGGTAGTCTACTAGTTCCACCAGAGTGCACGTGGTTGTATTTGGGTAGCTGAGTGGAGCAGTCTGCTAGTTACACCAGAGTACACGTGGTTGTATTGATTTGGCAGTCATGATGGTTTGCACCTCACCACCGCATTCACAGTTCAGTGGAGTCCCTGACAGGCACCATTTTTGGAGGAAATATCCCCCACACACCTTCTTATTCCTACTCCTCATCCTCTACGTGATGCTGTGGTTGATGTGGTTGGGACGTGGTTGTTAAGAACGATCTCCACTTTCGTCGGGGCAGCGAAGAGAAGTCAAACTCCCATGATAACCCAGGTTATACGAGTTGCGAGTTTATAAATGTCCTTGCAGTAATCCCCTGCCAACCGCCAAATTACCAACCGTGATATTTGAGTGTACACGAATTCTACTTCTGTAGACCTGTTTACCAACGCCAAATAATAATTGGCACCGCCGCGTAGCATCCGCCACGTTGCCTCTCAATCTCCCTCGAGGAGACGCGAGGAGACACCTCTGGGTCTGGAGATACCCAATCCTCTTTCTTCTCCGCGTTGCTACCTCCGCCACTGGTCAGATTCACACTCCGTCTCACGAATTAATTGTATATTTTAACGTTTTTGATTTGCGTATTCACGTTTTGTGCGTAAATATCACGTTGTGTGCCACTCAGGAATATATATTTTTCATGTTTGTTTTTCTAAATTAATTTATGTAAATTTCAAGTATGTCGCCTCCCCCATCATCACCATCAAAGGTAAATGCAATTTAATTTACTGTACTTTTCTTAATTAAACATGTCTCAATTGCCACAGAAATTATATTTAGTTCGTGCGCTGTGTTCATTGGTTAATTTAGTGAACGTAAATTTTAAAAAATGTGATTTCATAAGTTCACTCGCGACCTCGGGTTCCCCTCACCCAATTTTCCCGTAAGGTCTTAAGTTTACCAATCTAGTTGGTTTTCAGGAAGCTCATCCTCGCGGTTGGCAAGGGATTACTGTACTTACTCGCATTGCGATAGCCTGTGCCTGTGATCTCTACTCGAGCCGTGAGGGTAGGTATTGGGGTAATGCATCTAAATACTTGTGTAATGAGGAGCGATGTGAACAATTTTCTTCTCTGCCGGATTTTAATGTGAATAGAAACTGCATGTGTGGGCACGCACGCGTGTGTGTTATGGGGAGCGGTAGTGTCGCAGTTAGCGCGCTGCGCTACAAAACCCGATGACCCGAGTTCCATTCCCGCTCACGTCCAACACCAATGATGATTATCTGAACCAGTCCTGGGCCTCCCCTTGGTCGAATCAGCCTTAAATGAGTACCCAGTGCAGTGTAAACATCGCCACTCGGGAGACAAAGGCGATCGGGAGTGGTGCTGGCCACCCACCCCTTTGTGTACCGTGCCGGTATTCATAGGTGCTCGCAAACCGCACTTGCCCCAAGTCTGTCAAGGCTATTAGGGGTATATTTGTCTTTGTGTGTGAGTGTGTGCAATGCTTGGACATTTTTCAAGCCTCTCATCTCTTTCTCTCGTCTCGTCCTCGCACTCGCCTACCTCTTGCCCCTCATTGTATCCTACTCCCCATCCACATGCTGTACTACCTCTCCCCTCATGTTGTTACACTCTGCGAAATTCCTTCAGATCCAGAATGGAATTTGCTGCGATACCCACGTGGGCACATGCCACGTGGGCACATGCCGCCTGTGTAGCGTCGATGTCCAGTTCGGAAGCTGCACATTACATTATTTTGGAATGAGTTTTAAGCGAACTCGGGGGGGTACACATGCACACAAACGAGAGACGTGAAGACTTCTCCGGGGTAGATTCCATTTTAGTCTCCAACGCCCACTCGGAATCTGTACTCTCGAACAATGCCGCGCTCAGCTCTCAGCCCACGTGCCAGACAGAGCACGTGGGTCGTCCGCCATCGCTCCCGTCTGTAACTGCCTTCACCATCGCCCCTGGTGGTCAAAGTTTACATAACCACAAGTTATTTCCGCTAAAATACTATAGTCCCCTATTTATCCACTATGTGCTGTAAAGATACAATGTTATTAACAGTATTAACCAATATTAACGTCCTTCGCTATGTTAATTATCATGAAAAAAAAACTCAACATAATAACCTTAGTGCACTAGGCTCTTTAACATTGGCGTACGATTGCAATCAGATACATCACAATGAATCGTTCTACGGCAACCACATTAAAGAAAGATGCAAGCTTTTGTTATTGACTCGTTAACTATAAATATAAACACCACATACATTATATCCATCCTGTTAAACCGTTGAGAACTCGTTTAAGGGTCTCGTCACAGCTAGCATAAGGTATGTAATAGTTACTGTGTCACTGGGAAACTTTTTGATGTAATAATTTGCAGCATTAACTGACCATTATCTATATGAATCACGTTAATTACAGCCTTTTTAGCGGTTTTCTGTACTGTTGACCATAGCTATACAATACTCACAAAGAAGTCTTGAGAACAGTCTAAGCTATGTTGCTCTATTACAATTAATCCTGAAATGTACGTATTAAATTCGTAATATGCTTTGAAAGACTTTGTAATTTCACAAACGCCATCTCGATTTGAGCATGTTCAGACGCCTGTTGACTTCTTCAAGAAATACCTCCCCCAACAACAGATTATAACATTCCCACCGATCTCTACATCATCGCTATCGTTTCTACGCTTGATGTTCCTTTCCAGTGACTCACGGACACGTACCTTGACGTAGGCACATCCTGCGTGTCACATGGTACGTGGTTCATGTCATGTGGCACATGGTAAATGGCACAAGCCACGTAGCCCACAGTACATGGCACACCCTGCTTGGCACACGGCACATGGCACACGGCACATGCCACACGGCACATGGCACACGGCAAATGGCACACGGCACATGGCACACGGCACATGGCACATGGCACACGGTGCCGCCTCTGCATGTCCGTGTCTCCGCGCGAGACAGGAGGCGTACTCCGCCGTGGTTGAGTACTACGGCGAGGAGCCCAAGAGCACGCCGCCCTCCGTCTTCTTCCCGCTCTTCGTGCGCTTCGTGTGCGCGTACAAGGTAACCCGCGGCCCCTCCACACTCCTCTCCCCTTTTTGGGGGGGGATCGGCAAAGGGGGGGTGGGGTGGGGGGGGGGCAGGTTGCAGGCGAGCAGCGCAGGGAGTCGGGACAGGGGGTCTGATGGCCCCCCGTGTCTGCTCGCCCCCCCCCCCCGTGTCTGCTCGCCCCCCCCGTGTCCGCTCGCCCCCCCCCGTGTCCGCTCGCCTCCCCCCGTGTCTGCTCGCCCCCCCCCCCCGTGTCTGCTCGCCCCCCCTCCCCCGTGTCTGCTCGCCCCCCCCTCCCCCGTGTCTGCTCGCCCCCCCCCCCCCCCCCGTGTCTGCTCGCCCCCCCCCCGTGTCTGCTCGCCCCAGCAAGCGGACGTGGAGGACCAGGCGCGCGACAAGCAAGACCAGAGCTCCGGGGAGACGCGCGGGGCCGGGAGGGGCACACGCGGCACCGACGACGGCGGCGGCGCGGTGAGACGAACACACGCGCGGACATACATACACACGCGTGCACACACGCACGCACCAAGACAAAGATCCGCCGTGTAGCCTTTAAACAGTCTGTGGAGACAGATAATGTTGGTGAAGGCCGGCACGGTGCAGGACCCAGGTGGCGTACCCAGAACCACCAGTTATCCCGGTAGCACAAGTAGCTACATATGCTACGGGCCCCGCACTTTCAAGGGCACTGCACTAAATGCTTCCAAGCATTTAAGCGCTGCTCCATTACTATAGTACTATACTGCCTTCAACTTTTATGAACGACTGGGTGTTTAAGGTTAGCGATTTGTCATATCATCTGGCTGTATAGCGAATGAAAAAATATAATTGCTTTACTATGCGAGTAAAAAATGTGTGTTTTAATATTTACGCCTTTATTTTAGGGGGCCCCTTTATAACATGCTACAAGCCCCGCACTAGCTTAATCCGGCACTGAGAACCACGCTGGGCGCTTTTGTTTTCCGAGTGCCAATGTTCACATCGCTACCAGGGACTCATTTAGGGCTGAGTCGGCCTAAGGGTGGCCCAGGAACCGCTTCAGACATTCGCCGCTGATATCTGTGGCCGGGTTCGTAGCGCAGCGCTGCTAACCCACTCCACCCAAGCACATCGACATGCCGCTCAGAGAGCCCACGTCCCCCACTCCCTTCCCGTCACCAGCCCGGCACGGGCGCTGCGCATGGAAACGCGGTGCCCAAGCGCGCGGAGCTCGAACTCATTGCCGAGCTCAAGAGGAGGCAGCTGGCGAAGGAGCGCGTCGTTTACGAGGGCAAAGACGGCGCCATCGAGGACATCATCACAGGTTCGTGCTGCCTGCGCTGTCGTCGTTGCAACACCAACAATAATCATAATCGGCATCATAACAGCGCTAATGCCGACGGCGATTGTTTGTCGAGGAGAGCTTCACCCAGCCTGACGCACCAAGGAACCCATGCCGCCTTCAGCTGATGCGGCAGCAGCAGCAGCGTACCACGTGATCTGGCGACCTTATGTGCCCTCTCGTTTTACAAGCAGTAATTTGCATACAAGTCATTTTCAAGAGATGAAATACAATTTCAGGTGCCCCCTCCCCAAAAATTGTATTCATATATTTCAAAGAAACACCTTGTAAAAGACCCAACGCAGAAGATGACTGGGTTTTCATCTTCCACGAAGCTCATGGTCCACCCTATACCGTATCCGCTGCACAAACCATGGCAAGATGCTTATACCTGATGCACAAATGTAAAATAGAAAACTCTCCAGTGTTGCGACTGTGGTCATCCAGACCAGACCGTACAAAATGTAACGATGCAATGCCCGATTCACAAACGCGAAGGAGACATCACAGCGATACGTTACTCGGCTTGCTCTTGATGCCGTTATCTAGGCGTGACCAGCCCTACGAAAGAAAAGACCCGCTGCTTATGTCTCCCCCGTGGCCAATATCCGTGCCATGGAGCTCACCGCACGCGGTGTTTGCGCGCCTCCACCAGCCACTGGGTCTCAGTGGATGGCTCTCGCCGTAGTTAAAGGAAAATGACGATGGTGATGATGATGCAGCAGCGGTGATGCTATGGTGATGATGATAACGACGACGATGATGATGCAGTGGTGATGGTGATGCAATGGTGATGATGATGCAGTGGTGATGGTGATGCAATAGTGACGGTGATGATGATGATGCAATGGGGATGATTATGGCCATGATGTAAACCGTTCAATCCACTGGTGGAGCGTGACGATGGGAGAACGCTATTCGGAAAGAACGTCAAATTAGCGAGAAACGATTTCTCGTTGAGAAATTAATCGCAGTCGTTGCAGTCGTAGTCTTTGTTGTCACCGTATTCGCATCGTGCGGTCGCGTGTTTAATTTATGTGATATAGCGAGCGGACACATACGGGGAGGGGAGGGGAAATGGGCTATTGCGTGCAGCGCGTCTCGTCTTCCAAGTCGCGTTTTAATAAACGCGCTATTTATAACTCCATACGAGGCCAGCCTTGGCGGTTTCACGGCCTCCTCTGCCCGCCTACTGCCAGCGGGGCTGATGGCGCTTCTGATTGCCTCATTGTTTCCCCCCTCTAATCACTGCCACCGCTGCCGCGTGCGTGACACCTATTCCTTCGCCCCCGCCCGCCCGCCCGCCCGCCCGCCCACCATCACCACCAACCACCACTAACCACCCCGTTTCCAAATGTCCTTCTCAACTCTCCTTCTGGCACACACACGGGTGCGCGCGTGGGCGTGCACGGCGTCTGTGCGCGCGTTCTCGCGTGCGATTATGCGTGTGCGTGTCTACGTGTGTCTGTGCGCGTGTGTGAACGTGCCTACAGGTGTGTGTATGTGTACGTGTCTGTGTGTGTGCGCACGTGTGCATGTCTATGCGCGGCGTGTGTGTGTACGTGCGTGTGTACGTGAGTGTGTACGTGTCTTCGTGTGTATACGTGTGTGTGTCTACTGGTGTGTGTATGTGTACGTGTCTGTATGTTCGCACATGTGCATGTCCATGCGTACGTGTGTCTACGTGTGTGTACGTGCGTCTACGTGTGTGTACGTGCGTCTACGTGCGTGTGTACGTGTGTGTGCGTGTCTACGTGTGTGTGTGTGTCTACGTGTATGTGTACGTGTGCGTGTGTACGTGTGTGTGTACGTGTGCGTGTCTACATGTGTGTGTACGTGTGCGTGTCTACGTGTGTGTACGTGCGTCTGCGCGCGTGTGTGTACGTGCCTACGGGTGTGTGTATGTGTACCTGTCTGTGTGTGTGCGCACGTGTGCATGTTTATGCGCGTATGTGTGTACGTGCGTGTGTGTACGTGTCTTCGTGTGTGTACGTGTGCGTGTCTGCGCGTGTGTGCGCGCGTGCGCTCCTTGGCCCGTCCTCCTCCTGTCAGTGCTCAAGGCTGTCCCGTTTGCTGCTCGCACTGCCAAGCGCTCCTCGCGTCTGCTCTGCGATCTTCCGCTGCCCGAAGACCTCCTGGCGCCCAGCCTCGTACGCGCACGCGGCCGCTCCGCGCTCCTCTTAGCGCCGGACGCGACCCAACGCAACCCCGCAGCCTCCCGTTGACACGGCAGGGCCGTGAGCGCGTGCCCCGCGGCCTGCGGAGGCCTTCTTCCAGCAGTGGAGCGGTCGTGGTTGATGCACATGAGCTCTTGTCTGTAGATAAGTGGCTCTGCTGGTGGGAAACGGGGGGTGAGGGGAATGGGCGCGGGGCAGATTACGGGCGGACTTTGCCGAATGCCCAGCAATGTCCGTGGTTGTTCATACCGATTGCTGCACAGGACAGTATTCGTTATCTGTTTTAATAATAGTAATGCCGTCTATGCAGGGAAGCCTCGCTGAGTCTAAATACTCGTTTTTAGGAGGGTCCTGCGTTTCAGACGTTTGGCCAATCCCATTAACGAGGGGCGCCACGGTGGCTAGGAGATGTTAACTACCTCGCCTGGTATACAGGGGGTCGTGAGTTCGATCCCGACCCTGACGCGATGCCTGTACATCTTGAGTTTGCATGATCTCCCCGGGATCGCCTGCATTTTTCTCCTGGTCCTCCGGTTTTCCCCTCCACGTTTAGATTCAACGTGCATTCAGAGTAATTACCAGCTATAGATTTCCACGTGACACTTCGTTGAGCTATCAATTTGTGGCGAGGGTCGTCTTCTGAAAAAGAGCTGTACACTGTATAGCTCAATGGGCCTTACCTGTTAAAAAAAAAGTTTAATTCTAATGCAATAAGAACCACGACCGCTGTGCAATTTGATTCGTAGCTCGGATCTCAGTGGTGCTGGCTCCGTGCTCGAGTCCTTGAGCCACCTTCCAGTCGAGCTCTGTGCAGTCTCGCCGTGCTCGCGCGAATTCGGCAGGCGTGCTGACGACGTGCGCATCGTGCTCGCGTGTCCCCGCAGACCTGAGGAGCCAGCCCTACCTCCGCGCCGACGCCGTGCGCAGGAGTTGGCGCAGGAGGGACGAGGATGGCGGTGGCGGCGCTGGTGGTGCCCGGGTGGCGTTGAGCACCGAGGTGGTCGTCTGAGCCGCTGCCCGTCGGGACGCGCCGCCGGCTCCGCCTGCTTCACGCGGAGTTTGGCAGAGCGCGCGTCGCCCGCGCAATGTGCCGGACGGGCCCCGCCGACAAAGCGCCCTCCGGACGCGTTGCTGATCTCACCCGTTCCTTCGTTCGTTCGTTCGTTCGTTCCCCGCATCAGCAGCGCGCGTTTCTTTGCACTGGGGACGGCCGTTGATCTTTTATGTTAAAAATATAAAAAAATGTATAGCACGCGGCTGGGCACGCCACATTCTAGATTTCCCGCGGGCGTGGAAAGCTCCGTTCGGCTCGACTCTGCTCGGCTCGCGGCGGCGGCAGCGGCAGCGGCCGTGCACGGAGTGTGCGGCGAGTTGGGATTTGAGAGCGCGACGCGAGAGCGAAGAAGGAGAACGGCAGAGTCAACGGTGGGGGTGGGGGGTGACAAGTCCGGCTCCACGCGGGTGTCGTGACGGTGGCGGCTGCTTCCCATCGCAGCGCGCGCTGCCCTGTAACGCACTTTTTTTAACGCACGTAGGTGAAACTGTTAATCTCTCCAAAGATTCTATAGACACTTGAACTGTTTATTTATACTTAAAGTATAATATTTAATATATACGGCACATGTCAAGAATACGAAATGTCAGAGGTGCGTTCATGCATGCCGCCCAGTTAGGACACTCGTCGAATTACGCTCCGGGAACGCCGCGCGTGCGCTGTGTGTCCTGAGAGAGGGGGGGGTGGGGAGCACGGGGGCTGGAGAGAGGGGGGGGGGGGCTGTGGGTGCTGGTGCGGTGAGAAGCACGGGGAAGTCACGGGGTCGCTCGCTCTACCCGCGCCGCATGATGGAGAGGCGTGGGTCCGAATGAGACACGGGCGGGACGCGGGGGACCACGAGGACACGGGAACGACGCCGAGACGGAGACGCGAGCTGACAGGGGCTCGCTCCCCCGTGGCTCCCTGCTGCGAGAGGAGGCGGCGGCGGTGGCAGCGCGCGGCTTCGATTCGAGCCGCGTGCCCCTGTCTCGAGTGAGAACCTGCGCAGGTGGAATGGAACAGAAACTGGATTGGGCTGGCAGCGGCTTCATTATCAACGCGCACTCGCGCAGCGGCCCATGGATTCACGGAGACCCAAATAGTCACACACACAGACAGACAGACACACAGAACCACCGCAAACCAGAGTGTCTCGGCCAGCGGCTTTCTTCAGCGGACGGGCGCACGCAGCTCATGTCGCATCCCGGGGAGAACTGGCCTGGTAGGAGCCCGTGTCATCGTCATCATCATCATCGTCGTCCTGACTGCCTTCAGCTTCCAGGTCTGGACGAATCCACCACCTAGCACGCGTCGATCTCTAGAGAGTGAGGCTGGACATCTCGAGACGGGGTTTGTGTTCTCCCCAAAACCGGAGCCGCGAAGCCGTCCCCGCACATCAACTCTGTGCGTTACTATCGCGCCGCCCGGTTGGCTGTGCACGCGGCGCCGTCGATCACGCGAGTTGGGAATATCCGGTCAACTCGAGGGGCGCCAGATTCACATCTTGGTGACTTCATTATTCGTCCGATGTTTGTGTTGTTGTTGTTTTGTCCCTCCCCGATGAAACGCCGCCCAATCGCCGTTCGCCAGGGGGTCGACGCGGTCCGTTTTTTGTTCGCCGTTGCCACATCCACGGGGATCTGAGCCGAGCAATTCCTCTGAAAGGGATCGCGGTGCAGCGTTGCGCAGCCCGGCGTGTTGACCTGTCGATTAAAATATATCCGTACGCTCACGATATCGTGCATACAAAGATGCTCTCTGCGACGCTCGACTACTTACGATGCGTGCCGATTGTGCGCGATTGTTCCGTCAGGGGGCAATGGGGCACGCAATACCCTGGCTCGCTGTCCTTCCCCTGCACCTCCGATTAGCACGGTTGGCTACGTACGTTCCAAAAGAAGGTCAACACGCACACACACACGTACACACACACGTACGCACACGTACACACACACGTACGCACACGTACACACACATGTACGTACACACATACACACACAAGACGGAGTGTACACGACAGGCAACAGATGAGACGCAATCCAAATGAGACGGTGAATACGCGGGACAATGAATCGATGCTTGAGACGGCAACGGATTCACGTGCCGCTTGTTGTGGAAAAGAGGAGAACACCCAAACACCTGGGGCCGGGTCGTGGTCCCGTGAGGCCCCTGCCCCCCCCCCCCCCGCTTTCCTATATTGGTGTTTTTCTTGCCTTCCTCCTCGCAAAATCATCCAATAGTCTGAATCTCGCTGTCTGGCAAGGTCTGACTATTGACATAAGTGACGATGAGCTGAGGCGTGTTTGGCACCTGCTACTCCGCAGCTCATTTTTTATTCTGCCTAAAAGGGAAAATGTCCGCTCACCCTGGCAGTTTTGTCACAGGCAAAGTTAGAAAAATTCGAAGTGACACGAAAACATTGGGGAAACACTGATTGCATATTAAGTGCCTGCAACATCTCAAGCAATTTAGTGGGGCACTTCTCACCCTCAGTCAGACATGAAAGACTTGAATTGTATGAGTTCGTTGGCAAAGTTCGTGTCCCGGTCTGATGGATATGCAGCGGAGAGTGCATTTACCTTTACCACGATGGCATCACTGTTAGACACCTGATCTGACATAAATAGAACTCCAAAGAGACTGGTCAAACGCTTGTAAGCGTTCAAGCGATGTTCAAGGCATGCTACCAGCTTATCAATGACCACATAAAATGTGTATATTTTGAACTTCTCCCTCCCCTCAAGTGTCACACCTGGCTGTGAGCTCTCATCTGCAAATGTTTTGCGTTTCCTCTTTCGCTGAAGATCGTGCTCAGATGACTGAGAGACACCTGTCACATTTAAGGCTGCCCTTTCAAAAGCCTCAAACTGGTCTCGCTGTCCCACCACAAATGCCCTCAACGAAGATAAAATCTGTGCTGCTACAGAGATGTCAATGTCACTTGTTTGTAGGTGCAAGCTTGTCGCGTGGAACCGGTCAAGTATGACATCCCAGAAATGTGCCATGAACACCATCTCTAAGATGTCCAATTTAGCACATAGTCCAGTGGCCTCAAGTCGAGTATCTCTTTTCTCATTATCATCATTGCACATACCACCGAAGGCCTCTAATGTGGGTGTAATTTCTCCACAGTGCCTTGGTTGACTCTGCCCGAGCACTCCACCGAGCACTGGACAACGATTTTAATGTCATCTGACATCTGTCTTCCGAAATTCTTTGCCCCATCTGTGTGTGGATGAAGAGCAAAATATGTACAGTGACTGCAACATGTTAAAAAATACTCGTCAGCCTCTGGGCTACTGCCGTCTAAGGTGTTAACACCAACTAAGTTAAGTGAATGCGCTGCACAAGGCACATTCTATCAGAGGTTTTTTTTTGTTTCAGGTGGGCCTGTAGCCCATTGTATTTTCCTGACATGTTGCTTGCATTGTGATATGACTGACCTCTACGCTTTGAGAGGTCCAACCCAAGGCCCTCCACCATCAAAATCACACAGTCTGCTAAACTTTTACCAGTGTGGCTCTCAATTGGCTCAAAGCCCACGGAATCGCTCCACCACATCCCCGCTGCTGTTAACAAACCGGAATATGAACGTCAATTGGTCCACATGTGACAAGTCTGGAGTGGAGGAGTGAACAATTATTGAAAAATATTTGTTTGGCAGAAGCGCATCTGAAAGCGCGCAATGCGATGACCGCCGTTTTTGTTCGATGCTTTTCTGAAATCCGCTGCTGCGAGGATGACCGGAGTCCACTCGATGGTTTATGCTCCCTGAGGTCAGTAAGGTTTTATGGCTCGTTTTTGGCGAGCACAAAGGTCAGTCTCGCTAACCTACGCCCTCGCCCTAGATATGGAGAAAATACTTTTGGGCTGGAGTGGGCACATTTGGTATCCCACTCTTTCGTTGATAGGTGAAGACTCGGAACATCTTGCCTCCCTCCTCTCCTTACCGCTCGTGATTTCTACCGGGGCTCTTGTTCAATTAAAGCAGAATCTATTCTTGCGAGGATTGCGGCAAACCTCCAAACTACTGCACAGCACGCGGCATGAGTGCCACGGATGCCCCACGGTGCACGGGGTACCGGCTACATACCGCTGCAGGGAATGCATCATCGGTACAACTGATGGTGGTAGGGTACACAGGGCGCGTATGGCAACCACAAAGCGTGCGGACGGCATCGTCTCATATCGCACGCAGCGCGTGCCATCACTGCACTCGCCGCGTTCGGGAGAGGGCGCGCTGCGATCGAGACAGCGGCGCTCCGCTGAACGCGGCATCGCGACCGGGTTGTAACATGGCGCGCGTTACAGGTCAGTGGATGTTGCCCACGACCCTGCTCCGAGTGCTACATTCACCGCGGGTGAGACGCTGTGGAGGGGCTGGGTGAGACGGGTGGTGGTGGTGGGGGGAGGAGGAGGAGGAGGATGAATGGGGAATGGTTGGGCTACATTATTCACGAAGCAGACGTGGAGTCTGCCTCTTAATTAAGAGCCACTGAACCATTTTCTGCGAACCGTGGACCTTGTGAATATCTCTTCTCCTCCTCCTCCTAGCGGCTAAAGATCCTCCCCCGGGCGATGCCACTCGCACACCGCTCAGTGTCGCCTTCACGATGAGAGCGCAACGAGTCGCCGCTGTTCCCAGCGAAGGTCGCGTCGAGTCGCGCGCGCTGTGCGAGCGTGCCGCGTGATAAGTGGCGCTTGGCAATTTATCCCAGTAAACATTGTGGAACGTTGAGCTGACGTCGGTCCAACGGTTCCAACCACACGGCAACGTTGACTTTTAGTTTACTAGGATACTTGTAGATTACGCCACGTCACAACAGCGTTCGTGCCAGGCTAGGTGCATTTTGAGGCAACATAAAAGTGATTTGTATTCGCTACACACATACACACGCAATACGCGCACAGTACGTACACACACACGACATACACAACACACACACACGACATACACAATACACACACACACGACATACACACACATGACATACACAATACACACACACACACACATGACATACACACACATGACATACACAATACACACACACAACACACACACACATGACATACACACACACACGACATACACAATACACACACACGACACACACACAACACACACACACACGACATACACAATACACACACACCACACACACACATGACATACACACACATGACATACACAATACACACACACGACACACACACACACACACACACACGACATACACAATACACACACACAACACACACACACATGACATACACACACATGACATACACAATACACACACACAACACACACACACATGACATATACACACATGACATACACAATACACACACACAACACACACACACACGACATACACAACACACACACACGACATACACAATACACACACACAACACACACACGACATACACAACACACACACACACGACATACACACACACATGACACACACACACACGAAATACACAATACACACACACAACACACACACACATGACATACACAACACACACACGACATACACAACACACACACACATGACATACACAACACACACACACGACATACACAACACACACACACACAACACACACACACGACATACACAACACATACACACAACATACACAATACACACACACAACACACACACACAACACACACACACGACATACACAACACACACACACACGACATACACACACACACACACATGACACACACACACGACATACACAATACACACACACAACACACACACACAACACACACACACATGACATACACAACACACACACACGACATACACAACACACACATGACATACACACACACGACATACACAACACACACACACGACACACACAACACACACACAATACACACACACAACACACACACACATGACATACACAACACACACACAACACACACACACATGACATACACACACACACGAGTATGAATGACGCCGTAAGCCGCACACTCGGGGGAACTGTTGCGTGAAACCATTTGAGAGCGACCTGCAGGCCGGGGCATTGCATCACCCACACCGTGCAACCCTTCTGCCGTGGTGGTGAGCGGTGGGGTGGGTGGTGAGGGGTGGGGTGGGTGGTGAGCGGTGGGTAGTGAGGGGTGGGGTGGGTGGTGAGGGGTGGGGTGGGTGGTGAGGGGTGGGTGGTGAGCGGTGGGGTGGGTGGTGAGAGGTGGGGTGGGTGGTGAGGGGTGGTGTGGGGTGGGTGTGGAGGGGTGTGGTGGGTGGTGAGGGGTGGGTGGTGAGCGGTGGGATGAGTGGTGAGCGATGGGGTGGGTGGTGAGGGGTGGGGTGGGTGGTGAGGGGCGGGGTGTGTGGTGAGGGGTGGGGTGGGTGGTGAGGGGTGGGGTGGGTGGTGAGCGGTGGGATGAGTGGTGAGCGATGGGGTGGGTGGTGAGGGGTGGGGTGGGTGGTGAGGGGCGGGGTGTGTGGTGAGGGGTGGGGTGGGTGGTGAGGGGTGGGGTGGGTGGTGAGCGGTGGGATGGGTGGTGAGGGGTGGGGTGGGTGGTGAGCGGTGGGATGGGTGGTGAGGGGTGGGGTGAGTGGTGAGGGGTGGGGTGGGTGGTGAGCGGTGGGTAGTGAGGGGTGGGGTGGGTGGTGAGGGGTGGCGTTGGTGGTGAGGGGTGGGTGGTGAGCGGTGGGGTGGGTGGTGAGGGGTGGGGTGGGTGGTGAGCGGTGGGTAGTGAGGGGTGGGGTGGGTGGTGAGGGGTGGGGTGGGTGGTGAGGGGTGGGTGGTGAGCGGGTGGGTGGGTGGTGAGGGGTGGGGTGGGTGGTGAGCGGTGGGTAGTGAGGGGTGGGGTGGGTGGTGAGGGGTGGGGTGGGTGGTGAGGGGTGGGTGGTGAGCGGTGGGGTGGGTGGTGAGGGGTGGGGTGGGTGGTGAGGGGTGGTGTGGGGTGGGTGTGGAGGGGTGTGGTGGGTGGTGAGGGGTGGGTGGTGAGCGGTGGGATGAGTGGTGAGCGATGGGGTGGGTGGTGAGGGGTGGGGTGGGTGGTGAGGGGTGGGGTGGGTGGTGAGGGGTGGGGT